TATCTGTCTGCCCAGCACTGTGCAACGTCTTTGCTGGTTGCCTAGCAACCTCATGGTGACGACAACACTTCAGGAAGTCACTGCACCCATCTGTTGTTCACCAAGGAGTAGTTACAGCACACAACCCCCCACCCCACCCCTAAAACTGCAACTGCCTAGGTCTAGTAGGCCAGAGCCTGCTCACATTTGATTTTATTGTTGTGATCAAGATCAGGGAGTGCACCTAGGGGCCCCACACACCAGGGGGCCCACACATGTGCAAAGAAAAAAACCTGAAAATAAATGTTTCAAATGCAGTCCAGCAGCTAAAACACCAGCTACAATATAAGTGCTTTATCACTGACTTTCAGAACAGACAAACCAATCACGCTTTTTGAAAGGGAGGGTGAAGCGAGCGAGTTGCAATCTGCAACTGCACCGCTAGATGCTATTAAATCCTGCACACTGGTCCTTGTTCCTTTTTGTAAAAAACATATACAATATAATGATACTGCAGCTATTGATTGGTCCCTATGTGCTGATAAGTTTGGATTTCATTTGGAAAGTGGACAATTGTAAGCTAGGCTAACTAGCTTCCACATGGAAAGTGAAAGCTAGCTAACAATTTCAACACATTCTCAGTAACCTGACAAATACTGCTGCCTGGTAGAACATGATGCTGCAAGGCTCCGCAATGGTTGCAGTTTGGTTAGGTTCAGGCACAAAAACTATTTCTGTATTTTGCAAAGATTGCTGCCCTGCAGACAGCGTGTGTTTTGCCCAATCAGTCAGTAATTTAATTAATTAAGTAAACACGTTTTATAGGTCATGAAGAAAAATATTTTGGAAATGTCTGTTACCAGTAACAAACTGCATTCCTATAGGTTGGAGCCTTTAGATGTTAGCGTAGTTTAACAGCATGAGATGGGCGTGACCCGCTGAAGCCTGTCGGGCAAATATTGTTGTTATGTGTTGTCTCACAATCTATGAGCTCAGAATCAGCTGGAGGAAACAGTAGCAACTTCGTTCTGATCTATTTGGGATTTTCATCAACTGGAGAGTTGCATTTTCAGGAATCATTATTGGATTATTACAACCTGGGTCTTGTTTTTGTAGTTCTGTCTAACATTTCTCTAATAACACAGAGTAAACTGTACCAAGCTAAAAGCTGAGATATGGACTCATGATGACATCACTAAAAATAAGTCTGACGGGTCAAGAAAAGGATTTGTTTCCAGTCCATATATCAAACACTAAAAAAACACCACTGGAACTACTCCAAACACACACACACACACACACACACACACACACACACAGACTTACAGCTCTGATGGGCAGCTCCTCAGAGAACACTCTGCTTTGTTTTCATCTTGTTGTGAGGACATTAATGGCATGGCTCCCTCTCTCTCTGAGTGCCTGTGACTTTGTGTGTGTCTTTACTACTCTGATCTCAGCCAATAAGGGCTCACTTGAACGCACCAATCAGAGGGAGTGCAGCAGGTATGGAGGAGAGAGAGAGCCGGGCGGACAGACAGACCGGTGTTGTGAGTGTGGCTGTGTCTAACAGGTGTGTTTGGTGTTGGCATCACACACACCTATTGTCTGACTGACGCAGAGGATGGAGGATGTGCGCGCACACACACACACACACACACACACACACACACACACACAGACATAACCAACTATAAAACCAATAACCACCTGCCTCAGATAATCTGTCTCACACACACAGTACATCCAAACACCTGCCAAAGTCACACACACCACTGCTAACACACACACAGAAACACACACAGACACACACACAGACTTTGGGCTTGTGCGGCTATAAGCATCAGTTCAATTCAATAAATCTTTATTGTCCTAAGAGGCTGTTGCTCTGCAGCTGCAGGAGGAGCTCTGACGGAGGAGGAAGAGGAGGGAGAGATGAAAGCGAAGAGACAGAGAACGTGTGGCTCACAAAATGATAAACCTTTTTAAGGAGGAGATCAACTCCCAGAACTGCTATGCAACATTCCACCTTCCACCCACTCCACAGTGGATTTTCATGTTGTTTTTTTTGTTTATAGAAGTTATTTCCAGCGAAGTACGTCAGGTTCACTGTGAGGTGACTGTCAGTTGGAGAACTTAAAGGCTCGTATGGACACGAAACTCTCCTGCGAAAGACCAACGCCTGTGGTTCTGTGATAAAACGTCAAAGGAACAAGCCGCATAAACCCTGAGGGAGAAGTCAGCTCCCAAGGTTCATTTTAGGAAAAAAAAAATATCCAATCACACTGCTTAAATGATGTACAACCAGAGGCTAAAGATTACAATTAGTGTAGTAAACACTGTTTGCTTCCAGATTCTGGATCAAGTTGATAGATTGTGGTCTGGCATCAAGACATGAAACAGTTTCTCGGTTAAAAAGGCGATTGATTAGCCGACCAGCGCTATGGGTGGGACTAACAGTGCGCTGAAACAAAGGAGGAGTAATAACAACAATGGAGACCACCAGTGCCTGAATTGGACCAAAGACGGTTTTCTTAATTTTTCCCCTCAAAATAACCTTTTATGTGTCTGCTTCAGTTCAGCGGAATTCCCTTCCCCGTCCCTTCCAAACCCTGACGATATAAGAAACAGGGATGAGCAAGTCTGACTTCCAGCTCTACGTCTCTGTCCATGCTACACCCTACGTCACACACTACATAGCCCCCTACACTCCACTGTTTTATTTTTTATATGGAACTGCATGGTTTGACCTGCTGCACAGTCCACTGCACATGGCCACAACATGCAAACCCAGGTCCACTGTTCAACCCTGCTGGTCTTCCTCAGCACCAACTCAGTAGGGTTCCTGCAGGAAGCTGATCAGACCAAAACTGCACTGCTGCTCTCTTCTTGTCTGGAGGACATATTCTCATGCCCTCCCTCCTCGCCACGCCTTCCCATAATGCCATGTGTGCCTCTACACCTATCCTACGGCGTGTGTGTGTGTGTGTGTGTGTGTGTGTGTGTGTGTGTGTGTGTGTGTGTTTGTGTTTAAAGTCTAAAGTCCTGTATTGTGTCATGCCTCTCATGCGTCTTCCAGTAAATGAGAGCTGCAGTAGCCAAAACAGCAGCCTTGCTAGCAGGCACACCCCAAACCCAAATACATACCTGGCTTTGTACCTGGCATCAACCTGAATACTAAAAGATGCTGTGTCACATGACACGCCCTGTGGCAGCCATATTGGAGGGCTCCCACTCTTCAACTCACTTATTCTTAAACTGCTGAACATCAAATGTGTCTCCACAAAACTAAACAGACCTGATTCATTTCTGTGTGGAAGCTCAGCATTTCACCCCTGACCCAGCTGACTAAGTTCATAGTTTGGTTTCTGCTTGAGCCTAGACCCAAATGTCTGACTATTCGGATATTTGTTTATTGAATACGCGTGTGTATGTATGTGCTGTTAAGTTTGGATTTCATTTGGAAAGTGGACGATAGTAAGCTAGGCTAACTAGCTTCCACATGGAAAGTGAAAGCTAGCTAACTAAATACTGCTGCCTGGTAGAACATGATGCTGCAAGGCTCCGTTGGTTGCAGTTTGGTTAGGTTCAGGCACAAAAACTACTTGTTAAGGATTAGGAAAAGGTTGTAAATGATGTTACGTACATGACAGAACTTAAAAACATCAATAAAAGGTATATTACGTAACATACCTGACGTAACATAAGTACGTTTTGTAAATTAATGTTTGGCCCACTCTGCCTCTGGCACTGGCCACCCCTAAAATCTGATTGGCCACCCCTAAAATCTGATTGGCCACCCCTAAAATCTGATTGGCCACCCCATTATCCCTACCTCTTCATTCGGATAACAAATGAGACTAGATAAGACTTAATGCATCTGTTGGTACCAACCATGTGATGCTAGTCAGGAAAGGGGACAAATAACGCTCCACAGTTTTCTCCACAAGATTTCTGAATGAAAAAGGGTTCCATGGGTACCCACAAGTTTGCAGACATACCCACTTTATGCTAATCCCATGCAGTTTTTGGGCATAAATGTGTTATTTTTCACCTAGTGTATTTGAATATTTCTGCATACTAGGATCTATAAACTGTATTGGAATTGCCTAAATTGGGAATGACTGGAAAGCTGAGACACATCTTCATGCCACCCCTGCATAAGTCAGTTCTCCACCCTAGCCAAAAAAATCTGGGCCCCCGCTCTGGCTGTAGACAACCCAGCGAGAACGCCAACTGTCTCGTGTTCTTGTACCGAAACAACCTTGGACAGCAACCAGCATCTTTCATTGTTTATATGCAGTGACATTTGCGCTGGAAAGGCTAAAATTGTTCATTTTGACAAAGAACATCAATGAACTGATCAACAGATATACAACATGCTGCTTTAGCTAGCTCTCTGTTTACTGCCTCGCTATAGAAAGAAGTGAATTTCAAAGAACATTCAACACATTTGAGTTCTCTCTAATTAACTACATGGTGCATGTAATAATCAGTAATAGCAGCAGTAGTAATGGATGATGACAGATAAGAGGTAATGAACAGTGTTTGTCTGCTGGTGCGTGTGTGCTTACTCAAGACAACCAGCTCTGATTTGGACTATGAACCAGGATATACAGCAGAATCCTGATCAGTTATAGATTACACAGAGAAGGAAGTCTTGTGTGTGTATATGTCAGTCATCATCAGTGTCAAAGTATTCATTTACTGAAATACAAAAAGAATTCTACATATTTTTCAAAAGCTGATTGCTAAATTTCTTGCTCGTCATTACATACCAACAGAGGTATTTCCTTGTCAACCTCTCTTTCTGCTACCTGACCTCCACTTTTGAGATTGGGGTCAGGCTGTTAGTAGATAGTTTGACTTGGAGAGTATGGGATTAAAGAAAGCAAAAATATGGCTTTGGGTTTCAGGCTGGGCTTTGGTCTCAGTTTTAAGTCCATGCAAAAGTCACACACACGCACGCACGCACACACACACACACACACACACACACACACACACACACACAGTATCTGTACCTGCGGACGGTCAGCTGCAGAGTCTTGTACGATCCTTTGACCAGAGCGATGGCCTCCTGTCTGTATCCGGTCAGCTCCACCTCGTTAATGACGATAATCTCATCCCCCACCAGCAGAGGCTGCTCCAAAATGTCTGCCTTACCGCCCTCCTCCACCTGTACAGACACAAACACACAAAAAACCTGAGGCAGATTTACCAAGAAAATGGTGTGGTGCAAATGTGCAACGTCAATGATTTGCGGCCGCAGTTTGCGTGTATTTAGCTCCTGATTTACTAATACTCCTTTTCCCCCTAGGCAGTTTAATGGCTGGTTTGGAACCGGGAACCTAAACTCGAACCAGTTGTGTTTGGACAGTTCAAGCATGGCACCAACACTTTGCTGGTCTAAGACCAAGAACCACTTATGTCAGGGGCTGGGGGCAGCTTGTGACCGGCCAGCTCTGTATTTATTAGCTGTTTAGTAAGTTACTAATCTCTCATATCAACGTGTTGTTCGTAACTTTAATGTTACGTTCAAGGTCATTGAGAAATTAGTAGTAGTAGCTATGCTTGCTTGGGTAATGTAAGCTGACCAACCTCGGTAACAACAGCTAACATTGAAGATGTGTACATTGATGTAATGACGTGGCTCAATGGTGGCTCTCTAGCCTGTGGAAAAACAAACAGTTTCTTAGAAGGTCCTCAAGGTCAACCAACTCTGAACCGGCACTAGCCCAGAGGTTCATGTTGGTGAGAAGAGATATAAGGCACCAACTCAATAGGTCATGATATTCAGTGGTGGGATTTTTATCAACTCAACACGCTCAGAGAAGAAATGTTGTAACCTCATTCATACCGCAGTCCTCTTTTGCCTGCAGGCTTTGTGCGAAGCGAGGCTAAACACGTCCTGGACCTCTCTCTGTACTGGACACACAGTGATGAAACTTGTTAAGTCACACTTGCTGTGGCAGCTGTTATCAGCGTTTCTATTGTTGTGGTAGGCAGGAAACACTTGCAGTGTGTACATGTGCGTGTTATGTAGCGGGGTCAGTGTAGGGAAAGTAGGAGGTCTTGGCTGTTTGCCTGGTAGCTTTGTCATTCTCACATCGTCTGTATTATTCTTCATGTTTTTTTTTTTCCCAAATAAAACTCTAGTTTCCCTAAAAAACAAAGTTTTTTTTTTATTTCCCACACTTGCCAAATCCAACCAACACACACCCAGATGATCTCCACAGTAGGCTTCTAGACCTGTCTTTTCTAATTAAATTGACCATTGAAGAAAGTGACTGTTTTGTCTTTATCGTAAAATTTTAAGCTTAAACGTAATGATAGCATCCCTGGCTAACTAGCTTATTACTACAGTAGCGACCTAGTGTTACAATGCCATGAGTTAGTATCTATCATAGTATATCATTGAAATTACAGTTTATGTTAAATTATGTTATTTCAAAAGGTCCGTTCATGACTGGAACGTCAACTGCATAGGATGCTAAGATGTAGCTGAGATGCTACAATATCAGAGTTTAGGCTAACATTAGCTGACGTTAGATTCCTGTTCACAAACAATCCAGGCTGCATGCACAGAGTGGGGTAGAAAACACGTTAGCATAGTGTCGGCATTTAGAAATTAAGCAACTTGCAAGAAACCAGTCAAAACACTGTCTAAAGGGAAGGTTTGTATGCAGAACTTTCATTAAAACTTTTTACCACACTGTCTTAGCCTGTCAGCTCTGGCTAGCTAACATTACACAGTGAGAAACAGCGGCTAGTGGCAATGAAAATGCTAACTGAGACAATACACAAAGTTAGCTCTACAGACGAGAAATTAACAAATGTCCCAAAACATCAACCAGCAGCACAGGTTCAAAGGTCAAAATCACCCTCGCACAAAGTAGCATTTAGCAGTAACATTAGCATTTCTAACTTCCTGCTCTATTGCTGCACAATTCCTCATTATATACCAACGCTCAGTCAATGACAAAGTATAAGAGTAGTAACACAATGCAAAGCCATCAGTCTGCCACCAACAGAGTCTGACAGCGTTCATACAATTCAATGAAGACACACAGCAAGTGAGAGCTGCCTCTCCTTTAAATTAAGCTTTATTCCTTACAGAGTTCTGTAAAACAAACTATCCAGTAGCCTGCTTTGTACCAGGCCAGATTTCTAGACGCTAACAGCTAACATATATTTAACAATTTCTAACAATTAGCTAGCTAGCTAGCTACAGCTATTAAACTCTATCAGTGACCGTCATTTTTTACAGTCGAAGATCGTCTTTTTAAAATAAGCAGCCTGTTTACTTTTCTCCATTAGGAACAAATTCTTTTCAAAAATGGAAAAATATTGTAAACTACATACTGAATATGCTATGCTAGCTTGACTGGTTAGCAACAATAAGAGGGGTGGGGCTATGCCTAGGGGCAATTAATTTACTTTGTCATAATCATGTCAAATAGCAAAAATGGTTTAATTATTTATTTATTACCAGGGACAATACACATTAATCAATATTGCACTTTGCACTACACACCAGAGTTAGCTAATTTTGCTAGATTTTCATCTGTAGTCCCACAAATTAGTGCCCGAAGTTATCAGTGCAGGGCCAGAGATGAGGTGGTAAGATTAATTATGGCTGCAGGTTTGGTTTGCCTTAAGCAATGTCTTTAGTTTATGTTTAAAAGTAAGGTAATTAGTTCACTCTCTTAGTTCAGTAGGTCAATTATTCCAGTAGTGGGGGCCCAAACTTGCTACGTGGACACAGTCCCCTCTGGTAGCTGCCTTTGTTTATAATTTAATTTGAGTAAAACTCACAATAAACACAGATTTCCTGTGAGTTTCTCATCATATCTACATTGGTATTGTCTAAAGTGATTATGATTCAACTGAAGCTCCCAGTGTGACACACACACACACACACTGTATGTATCAGCATGACCCCACTGCATTATCAGCCCTGCCAATGATGCCTCTCAGCAGCCTGTCAGTGTGTGTGTGTGTGTGTGTGTGTGTGTGTGTGTGTGTGGGCAGTATCAGAACATGCGTCTGTGACTGTCTTGTTTATCACTGTGTGTGTGTGTGTGTGTTTGTGTGTGTGTGTGTCTTCGTCCTTTTTAAGGTCACGTTGTCTCGTGGTTTTGTTCTCTGTGAGATAAGCTCAATCAAATCCTGAGTTGGTCGTCAAAATGTCTCTGCACATACGTCACCACCCCCGACTGGATTCCTGGATGTTTGCTGTGTTTGGTGGATGAATTGATTGTGAAATAAAACATGTTTTCTGCTGTGGCTCTGATTCTGAACTAGTGCGCAGTGAAGTCAGATATTTCAGCTGAGACCCAAAACGAGGTGTGCCTCAGAAGCCTGAGTGCGAGTCGAGTTTATGCAGGAGAGACTTTGGGTCATCTTATGCTACGTTGAGCCAAAAACGCATGACATGATCTGTTGGTTCCCTTGAACGTGAAATCATTTTTTTTAATGGATGCCAGGAAGCACAGTTTTCTGTTTGTAGTGTTTGTACAACCCTTGAAAGTTGATCACTGTGGCAGTAGTATGCTTTGTATCTTGACGCTGGTGTGGAAAGCAAGCCACTACACCCTGCTTCAAGAAAACTGTTGACTGTATCGATATGAATGGGAAAACCCCAAACTTCTATCTACAAAGTCAGTAGGAGATTGTTTCCTTCTGATATGAGTCTGGTTATCAGTCATTGCCCTGTGAAGGAGATATTAAGGTGTGTTTGCAGACAAGTTTACCTTAATTCAGCAGATGTCTATCCTATCACACTCTGGTTGCATCTTGATTGTCTCACTAATGTCCGCCCTGTCTTTGCCCAAAGGAACACTTTCTGGTTCCAGTAGTTGACAAATCTGTATCTGACCAGCAAATTCAAACTCCAGACTTGAAACGTCTGTAGATAACCACATAGATCACAGGTCAGGTTCACAATGAGGGGTAGAAATACAGTAAGTAATACCAGAAAGTGCCTTGATGGTTGTTTCCACATACGTGATTGGCAAAGGTATCTGGCAATGTTCTGAAACAATAAACCCCACCCATCTGGGACTCTTCAAATGTTAAAACAACTGCCAAGAATTTCTTGCAGGGTGTGTCTGAACCTCTTCGGAATCACAACATGTGTTACTCTTTAAACAAAAGCATAATGTGTTTTGGCCCACACACTGCCGCTCCAACATTTGGAGGGTCCTCAAACATAGTGTTCACTCATGCACTGTATGTGCTGATTGACTTTAATCACTTCTGTATGGTGGTCCTGAGGGCTCAAAACACAACAAAATGACAGAAAGGGCATCAACAAATGGGGGGATTAGTGTAAGGTCCAGGCTACTGATGGGTTTTTCAAATATATCACTTGCTGATGTGTAATAAAACAGTAAAAACACAATCAAACACAAACGTGAGACGTGTCTAATGAGTTGTGCTGATGTAGAGGAAATGAAACATCCTCTCGGAGCTGTGAAAGACAAACAGTGTGTGAAAGTGTAAACCATTCCTCAGCTCCGTAGAACGGCGCATATGCCGGCACTGTTTGCCTTTTTCAGGAATAAATATACCCAAATAAGGCCCGCAGAATCACTCAGAACTGTGTGAGTGAGTGTGTGTGTGTGTGTGTGTGTGTGTGTGTGTGTGTGTGTGTGTGTGTGAGTGTGTGTGTGTCACCGGCTTTGGTATTCCAGCTGAAATTCATTATCCTGCAGACAGAGATATCCAAACAGAGCGGCTCAGCCTGTTCATACTGTGACTGAAACAACATACCTCCTCTAATCAATAAAGACTGTGTGATTTGGGAAAATATCCTCAGACAGCAGTGGGGGGGCTCTGCTGTGAAAAAGGACTGAATTGAGTTTGAATAGTGCAGTCGTCCTCAACCTTGTTGGCTTGGAAGAGCTTAGAATGAAGCAATATCTACGTCTTCATCTCAGGTTAAGGCTCTAGTGTGGACGTGAGTTATTTGTTCCCATTTTAGATTAGTTGGTGGACTCATAAGACTTTTCATCCCTAGAATGGCTCCAGCTCAAAATCCTACATTTCTCATGATGCAACCCTCCCTCACTTGTGAACACCCATGTCTTTCTAACCACACCTCCGGTTTGTAATGCAGGTGTGCTGCAGGGATGACGTATTTTCACCCTGGTTCCTTTGACAAACCCAATGGGGGTTTGGATTATTGCAGAATAAGCTTTGTGGTGAAACACAATTTATAATACTTACAGGTTTTGTTCAGTAAGATCTTCTACACAAATGAACACCACTTCATGATTTCTGAAACATAAATGTGATCGCCAGACGTAAGCGAACGAACATCACCACCGCCAAACTTCCAAATTCAAATTAAATCTTCTAATCAAAATCTACAAGTTGGAAAGCTTGAGTTAGAATAGAGTGCAAGAGTACAAACACAACAAGGCTGTAAAGTTGAGCGTGCTTTAATATAACCAACAACCTCTGTGGTCTCATTTAGGCCTTTGTTAGCAACCGCCTTTGTTAGACATGTAAAAGCTTCTAAATGAACAGGAGTTTACTGACGTATTTTATGTTGCAGAACAAAACATGGAAATCTCTTTATCTTGTGTTAACCACAGGCCTTATTTCAGGCATAATGCTAAAATGCTAACTCTTGTTTATGGATACATCCCTGCGGCACTCTACATAAATCTGTAATCTCCAAACCAAGGTTGAGATAACCCCGATGACATCACTATGTCATCATCAATGGTATTCACTCAGACTTCACAAAACTCTTATTTTGGTCATTTCATTCATTGTTCATGTCATTGTAACCCCAGATTCTAAATGAAAAAAAATGGAAGTTTGAAATGGACCAGCTGAAAACCATTCAGAGGCTTTCTCTTCTGTTTTAGTGTTGAAGTAATGAACCTTCAAACTAACCATGTTCCTGGATGAGACTGTCAGAGATTCTTTTCAGGTCAAGGTTCCAAAACTGTGTCGGAGCTACTAGTTATTTTTACACAACTACGGTACGCAGAGTAGATCAAAGTTGCACCAACAGCAGTAGATGCTCACAGTGGAGAGTTTGGGGTCACAGGTTTGCCATTCACCTTCACTTTAAAGGTGTGACCCGGGTAATGTTAGTACACACATCCAGTTTGATGCCAGTCATGAGACCTTCAGATTAAGACTCATTAAAACTGCCTGGATTAACCCAAACCTTCACCGTGACCTCTGACCCCGGCTCAGAACCACAAGAAATATGCTGCACTGATGAAACAAGCTGAGAGGCCAAATCTGCTCAATTCTGCTCTTGCTGAAAAAAGCCTCATCTGTTTAACCACTTTCAAATTTAAATCTGAAAATCTGAGACGGGGGTGATGCCACTTCCCTTTATTTAATCAAACTCCACTCCATCAAATCACTGCTTTATAGTTGGCATGACAAGTGAAACACAAAAAGCCCGTACGGGAAAACTACCAATACCATTATGTACAAAAGTATTATCATCAAAATGTACCAAACACATTAAAAGTAAAAGTTATAATATCATTTTCATCATATTATTTGAATATTATTACTGGCACAATTTTGCCCACTGTAAGTAGGTTTTGTTTTAAAAGTAACTAGTAACTCCAGCTGTCAGAAAAACGCAGTGGAGTAAGACATACAGTATTTTCTTCCGAAATGGAATGGATTAGAAGTATAAAGTAAGTTAGAAACCTCAAAATTGAAACAGGGAGACACTGTCAAGCCAACAGACAGTCAGACATCGGGCAGCTGTTGGATCAAACAGAACAGTGCTAACACTGATCTAAGAACAGTATTGAATAAAAGCATGAGTGTGTTCGAAAAGCACCCAGGAAAACACATAATTCACATTCTTGTCCTATTTTACAGCCATTTGGCCCCCGTCCCAGAATAACCTTCACACACAAACACACACACACACACACACACACACACACACACACACACACACACACACACACACACACACACACACACACACACTTGCACCAGCCTGCTGATTTGCATTTTAATAAAATGAGGCCATGATGTCTGTAAGGACAGAATGGGAATCATTAGTGGTCATTTTCCTTATTATGTTCAGAAGAGCTGTGGATTTCTGTACAGTTAGCAGTACTTAGTAGCTCACTAAGCCTATCCTACTCACTGTAACCACCCTACAGTCATAGCCAAGGCCAGGGCTAAGCAATGAATCGTATTTTAAATGAATTATCAATGATGTTAACAAGCTAAAAGAGGTGTAGCTGGTCGCATCATGTTGTTTTCAGTTATCGTTGAGGGTGAATGACAAATGGTGAATAGCACACAGCAGTCAGAATCTTCTAGTAAAAGTACATTGCTTAAACAGCTCTGAATAAGGACCTCCAGGATTCAGGGTTGCGACCATGGGACCCTGCGAACTCATATGAGGACATTACATTTTTACTTTTCTGCACCATGAATACTTAATTTGTAAGAACATTGACCCATCGACCTCATCTGGGGACACTGCCTGCACCACCTAGTGGTCTCATAACAACATTACAGTCATGTGATAAAAAACAAGATGGCTGCAATATCTAGCAAAACTTTTTACGGCAGCTCCCGACCGAAATATGGACATGGTAAGAATCCTAATTGAATTTTATGAATGAAACTTGTATATTTATGCACAATAATGTCTGTAGCTTCATAAGGCATGTTTATTTGATCAATTTGAGTAATATTAGCAAGCTACAACGTCTGTAAACATGAAGTACTCGTTTGAGGACATCGGGTCTATCGTCATATTTTTTTATCATTTATATCACAGGAAAAATGTCCTTTTCGAGAGCTGAAGAATTGCTCTATGCAATTGCAAACAACTCTGACATTGAAGAGCTATCAGATGGTGAAGAGAATGATCCTCTTGTGCGGGAGTTCGTTTCAAGTGAACATGTTTACACTTTTATCTGCAAAAAATGCACTTTTTTAAAATAAAAATGTGTACTTTGTTAATAAATGCTGTCTTTATTGTGTCATACAGAAAGTCTGGACAGAAAACAGTGTAAATCTACATACTGTGAAACTGATTTACACAGGTGTAAATAATAACATTGATTGAATTGTCTTTGTTATTATACAGTAAGATAGGCCCATTGTCCTCATATGTGGACTTTGGTTTCGACATATATCTAGAGCACGTAGAAAGCTAAAATTTAATTTCAACTAAAATGAGGTCCTACTAATCCCAAAAAGTAAGGAGACATACAAAATGCACATCAAATAAAAGTCGGGGTCTCCGGAGCGCTGGAGGGGGGCTCATCCTGTGAGTGCACCAGAAACTTCCACTGGCCAAGCTGCTAACTTCTGGTTTATCCCTCCGCTAAGTTTGAATGGGGATAAAAAGATTTAATCGTGCGGTTCTTCCATACTTTCCAAATGTTATCTGACCATTGGATCAAATTCTGATAATTAATCGAGTCATTTCAAGTGGGCTGTTATGCACCCATTGCTTCTTTTACCCAGCTTGCCCACTATAACACACTGGCTGCAAAGCTTCCTGTGGGCTCGATAGTGACGCAGCTTGTGCTTTCAGTCTGTGATGTTAATGCTAACTCTGCAGCTACAGTGAGGAGGTCAGCTGAACTGTATCTAAAGGGGTCAGCAGGCAGTGCCTGAACTGGACCCTGATAACCCTAACCCTAATTCTTTAAGCGTGTTTTATCCATTTTAACAAGGACATTTTCAGCACTGGTTTCCCAGCATTCAGCTGTGTTAACACAGGAACACAGTATTCTACCCCACTCTGCTCCTGATTGGCTCTGACCCTGACATTTTTGACAACCATCTCACTCCCCATGCATAAACCTAACCAACCTAACCAACAAAGGTAACGGACACTAGCCAATCAGAGGCCCAGAATGCCAATGGGGAAAAAAAGATATCAAGTGTTAGTTGGTGTCTAGGAGTGCGTACCTAGACTCACCAGGAGGGTCAAATGAAATGATACTATTGGTTGCATTATGGGAAATGTACTGCAGGTTCCACTATTTGCAGTTTAGAGTTTGCCCTCTAACTATATAACCATTATACCTATACATCTGGATATATCTGCCTCTGTTCATTCAAACTGGATCATTCTCATACTTTTGATATTAAAGCATATTTTCCTGACTTTTACCTTAGTAAAGATATTTCTTTTACCAAAAACAATGAATACTTCATGACATTATGTAGGAACTATACATAAACATTAGTTTTCCAGACTAACCGAATAATAATCGATAGACGATAACTATTGACAGTGTACCGGTCCTGGTAGTGTATTACAGTAGGCTACCATAAATGACATGTAGGGTGACATAAGGAACACAGTAAAGCTGTACCTTGGAGATGATGAGCGGCTCTCCGTGCTCCAGGCCGCCCTGCAGGGTGAAGCCCCACGGCGCTCCTCCCTGGAGCCGGGCCTCCACCAGCACCCAGCCGCCTCCACCTGCTCCTCCGCCCGCCGCCTGCTGGAGCCCCGCCCGGCCGCCGCTGCTCTCCATGCCCGGCCAGGGAGCGCTCACTCCGGGCTCCTCTGTCCTGAGCCCGGCAGCGGCCCGGCGGACTGAGGCGGGGGGGACCGGACTGAAGAAAACTCCTTCTCTCCCTTCACAAGCGCATTTCCTTCATTCATTTAGAAGTCCTTGTTAGGGAAAAGAGAAAAAAGCAAAGCAGGAGGTGTCCGAGCACCGAGCTGCGTTTCCTGCAAAGTGCATTCCTGACGCGCAGAGAGCGGCTGATCCTCCGGCCGACAGACTCCAACCACAGCCCCAAACACCCGCTGCACTCCGCTCCCAAGGTTCAAAAGTTTCCTCACAGGAGAAAGTGGCAATAAATTCAATAAGAACGAAGGTCAGAGCACATCAGATCTGCTCAAACACACATCCAAACCTCCTCTCTCCCTCTCTCCCTCTCTGTCTCTCTGTCTGTCTCTCTATCTCTCTTCCGAAAATCAGTTTAGCATCACAATAGGATTTACTGCGACTCACTGAGCGAAAAGAAAAGGGAGAGACAGAGAGAGAGAGAGAGAGAGGTGGAGTGAGGTAGAGTGAGACAGAGAGAGGGAGATAGAGCGGGGGGACAAGAGAGGAGAGGGAGAGGTGGGCCGGGAAAGAAAAAGGAAGAAGTTAGAAAGGAATGAAGAAGGAATGAAGAAAGAAAGAAGAGAGGAAGGAAAATAAGATAGGACAGGATAAAAGAAAGTAAAGTAAAGATGGAAGAAAAGAAAAGGTGGAAGAAATTAAAGGAAGAAATAGAGACAGAAAAAAAGGAGAAAACTCTTATGAAAAGGGGATAATTAAAAAAAAAGAAAAGAGAATAGCTGTGAATAAAAGAGGGACTGGGAGCAAAGGTTTCCTCTCTCTCTCTCTTGTGTGTGTGTGTGTGTGTGTGTGTGTGTGTGTGTGTGTGCTGATGAGCTGTAATCCAATCCTCCACAGCAGAGCTGAGCTCCGCAGCAGCAGGTCTGACACTGTTCCCATTCGCACTGGAACCAGATTACTGCGGAGAACCACATTCAACTGCCTGGTGGATCCAATCGGTTACACGGTTCACAATAATCAGAAGTTACATCAGCTGTTGGATGATCAGGTTCATGTGGGGCAGGAAACGTCTCATCAGCAGCACAAACCTAAGGCCCCAGTATGCTTCAAAGGAACTAGTCCGTACGAAGTGTCGTCCAACCGCTTCTAAAGTCAAAGAGTTTAACTGTACTGAGGGTCATGCTGGAGGCCTAGGTGAAAGCTATACTATATAGTATAATATACGACCCCACAAAGGCAAACCACAGTAACTACAATTTTGGTCAAAACTGAGTTACGACTGAAATGGAGCTTTCTAAATGTCTGTTTTATCTTCTCTCTCTAAATTTGTATTCTTTTCAGTCAAAGTTCCCGCAGACTGTCTGCACGGCCACTATGGTAGACGCCAATCCTCCAAACAGACTCCAGGAAGTGAACAGAACTGCGACATTGGAGTCTGCAGCTGTCTGTTTGGGAGTATATTCAGGCCTTAAGAGTCCACAGCCGTCATAGCTAACATGGCTAGTGGTTACAAGTTCAACGTGTGAACAGTGCTAACAGTTGTACAGCGGAGGCTGGTGAGAATGTGTTACAGGTATTAGATCAAAAACCAAAGTATTAGACCAACCGGAGGTTTGATGTGATGAAGGCAGAAGATGAAAAGTTAAGGGATGAGGGAGACATGAATGTGTGTACACAAAATGTCATGGTAATCCGTCCAGTAGCTGTTGATACCTTCCACTTAGAACCATAAATACCAGCCTCATGGTGGTGCTAGAGGAGAGGTCAGAGTATCATCATCTGGGAACAATCAATGTCTGCACAAAATGTCATGGTAGTCCATCTAATAGTTCAGGTATTTCAGTCTGGAATAAAGCCCAACCCACTGACTCTCAACAATAGAGCCATGTTGCTAAACCAATCCTACTTTCACCCTTCCGTTAGGGTTAGGGTCAGGGTTAGGGTTAGGGTTAGGTCAGAAGATTCTGTGTTAAACTTTGGTCTGCACATTGGAGTAGAACCGCTGCTTGTTCGTGCTGAAAGGAGCCGGTTGAGGTGGTTCAGCGTCTGAACAGGGTGCTATCTGCTGCCTTCACCCTGCTGCCACCGCCATCCTGACGGTTAACATTTTCGTGAATGAAACTTTCCGTTTTAAAGGTCAACCACACAAACGTATTTACCTTTGGTTGTGGCTGCGACTTCATTCACCAACTGATGGACACACAGAGCGACCCAAAGAGAAGGTTTTACTGCCCCTTCGGTTGCATAGAATGGAGCAGAACGAGGGGAAAATATCGACCGTGCCTCAAATCTCATGTACGTACTCATGAACAGGTGACATTCATCAAATTGAAACGGGCATTTTATGACAACTTTGTGCAGTTTAGAGAGTTGGAACACTTGTACCATTAAGCTTCATGAAAAAAGAAAAGTGAGCGAGGTTTAAGAATTAGCTGAAGTAGTGTTACATCTGATCAGAACAGAACTCCAACAATCGAACTTCTGTGTCTGAGTTTGCTTCAAAACTGCAAAAGTCACATGACTGATGACACTTGAAGTAGTTTTCTGCCTCACTTTTTGTCAATGAACTCGTGGGTGGTTTGAAACCGGTCTGAACCACAGTAGGCACAACCGTGGGTGGTTTGAAACCGGTCTGAACCATGGTAGGCACAACCGTGGGTGGTAGAAGAATTTTCCGTAGAAATTGCACAAGTACAGTTACTGTAATAAACCTACATTTGGTTGCAAATACAACAGACACTGACAAATGATGTCTGTCCAGTTACACAGTGTGGTCATAAGCACCTGCACTGCTGCACAGAATCATACGAACCCTACTCTATTCTGTAAAACTAATTCTAGACTTTCTACTCCAACAACACTATCTTAACACGTGTTTAGAGGTCTTGGGGAGTTCAACTGCATATGTAACAAAGTTGTATAAATCCTTCTGTATTTCCAGATGGATGTCTTGTGATGTCTGATAAATGTCCTCCAGTGTCCTCAAGAACATGAACATGAACAGTGACTCACGTGTGGGTCCAGTTTTGCAAATCTGTGATTCTATCAACCAAGTAACTCTGAATCAATTCCAGAACTGGCCCCACTCATGAACCACCCAAAACCCTGACCTGGAATAGGCTCAGACCTAGCTGCTGGTGTGAGCAGAACAGGTAAAAGCTTGGGGAACTTTATATGCTGGTCATGTGAAAGCAGCTTTTGAATGAGATTATGTAATCCTGATCTGAAAGCAGTAAAATCCACAAAAGTTGAGATACAAGGTTTTTTCACCCGACAGTGAAGTTCAAATTCCCCAGTGACAGCCACGGCACTCGGCTCCGCCGCCGAGGTAAATTCCGGGGAAGCGGCAGTCCATCAGCCTGAGCTGGGTGTGTTGGCAGTTGTGAATGTGGTTTGGTGGAAGTGTCATCAAGTGTATCAGCTAACTGGGGTCAAAGGTCACAGGGGTTTCATGAAGAATAGAGAGGAGCCCGGTTTCTAGATGAAAATGTTTCAGGTGACACGAGACATTTCATCGAGCGCCAGGAGACTTCAGGTAGAATGATGATTCCTGCCTGAAGCTCAGTCTGAAGGATTTAAGGAGTCTGTCAGTCCGTCTGTAGCTCTCTCTCTGTCTCACAGTCAGTTAACCCTTATTGACAGGACAACTGCAGGGTTTAAATCTCAATGTGAGCACATCTCACTTTCAATCCATCGGACTGCAGGTTGAGCAGGTTTTTTTTGGAGGCCAGCGCTGTGGAGGCGACAGCAGAGTACGCAGTATATGATCAGAGATCGCCATCTTGAGGAGTGTGTAAGGATTATACTCAACTTTTCCTAGAGACTGTTGAAAATATAAACACAACACACAAGATACATTTTATTTAGCTATATGAAGATGTGGTGAATCTTAGCTACTCACGTTCCTTACAATTTAATGATACTATTATTTATGATATTTTAGTTAAAAACCCGTAGTGCAGTGGTTTCCAACCTTTTTTTCAGACGTACCTCCACAGTCCTGTCAGATGAACTCTGGCAGGCCTTCCTTGACAGCACAAATCATGTTCCAGATGTGTTCATTAGACCTGAATTTAAACTGGAATTAACACAATTGGCTATATGACAGTGGACAGAGCTATCACAGGGTTCCCACTCTTTTTAAGGAATAGTTTACCAGGACCTTTGCAGGACGCTTTTGTGGTGCGTTTGGGTGTTTTCACCAAAGCCGATTTTCTGCTTTCTCAATTGAATCGTCCTGTAACATTAATTTGGCCACAGCAAAGGCTAAAAAGCTATTAAAATTTTCCAGGACAACACTGATTATTTCCAGGATATTTGGTCATTTTAATCAATTTCCAGGTGTTTCCATTACTGGAAAACAGGTCTTTAAATTTTCAGGTTTTCCAGGATGCGTTGGAACCCTGTATCAGTGTTTTGGTTTGTTTGCACTACATGGGGTCTTTTACTTATTTTTACCATTTATCCATTTTAAATGATTTATCCATCCCTTTTAGCAAACTATTAATACTTGACTTCTGGTGAAAGCAGTGTTGTATTGTGAGGAGGAAATCTGGAGTAACAAATCTACAAAAAAACAACACACACATTTAGCTGGTTCTTATATATGTACATTTAATCAAATAAGATACATATAGTCTAAAGTTGAAAAGAAAAATGTCCCCACATTTACTGGAAATACAGTTTGTGTGATTCTGATAAGGCACAATTTAAACAGACATATGCAAACACCAAACAAAGAAAGATATAAATCATTCATATATAAATGTGCAATTCATAAAACATGTTTATAAAACACATAACTGGGGCAAACAAATTCAATTACCATTATTGCTTCAAAAGATTTGGATTTAATCAAAACCTAAATCTTTAACACTGAATAAGAACTGAATTCTTTAACAACTTTACATGCATAGATTTTTTTAGAAACAGGACTGCTTGCAGCTGATGCAAGTTGATGATCAAAGAAAAGTTAAATGTAACATTTTCAGACTTATATTAAAAAGAAGTTACAGTACTTATATTATTATTGTCCATTAACATCATAACATGTTAAATAATGAAGACAAACTTTAAAATGATACGTTTGATTACAGTTTTACATGATCTGTTATCAGCTCCAACGGACAGTGCAACATTTACTAAGTCGTTTTGGCAATAACGTTGATTTTCCCCCATAAGTGCTAAAGCTAAAATAAATTAACGAGGTTTATTACCCACCACAGCTATTGGTTGACCATCCTTTTGGAATTTCAGAAAATAAAAGTGATCTTTTACGGCTGAATTCTTAGTTTGAAGAACACAAGTATCAAAATTAAGTCTCAATTTCACCACAAAAATGGATGATTATTACTTCAGTGAAGGCAGATGGCAGAAATTTGGCAGCTGAGAGTCCAGAGCTGGACAGAAGTTGGCTTTAGAAAAAACACAGTCCCATGGCTTTTTGTAAGTGACAGCTGGCTTGTGTTGTAATTAATTCCCTCTAAACAGATTTTTTTTAAAAAACACAAAGCACTTAAATTTAGATTTCTTGGTGAAAACATTCTCCTAGTTAATGTGAGCAATTTTACTGTTACTGCAGTGACAAGCCTAAATATATATATAAAATCATCATTTGAAATAGTGGTTGTAAGTGTAATGTTAGAATGAATCTCATCATTGTGACAGCACAGTGGGACAAAGCACATTGAGTGTAGGGAATGAAGCTGAACTTTACACTGCTCTCTATCTTCCCTAGTCTAATGACATTCCTTTTTTGTTTTTGTGATGAAGGTTTGGCTTTGTCTTTAAATAAAATTCAGTTGTGGTTTTGCCAATGATAGCAGCAACAATACAAAGTCAGTCAGCCCAACATGGTCCAGATTTACATGACTTTAGTGGGGCCCCTGATCTTTGCCACCAACAGATAAAAATGTCCACTGGTCAAAAGCTTTGTTTCAGGATCAGTCTATTATGACTGAAACGCTAATCTTATGCTAGTGTTTGCAGTAAAGGGTAATTCCCAGGTGTTTAAACCTGGGCACAGTTTTCACATATTGGGGTCTAAATGGCTAATAGGTACAACAAGCTGTAGAAACAGGCTAAAATTGCTGCAATGTAATCCTCGGGGGCAATTGTGCCCGTCAAAGTAAGTCTACTAAAAGTGTTTGTTGTTGCCACTGACGGGCTCAGATTGTGAGTGTCTGACAACATGGAAAGGATCTCTACAGAGATATTGTTATAGAATAAGATCCCTTTTGTTTAACCAGAAACAAGAGAGGGATGCATATTGCAACAGTCAGACTCCACTGACAAAAACAGTAACAGTGACCTCACAGAACACAGGAGTTGCTGGTCTATCGCTGCCTCAATTGGTTAGTTTGTGTGGGTTGATTCTAACCCTTTAAAAACAATCACGTAATAACACAAACATTAAATTAGAGAAATAATGTTATGAATAAGTGTTACAAATGCCAGCATTAGTGCTGTTAACATACAATTAGAATATGCTCTTGCATATTACTTCATGGCTTAAAGCTTAAAGGTTCTATATGTAACTTAAGTTAATAGCAGTCAGCGTCCTGTTGCTCATGGTCACACTGCGTACATCATCCTGGGCATCAGCCTAAAGTGACATACACCAGACTGAACGCTGGAACATAAATTACAATCACATTTAAAGAACAGCTAGCTGTAACCCAGCTAGACTAAAAAACGCTATCTGGAGCTGACCACCCCGCAACACCTACCAACAAAGTAACCTGCACACAGCAAGCAAGCTGACAGTATTCTGCTACATTAGCTAGCAAACAATTAATGCTTGTTAACAAGCAAGCTGACATTAGCCAGCTAAAACCACAATGTCACAATATATTTCAGTACAGTAGAAGTAATGTTAGCTTGGACGTTGGACTTTGTGTAATGGGGGGTGCCGGTCCTTTGTAGACGTTAGTGGGCTCCATTTGAGTGTCTGAAATGGGCCGGTACCGAGTACCAGCACTTCTGATTTTTGTCCACATCAGTACCCTCACTGCCTACTACCTCTGGTGAGTATGGCTCATCATAAGCTAATCTTAGCTCGAGTTGCACACTGTTGAGAAGGGACTCGGGAGCGTTCATGACAAGTCACAACCTTTGGAGATCAGTTAAGTAAATTTTGTTAAGTGACGTTATAACCAGCTCCAAAATCTTACATATGGAACCTTTAAAACATGGTAAGGTGCTAAATGCTTGTTTTGTACCAATAAGATCTTGACAAGCTGAGTCTGAGATGAGCTAAAATGAAATGAAGGTCGTAACTCAAAACAACTCTTTTTGGTGTGTAAAAACCGTTACAGCCTCACAGGGCTGCTAATATGGCTACAGACTTTAAGGGTCCATCCCAATACTCACACTTGCTGTATTTGCAAGTAGTTTAGTGCCTACTCTTGTGACGTCTAGGCACATAGATTTACTGTACATAAGATAGATAGGTACTTTATTCATCCCAGAGGGGAAATTAAGGCATAAGAGAAATTATATATGACATTATTTTGATGGTGGCTGGCTGACAATTTTTAGGGACGGAACATATTTCTTAACATCTTTGATGAATGTACAAAGATATTTAATAATTACCTTGACAGTGTCAGATATGCAGTGTTATTTTCAGTCCCATCAAGAAAAACGGATTCATATTACGTGACGTGAAGACATTTCTGCCATAACTCTAGACATAAATAATAATATTCAGGCTGAATCAATCATGTCATTATCTTCTTCATGTGTAAAACTAACCTATAGGCACACTATCAACAACTGGACTGATCTGGCACAACTGTGGGATACACTGAGCTCTGAATACCATTTTGAAGAAGTGTGGGTTAAATGTAGTGTGTGCTGGCATATTTCAGACACGGGACACACTTGCCTGTCTACCTGGCAGCGCATGTTAAATGCTCAACACTGCAGGTGTGTGTATTGGGACACAAAACTAATGGTTTAGAGAATTATTTCTGGTACGTGCCATTCTTTATGTGCTGCCTATTCAAGCTGCCCTTTCTGACTGCTGACATTCAGCCATGCTGCAGTCGTCCTGCAAAGATTGTGTTGTGATGATTTTAAGGTGGAATTTTATCATTCTGGGAACTCCATCACGGTTCACTTGCACTTACATCTTCGGACAGCTGTCATCTCATTAGTGAACAGTGAAATGTCACTGACCCACTGAACTAACCGAGGGTAGCTGTGAGATGTAAAATCCAAACGATGCACAAGAGTAAAGGTGTTGCTGCTGAAAGGTTTGGTGTCCAGTGAGACTGACCTACCTGACTGACTCCACAAACACTAAACCTCCTCTGACACACTGTGGATCGTATCTATGATCTTCTTCTTCAGTTTCTTCACTTTGTCTGGCGGCGTCTCGTTCAGACACTCCTCTACGTACTTCAGGAAGCCTGCGTGCGGTGACACCGCCTGGCTTTGACACAGCGTTCTCATGAAGTCCAGCACCTCGCTGCTGGTGGGTGGCAGGCGCCGGCTCGCTCGCTTGCGTCCTGACACTCTGCTGTCAGTGTGAGAGGAGGATGTGGAGGGGGAGGACGAGGGGGAGGAGTGCTGGGAGTCTGGGGGAGTAGGCGAGGGAGGGGCTTCAAGGCTCCGTGAAGTGATGTTCAGTTTGGTAGCAGTTTGGGTGGCGCCGTGGTAATGTAGGGAGGAGGGAGGGGCTTGGCAGTCCAGGTGGAGGAGGCTGGACTCTTGGGGCTCGGGGAAGTGCTGGTCTTCAGGCCGCTCGTCCTCGTCGCAGGAGTCGCAGAGGAACATCAGCTCACGGTAGTGTTTCCACTTTGGAAAGTAAAAGTCCTCCGACCCACATGTTTTGTTTGAGCTCACCGCCTTGTGTTCACGTTGGAAGATGGTCCGCAAGTTCCTGAACTTTGTCTTTATGTCTTCCACTGAAGAATGAAGAATTACAGAACCATCAACACATAAAACAGCTTGCTGTCTTTCAGAGGCTGTAGCGGGCTCAGTTCAAGAGGAGATACCTTGTCGTGACGGGGGGGCTAAATAATGCCCCTAAGTTTGGCTACATTGTGGATGGAAAAGTTAGCATGGCCATTTTCAAAGGGGTCCCTTGACCTCTGACCTATCTGAATGGGTTCTCTGGATACCCACAAGTCTCCTCTTGACAGACATGGACACTTTATGCTATTCCCATGCAGTTTTGAGCCTCTTATGGACTCAATAAGCCCAATAGTATTCATTTGTGATGAAGTCTCCATTTCATTGTAGTGAGACGTCAAGGAAAATAACTTCTCACCATCCAATTGCTGAATAATACAATTCTTACAGAAATCTCTGAATGTCAAAAGTTTTTTTTATACCAAATCAATTCCCCAAGGGCTTAATGTGGTATTTAGTTAGTTAGTTAGTTTTAGATTTTAAGTGGTCAAAAGTGGTTACATTTTGGTATCAACCCAAAAATGGCTGCAACAACATATGAGACATAATTGAGCATGGGAATGGCCATCATATACTCCATAATTGTTCTAATAATTTAATATTTCTCTATCATTGTTACCTGTGAATGGGACCGGCTCATTGTCAGACAGGAGGTTGCTCAGCGTCTCCAACAGGCTCTGTCTCAACAGTCTGTTCCTGTAGCTCTCTGACTTGTGGTTCCACAGACAGCTGTGCTCTAGAAAAATAAATAAAAGACATCAATCAAGCTTGGTCTGTACACACCCACATAGCCCTTGACCTTAAAACATTAATTAGTAACATAAATGATGCCACCAACCAGAGTAAAATGATATGAGCTGCTGAACTTTGGCCTCGTTCCAGTGGCAGCGGGTGTCTGCGCTCAGTCTGCTGTCTGGCTGAACCGAACTGGACAAATTTTGAGGGGAGGGGTTTGTGCAAGGTTTGGTTTCTGGCAGTGAAGTGGACGGAGAGGTGGGGAGGGTGGGGGCAGTTGTTTGGCCCGCTAGTTTAAGATGATCTGGAGATGCAGGGAGGAAGATTTGGTATGTGGTGCTGGTGCTGGTTTTGGCGTCGCTGGAGGCAGTGGAGGAATTGCTGAACTTGATGCTGTTGTTTTGGGTGGAGCTGGAGGAGAAGTTGCTCAGGGTGGAGGAGGGTGTTTGGTTTCCATGTTCCAGATCCGTGTCCTCCTGCTGCAGCAGTATCTGCAGGTCGTCTGGGCTGTCGTCTTCGTCGCAGGACTCGCACAGGAAGAGCAGCTGCTGGTAGTGTTTCCATTTGGACACGTAGAGTTTGTCAGACGCCCTGCTGGCCTGGACCGCCTTGTATTCACGGTTGAAAACTGTCCGAAGGTTTTTGAACTTGCACTTTATGTCTTCAACTGCAAAACAGCAACAAAGGAATCACTTTCATTCAGCTCTCGAAAAAATACTCACATCTCTTATTTTGTTTCTCAAATGTAGAATGCCGTTCCTTCCTTTATTCAGATTTTAGTTAATGGTTATTTCTTGCTAAGTTAAGCCACATTTTCTTTATTGTTTCTTTTATAATGACAAACGTGACAATCCACCAACTGTGCTGCTCTATGGAGCTTTTAAGCCTCTTTAGCTCAGTTTTGGTTTTATAGCCCATTAACTGAGGTGAAACAGCCAGCATCTAGTGGGGTTGGTGGAGAGTTATCTGCAGAGCTGCAGTCAGGAGCCTAGCTTAGCATAAAGACAGGAAGTGGGGGGGCAGCTAGACTGTATCTGTCAGAAGTTCCCAAATACACCTACTTACACCTGTAAAGCTCATTAATTGACACGTTTTACCTTGTCTGTACACAAACACAAATGTAGAAGCAACAAGTTGTGGTTTTCGGGGAAGTTATGTGCTGGAACTGAGCACAGGGTTCGGTTTTGATCACTGTATAGGCACAATGGTACCAAACCTGGCAACCACAGTGGGATGACAAGGCTTTAAAAAGCTATGTAGTCACTGCACCCGACTGGTTGCTGAGGAACACAAACTGTTATTTGTGGCTGCATAACAGACGAGAAGCAACGTGTTAACTGGTGAGCTTTAGAGGCGTTACTAGGGATATTTTTGAACTTGGACAGAGCCTGGCTAGTGGTTTCTTCCTGCTTCCAGTCTTTACTCTAAGCATGCTAAGCCAACATGATGAATGCATTTCCTTCCTCATATAACATTTGCAAATCCGATTTTTCTTGTTTGACACCTGCAGTGTTCACATCTATGTTTGCTAGCAAGCAGTCTTCTTCTTTCCTGCGTTTGCTGGTGCATTACCGCCACCTGCGCACACATGTCCGCATGCACAAACAAAACAGGGACCCACACATAGAAAACGGGCTCCATAGCGCTACTAGAGGTCAAAACCCCTACAGCAGGGATACTCCACTTGCTTTTGCAAAATGTCAGGAGCACAAGGACCAGTTAATAAACAAACATGAATTATATTTTTCAGATAAAATGGGTAAACATTAGGATTGTTAGATGTAGCAGAATAAGACATCAAAGTCATAATCTTTGCTTTTCTTGCAGTGGTGCCAGAATTACTGAACATTTATTGATCGGTAAAAACAATTATTATTATGACTGATATCGATGATCTCATCTTATCTTGGAAAGAAAGTGAATAAGGAAATAAGAAAATGCTTAACTATTATTTACTACTATAAAGCAGTGGTCATTAACTTGGGGCACTGTACCCTGCCAGGTGGTCATGGGATGGTTTAAGGGATAAGAATCAAGAGAATGGACATGAAATATGTTATAACAAATGTTGGTCCAACTTAAGTTGTAATCACTGGCATATGTAAGAAGGACCTCTCTATTCCTCCCACTGTACAAAAATGAAGACATGGCTATATGACCTGTACTGCAGTCAGCCACCAGAGGGCGATCTAGATGTTTTGGCTTCACTTTTGGAGAGCTGTCATGTTGTCCATCTTTATATATGTTGATTGTTGTAACAAAAAAAAACTGAATGTGCAAATACTGCTGGTATTGTACTTTTGACCTTTTGACCAGTGCTACTGTGTTGGGCTGTAGGACCATGTGACCTTTACCTGAGAAAGACACTGAGGCGTCGGAGAGCTGGCTCCTCAGAGCCTCCAGCAGCCTCAGTCTGAGCTGACGGTTGTTGTGGTTTTCAGACTTCTTGTTCCATAGACAGTTGTGCTCTGTGCACAACAACACACAACAACACCCATCAACTACAAAACACTGTTGCTGTAAGAACCCAAACTATCATTAGGTTTTGCCTCTGTATACCAATCCCTCTGTAATAACTACTAATTATTTGGAATCTGGAATCACGGTTTTGTTTACCGGAGTAGAAAGCGATGAGCGCACGCTCCCTCTCTTCAGTCCAGTAACATTTAACCATCATGTTGGACGGGACACAGGAGGACGAGGAAGAAGAGGAGGAGGTGGACGGAGTGGGGAGGAAGGAGATGATCAGCCCTGGGGAGGTGAGGAGGGGCTGGCTGTCCTCCTGCGGGACGATCAGCGGCGAGAGCGGCAGGTCATCAGGGCCGTCATCCTGGTCCCAGCAGCCCTGCAGGAACATCAGCTGCTGGTAGTGCTTCCACTGTGGCACAAACACGTCATCCGACCTGCACACCTTACTCGCCTTCACCATTTTATACTGACGTTGGAAGGTGGTCCGAAGGTTCTTGAACTTGTTCTTAATGTCTTCCACTGGAAAGAAAATCAGTATAAGATTACATTAACCTGCACAAAATGCAGCTTTAAAAATGAGAGGATCCAACCACTGCCTTCCTTACCGGTGAAACGGACAGGTGGGGGGTGGGCTGACAGAAGGATCCTCAGATGTTCCAGAGTTTTCCATCGCAGCTGTCGGTTCTTGTAGCTCTCTGACTTGTGGTTCCACAGACAACTGTGCTCTGGGAAATAAAAACAAAAAGATAATCAAAAATCTGCAATTCTGTTTTGCATTTCTTTTGGGGGGTTTTTTTTGGCAAATGTTGGTTCATCGTAAAAAAAAGGTCTTAGTCTTCCTAACCACCTGTAGTTCTGGCTAAAAGGGAAAAAGAGAGGAGAATTTTGGACCAGATGTATTTCAGTCACATTAACTGAGATGTACGGAAGCCAAGCATGGCCATGCTTGCATTCTTTTTTTTCTAATGCCGTTGTGTCAAAATCCTGAGTTAACATAACTTTATATATGAACATAAATGTGCAGTGGACCAAAACATACAACTGTATTAAAGATGATGAATTAAACATTGCAATTCAGTCCTTTTTTAGGAGTGCGTCTCTCTCATTACCGATTACGATTTTTGTTTTCTCAAGATGACGGGATAATTATGGAGAACTCAAATGCGTATAGTTCATTTTAGGGCTGCAACTAACAATGTGTTCATTATTAATTCATCTGACGATTATTTTCTTGATTAATCGATTAATTGTTTGGTGTCAGAAAATGGGGGAAAATGTTTTCCCAGAATGTAAGGTGACGTCCTCAAATGCTTTCTTTTGTCCACAACCCAAAGATATTCAGTTTACTGTCATAGAGGACTAAAGACCAGCAACCTTTTATTTTCTTGCTGATCATCTAATTTTCTCGGGATAATTAACTTGTGATCTCAAAATAACAGCATTAAAAATGTATTTATATTTCAAGCTTGGCCTTTCTTGGCTTCTGTACGTATGTCTGGAACTCTTACCCAATTCATATCAAGTGCAGTTATTTACATTTTTTTTGTTCAATTTCAAAGATGGCTGAAAGAAACTCACACTCGATGTTTTCAATCTGCAGACAGATTGTGACTAATACTGTTTTGGTCCACTTGTGATTCTGAGATGCGAGTGGAGGAGTTTGAGAGGAGACATGAGGAGAGAGCGGTCGAGGCAACAGGCTTTTAACAAAATGAGACATTCCTGCTTCGGAGCCGTCCATTAAATATGACATGTGGCACAGCTGTACCATCTGTCCACTGCCACGCCTCTTTATACGTCAGGGGTCCTGGAAAGGATACACCTGTGCATCCTTGCTCATAGCTACTGCAGCGAGCCTCCTCTCTCCTCGAGATGCATTTTAGGCATTGAGAAATCCGTCAAAATGGCACAGATCTATTTCCAGGTCACAGGGAGGTGGACGGAGGAGAGAGGATGCAAGGAGGGACCAAATAGAGAGAAGAGCCTATGGTATACAGGTACAACATTAAGTCTATATTATTAAGTGTATAAACACATTTATATAGTTAAGTGTACACTGGCTTGCAATCAGAGCAGGGCAATGATTCTGATATGTTTACAGAGGTGGTTTGGGGGATGCTGCTCATTTGTGCTGTAGCTCAGGTGTCATTTCTTGTGCTGCTTAAATTTCACTGAGTTGCTTTAGTCAGGTGTGTGTGTGTGTGTGTGTGTGTGTGTGTGTGTGTGTGTGTGTGTGTGTGTGTGTTTGTGTGTGTGTGTGTGTGTTTCTCAGGGTCTTCTTATGTGGAAAATCTGTGGGAGGATCAGCAGTCATGAGTCATTATTTTAACGGGCCAATTTCACTCCTCAGGTGTTCCACAGTCTCTATAACGTACGTTAGACACAAATCAAGTCTCCATATAAAATATTCAGAATATTTATCAACTACAAAATGGCTAACGTTACAAATACTAAGGATGAAGTTGACTGAATTTAGAAAGCCAACAAACTTCTTTATCCATTTATATTGAAACCAACAGGTGAAACGTTCATGGAACAGAAACGAGATGCCATTTGGGCGTATTTTTAGGAGAAGAACAGCTAACTTGACTTCAGTTGCTAGTCGCCATTGCTGTCATGTATCTGTATCGCTCATCGCTAACAGCCGTCGGTCTCGTCGAGCAACGGTTGCCCACAAATGTTGCAGCTTCCGACAACACGTGGACGAAAGCAGCAACTTTTACGGAATGTAAAGTTGCCGGTGTAGAGTGTGACTTACTGGAGAAAAACGCTATGAGCGCCCTCTCTTTCTCCTCCGTCCAGTACCTCTCCGGTGTGAAGCTGAACGGAGACGCCTCCATATTTGTTGTTGCCGTTCAATCCTTCCTTTGCGCGGCTGCTTGGTCACATGACCCACACTTCAAGCTCTGATTGGACGATTCCGGGACATCCTTGAGCAATATTCGCATTGCCCAATAGAGGTCGCTGTTGATCGGTGTTCATCTCCTCAGTGAGGATGCTGTTGACCAAAATGTCAACACACAGAGGCACTTCTATTCTGTTCTATATTTCATTTTTTAAATAAATTTAATTCCGTTGAGAGCAGTTGATGATTTTAATTAAGATTTAAATTTGAGATTAAAATAATTATAAGCTGTTCAGTAGTTGTTCTGGAGCTTTGAATAATTTCCAGATTGGACCCTTCAATCTCAATTTTTAAGCCAACATGGAGGGGAAGTCCTAATGTTCTCAGGAAAAAAGACATTTGAATGTGTACATTTCCACCAGGCTCCATCTGCTGAGGATGATCATGTTATACTGTTGAAAGGTCTAGAACAGTCACAGTCACTGGACTTCAGGTGAGATTCCTAAATGTATAATTTATTTCTATATAGTATATTGATATATATAATTTATATATATATAGATGATTAAGCATAATACAATGCTGTGTTGTTAAAGTTAAGTAATAGTAATTGCAATAGTTAAGTAAAATTATAACTAAAACTTACACAATGTATTCAGATTTCCTTTAGTAAAAAAATCATTTTTGCATGAATTAATAAAAAAAAAAAGTTTGTCTTTTGTCTTTTTACTTAAAGGTCCAGTGTGTAGGATTTAGTGGTCTAGCGTTGTAGTTTCAGAATGCAACTCACTCGCTTCACCCTTCCTTTCCAAGCACGAGAGAGAAACTACAGACGCTGTAAATAGAACATTTGTCTGTTCTGGGCTACTGTAGAAACCTGGCGGTTTAACATGGCAGCCGCCATGAAAGTCAACCCGCGGCATCCTTAGATAAAAACGTCTCATTCTAAGGTAAAGAAACACAATAATTCTTATATTCAGGTGATGATACACTAATGAAAACATACCTATGAATATTATATTCCATTTCTGCCAGTAGAGCCTAAAATAGTACACACTAGACCTTTAAATATACTACAAGGAGTTTTGAATTGTTATGAAACAGTTTCAGTTTAATATTGAGGCCTCTACATGACAAATTTATGAAAAAGACTATCAGTGAGAAGATTTATTATTTATAGGTACATATTCCACTATATGTATTGCCACTAAATCCTACATACTTGACCTTTAAGTAAAATATAGACGTACAGTCATTTTTCCACGGTGACGCCCTCCTGTCCTGGACAAAGAACAGACAACCAAACGAAAATATAGACAGTTTTTCTGGTTCTCAGAAACATTCAACCAACAACCAGCTGGAAGTTTGAAAAAAAGCACTCGTTATACAGATGCCAAGTGTTGTTCTGTTTTAATTTCCAATAACCAACAACTGGCTGGTACACTTCCAGACAAGACAACAGACAAAGTGTATTTACAGTGAAATCCCATGTACATTTCATTTCTTCACATATACATACATCCAGTCCATGTGCAACATTTACACTGTTGAGTCAGTTTCAGTTTCTGCTGAACTAACTGAGTGTTCACATTCACACTAATATCCTACTTATGATCTGGGATTTGGAGTATACAAAGCCTCAAACAGACATCAAATCCTGGCTACACAAACCTGGATTATCACTCACCCTGGTTTTCAGGAGCATAAATGATGTGGTTTTGGTTATTTCAACTGGTGAAAAAGCATTCAATCTTAAACGACAACAACAGCAAAAACAGCTGTCCTTGTCATGATAATGAAAAGAAACTGCAAGCTTTAGTTAATAAAAGAGCAAAAACAGACTAGATTAGAGAAATCATTGAAATGCAGATCTGTTAAAGTTTGTACGAGAACAAACTGCAGATAAGTTGATCTGATCTAGCACCTTTCAAATGTTATAAAAAAGAGTAGACGAGTTACAAGGATACAAATAACCAGTTTCTCTATCAGGATACCAGTGTGCATGTAAACATACTCAGGTGTAAATGCAGGAAACAAGGGGGATATTGTTTGTTTCATAGTCTAATCTGAACAAACCCAAAAAACCCAAAGCAGAATGACTGATGGTCTGCACAGGAACTGAACCCCCAACCCAGACTGCGTTGGTGCCATTAAGCTACACAGGACTGAACACTGAAGGAAAACCTCCATATCAACCACAATAACCAAGGCAATCCCACATTTCACTTACAGTATATACAAACTATAATATCATTCACATGTACATTTACATTTTAAGGTCATAAAGCAAATAACTATGTACACTCTGTGCCAGTTATATATACTGTTAAACTCTTCAGCATTCGTTCCTAAAGCTTCTCTAAAGCTCTCATAAAATCTCTTTCTGATGCTTCAAGTATAGGTTCATTCACAGAAATATCACTACTTTCAGGGGAAAAACCTCACATCTGCAACATGTTTGTTTAAAAATCCAACAAATGGCTTTCCAGCTGAGCTCCATTTTGTTTTTGAAAATAATACAGCAAAGGATCAGCCGACCTCACAATGAAATCTAAACTCGCAAAGGAAGAACACTGCGGTCCAAGCACCCAGAGCAACTCGGGATCGAAGGCACACCGTCAGGGTGTCGTGCTGCCACCAAGCAGCATTTCTCAACCTACATTCCGGAGCACCACTAGATGGCCGCATGGCACCGTAGAGAGTTCTGATACAGCTTTGTTTAAAAAATAAATAAATAAATAAAATTTGATTTTCTTGAGTTTGGTATTACAATACTGGAGGTTGTGCAAGCTATTGTGCAATTGGATATACAGGATGTGCGTTCCAAATCTGGTGCCATTTTGAGAATCCCCTGGTGACCAGGACCTTAAATATTATAATTAAAGGTGCTCTACGTGATATTTTTTAGTTAAATAGGTGTTAAATAGCTCTAAAATCTGACAGCCATCACTGATATAGTGTTCAGTCACTAACACGGGTCTCCCAGTCCCTCCTTTCTGCAGTAAACAGAGAATAGTTTCTGGTATCCTGGTCCCACTTTATCCAATCAGGAGAAAGAACTCCACAAAGAGGCGGTCCTTAAGGGCAGGAAGCAGAAGTTTAGTGTGGTCATGTGGGAGGCGGGAAGGGACTGCTAACTGTAAGTCAGGAAGTTAGCCAAATGCAGATTTCACTTAGAAATGCCACCTGTTGTTCAATTAGAACCAAATTGATATAGACACCAAAATGTGTCAAATTTAAAGAACGTAATCCTGAGAAAAAATGTGAGGACAACATGACTTCATCGCGTTCTAAATCAGAGGCTCTATTGTTAACTGTATTGAAATTAAAAATAAAAGTCAGAGAATTATTAGAACCATAAACAATATAGCTCAAACTCTGTTGGTGCTTGGACCGCCAACACGCTGAACGTCGCAGCTCTGAGGTTTCCCCACTGCCAGCAGCCAGCAGCACTTCCATAAAGTGACTTTGATATAAAAATAAAACAGATGTGACAGAATGAGTAAATCCAGGTTGATTTAAAAACACGATGACCTGAGGTAGAGTGACAAACGGGGACACTACCCGGTGAAATTAAAAACTATCCAGTGAGGTGTTTGGTTATTTTACTCTCATCATTAATAATTTTCTAAAATATATACAATAAACCTATGTATGTTAGCAATGCATTGCCTAAAATATTTCCTTCTATCTTGTTTTGGATGATGGAAGTTAAAATCTCTATAGAAATGACAATTAAAATTGATATTTTGACATTTTATGTGGCTCTCATCTCTCAGCTCATCACATTCGTACCTTGTTAGCGATCGTTAGCTCGTAGCAGGTTAGATACTGTACACTTAGAAAGAATAAAAATCCCTTAACCCTGTCAAAAAAACTGTTCTTCTTCAACAAAAAAACAAACAAAAAAGCAGTATAAATCAACACTGATGTTTTGGCTGCTGTAAATATGTTGCAGACATGTTTCTTTTGTACAATAACCAATAAGAAATAATCACATCATAAAAATACGGCTTCAAAATGATACAGCTGAAGGTAGAAACACCTTTTTTTGTTTATCACAAAAACAATCAACAACTTCAAGCTTAAAGATGAACAAAAATCCTTCCATTAAAACCTCAAAAATACTTTACTTTCTGGGGACTTTATGTGGGTGTATCCCAAAACTGGGCTAGCCCAATCCATAAAAAAACGCAGTTGGCCCCTCGTCCTGTCAATCAAACGATGGTTTCCATTTAAACTGTGTGGTCCCTGTTGGCTCCACCGTCTCTCTGTCAGTCAAATAATCGTCTCCGTCTCTTCTGTCAAATTGAGCAAATGACATCTTATATGCAGCTCTTTGCTCCCGCCTCCTTGTAAAAGAAACATCCTTATTGGTCGCTCAGAAGACGTTACTGCCTCTGCCCCTGGTCGGTGAAGTAATACGTGAGTACTGCCTTCTGGCAAAGAAACAATGCTATTGGAGCTTCTTGGTATCAATAGCAATCTTCTGACAATAAAAGTACACATAGTCCCGCCCTACGGCAAAGAAAATGTGTTACCGTTTCTTTTTGTAACAAAATGTCAATCAATCAAACCACTTTGGAAGCCCCACCCTCTGTGGTCCTTCCACCTGTCCATCAAACGATACTGTCCTGCAGCAGCGGCTCAAAGTCCTCGTCGCTGGCGGTGGGAGGGGTCTCCTCGTCGCTGCCCGGGAGGGGCGTGTTGATGTGGACGCCTGCTAGCGAGGACATGGACTCTTTGCTGTCTGGGTGGGGCTTGTCGCTGAGGGACAGCTGGGAGGAAGAGGATGAGCAGGAGGGTTTCTCAGGGATGAAGAGCGCAACAAGGAAGGCAACTACCACGGTACACGCCCCCAGCAGGAAGGGTGGGCCGGGGATGAGCGCTCGCTGAGAGAGAGGAATAAAGAACAATGTTTCTTTTCATTTTTTTCGTCTGGAGCACAACTGTGTTTCTTTTCATTTTTTTCGTCTTTCATCTGGAGCACAACTGAAGCATAGCCAATACTGCTGTTTACTACTACTGTTATTTTTTCATCTAAACATGGCAAGGCAATTCATTTATATAGCACATCTAATTATAAAATATAGTAAAATAAATGTGCATACAAAAAAACATTTTCAAATGTACTGACCAGAGCACAAACTACTTTCTGCATCAACATGGGGGCAAGGGGCCGCATGATTTAATGATGTCATCTGTAATATGTCATGTCCAACTGAAATCACATGGAGTCGCTCTTTTTCCACTCAAAAATAATTGCAAAGTGATTTTTAAGTTTATTGTTAATAATTTTATCATTAAAAAAAGACAAGAAAAGTTGTTAGTGGTATTGACGAGTAAAGAGCACACCAACATCCAACTGGACTGAAGTGAAATTAAAAGGAACGTCGTTATGCTGTTTAATGGGCTCCGTTGAAAAAAACCTCCAAACTGCAGTTCCTCTAACAGCCACTTGAGGCTGGCTCCAGCAGTGAGTCAATCCCTATAAGGCCCCATATTAAAATGCCCAACTTTACAGCAGAAATAAACATGTTTACAGCCTGCTACAAGAAGCGGTTTTGGTCTCGATAACTTATTTTCCTCTTTATATATAACTCGTGACTGAGTTTCACTCTTCAGAAACCTCTGGGTGACACTACGGACAGTTTTAATCATACAGTCTATGACATTTCCATCGTTTCTATGGCATTCATTGTGATGTGTGGCCTCTGCAGAGTATCACTTATTATAACACTCCCTACCAGCAGTGCTACAGCAGGAGCTGTGATTTGTTTTCTGCTCCATTCATTTGCTGCAGTAAGCTAATGATAAAGCTAACACTGATACTGACACTTACGATTCATAATAAAAGTGTTTTAAGGTGAAGGCAGTGGTAGGCTTTTACTATGAAACAACCACAGGAAACAGTGACAATGTTAAGCATTATAGCTAACCAGTGTTTTACTTCTTGCTCGGAAGTTTATCTGACTGTAAAAAGATTTGGATATTTTCACTTCTTGTCGGAAAGACGGTTTTAAATGTTATTACAGCTATTAAAGCTGCAAGCAGCGATGAACGGGCCCTTCGCAGTCCCTGTGAGTGGGGGCGTGCTGTTGTCAGGTTACCCACCACAACATCATGCTGTGAAATTTTCATGTCAATCAGATCAAAATAGCCATACAAAGCTTACTTCCTCTTACCAGTAGGTGGCACTATGACTATGACAGAATATTGGCACGTTTGGGCCCGATTGGAGAATGTATATTGAAGTTAGGGATAGAGCTAAGCTTAGGGTTTAGTGCTAGGGTTAGGGTCAGGGAGAAACACTGGTTTTTGACACCACACTTCTTTTAATCGTGAACTTCTTCAAAGTGTAACAAATCTGAAGTCAATCTGATTAATTCTCTATGGGGGTTTTTAGAACAGAACACCTGAAAATGTCAGAAATGGTGCCAAAAAGTAGTTAAATTAGTGGACTTTCACTGGAGTTTGAAAAAACTCAGTCAGACATATAGCCATGTAGATAGACCCACACATGTGTAAAGTTAAGCAAGAATTGCTGCACCGTTTGCAGCAGAAAGCAGGAACGGTGTGGAGCGTTGGGGTGTAGGTTTAATGAATACGGTACCTCTGTGGGACTGTGCAGAGGCAGGGGGTCAATGTTAAAGTCTCCCTGGATGGGGTCCATGCTGTTGAGCTCAACGTTGAAGAGGAAGAAGATAAATCCGTACAGAGCTGGACCCAGACCATTACACAGACCTCTGATCCCTGTTATCATCCCCTGGACCACACCTGCAGGGGGAGACAGACAGGTCATGCTATTGGTCACCATGTTATTGCTGACACGGTGAAAACTGGAACTGCTGATATATTTAGCTGGCAACGGGTTGATTTCACGGCCTCCCTTAGTAATACAAACTTCCATCGAAAAAATACATAATAACACACTGACCTATTGATCTGTGTGACAGAAAGAGAGGAGAGGAGAGGAGAGGAGAGCAGAGGAGAGGAGAGGAGAGGAGAGGAGAGGAGAGCAGAGGAGAGCAGAGGAGAGGAGAGGAGAGCAGAGGAGAGCAGAGGAGAGAAGGGAGATTTTCTTTGTCACCTTGTTTATCAGGATCAGCGGACTGTGACACCAGAGCAGAGACAGCTGGGAAGGTGATGGAGGACATCGCTGCCACAGCACCAGCCGCCCACATCATCCTGTTAACCCATTTAACACAAGTTCAACGTGTCAGATCTCTGTGTTATCATCCATATAGTTTTTTAGCGTGTTAGGTATCTGACATTGGACCTGTTACTGACGAAACAGGTCCCTGCTAACAACTAGCTACGGGGGTGCCACTCAGCCTTACTTTCAGTTTTTGGACATTGGACAGTTTTCTCATTGGACTGTATAGCCAAGTTGGCGTTTGGTATTTAGTGTTTATTGTATATCTATGGTGAGACTAGAGTAGGTGCATAGCAGCAACTGTAGCCTATAGTACAGCTGTAGCTGTGGTGGTGGAAGTGTTCCCTTCTGCTGCCCAATCAAAATACAGAACACTGACGTGGCTGTGTCAGCAGATAGAGTGCTAACCGTGTTCTGTCTGACAGCAGCTTTACAGCAACAGAATGAATGTAACCCTCCACTAAAACAGAAAACAAACACACACAGATCTCACCATGGCTCTGATCCGAAGCCGTACCAGGCCAGCTGAAGGATCTGGAAGCCCAAACCCAACAGAACAGTGTTTTTATTACCCAGAGTCCTCATCAGCAGGGTGAGTAAGAGAGTCTGAGAAAGGAGGTAGGGAGAGAAAAAAAACACAAATGTTATTCTAACCTTGTACTTATGTAAGGAATGTGTATAATTCATTAACATTTATTAATATAATGAGTAGTAAAAGTAAGTAATATTTGATTATTTGTCAATTTACACTGTTACATACTGTATGACCACAAGCTGTCTATGTGTTAGTGCAGCTTTATGATAGCTCTTAGCATAGAGTGCAGGAGTTCTTCTTCTTCTGTGGTTTCACTGATTTCATTTATTATCTCACACTGATGGACTCCTCTGTGCTGTTTAATGTAGTGTATTTACTGTTCTGGGGCTGTTGTCTACCTGCCCAGGGACAACAGATGCAAATTAGCTGCTAGCTAACTCTGGTGTAATTACTTTTAATCGTGCACTGTCCCTGCAAAAATGAAAAATGAACTTTTTTTAAAATTAAATAACATTTTGGCAGTTAGCTAAAAAGTTCAGGTGGACGGAAGCGACGGTGCGACTTGCCCTGATTTGCATATATTGCGTGAATATGGTTACGTGTACACAAAGTGTACTAAATCACATTTAGATTTAAAATATACAACATTACTAAACATTAATTATCTTTCTTGGCTCAGATTGGTTGTTTTCGTTTATTCTGGAACCTGATTTATACACAGTTTATCTGTCTGTACTACTGTCAGGATATAGTGAAAGTTTCAGCAAATATGATAAAAAGTTACTTTTAGTTATCTACTGCAGCTTTAATCAGGATATGTGACACTTGAAATGAGGAGTGTGTGTGTGTGTGTGTGTGTTACCTGTGCTACAATAGACAGAATTCCCACTACTCCAATAAAGACAGCGATGGTTGTGGAGGAGAAATTTATAACCTGGAGGGACAAACAATATTTTTTAAGGGATGTCAATGTCAACACAACATCATTTAAAAGGTAAAATCCCAAATACCAGCACCAAGCACCAGTGCCAAACCCAACCAGCTCATTTAGATTCACTTGTCAGTAGTATGACAACTTCCTACTACAGGTTTGAACTTTTTAAACATAAGACATTGCTGCTGGCTACCATCACTGGACTGCACCAAAGATGAACATTTTTGAATCCTCCACCCAGTGGCCTTACGAAGCAATCCCAGTAATAACAGCAGTAATAATGTTAGTACTAGCAGCATTTGTAGGAAAACACTTCACTAGTGTGTCTCACCTGTCTCAGGTAGAGGAAGAAACTGGAGTACTGTCCGGCCTCCGGCAGGTAAGAAAGAAACACAGTGATGCAGATCAGTAAGACCGTCGAGTCCTGACCCACCTTCCTCAGAGACTGAAGGAGAGAGAGAGACAGAGAGAGGGACAGAGAGATAGAAAATACAACATCGGCGCTGTCAGACGATCAGTTAGCAGTGAAAAGACTTTACGCGACTACAAACCAAAGCAAATCGATCAGCTATGAGTTCATTATTCAACCAATCAGATACTGTACTGCAAATTATTGGTTACTGACAGTGAATGGGTCGGCCTGTTCCCAGGATATAGGCGCCCCCCAGGTGTTGAGCCTCATCTTGTCCGGCAGAGACTCGGGCACAGCCAGCAGGATGAAGCAGATGTCGGCCAGAGCGATCAGTGTGGCCAACAGAACCACCAGGTTGTCTCCATACCAGGCCGACAGGTACGCCCCGATGGCTGGACTCGTCACGAGGCTGGCTGCGAACGTAGCCGACACCTGGGGGCAACGAGGAGAGAGGAGGATGGAGGAGACTTTAGAGGATGGAAAATGTTGATTGTTGTGAAAACCGCTCAGTTAACTGCTACTAAAAACCACTACCACAGCTTCTGTGTTGACCTAAAATGACGCTGGCAGGACAGATGTTAATGCTAATGACTGGTTGGCAAAACAAGATGGCAGCTGTCTTATTATTAGGCTAATTTAACTATATCTTTGTACAATGGAATTGACAAATAGACCCGAACTTGGTCCAAACACAAACACAAAGGTTGTTGTCTCCTCAGATATTATAAATATATTTTCTGTTCTGAGCTGATGTTTGTCCTCTGATTAAGCTGACCCATCAGTTTCTGCTCTAAGGTTGCAGATTCAGTGTCAGTCATTCAACACCGCCCTCCATCCGTCTGTAGTAGGAGGTCATTGTGATTCATGTCACTGCCTATGTGAGTCCTTTTGTGATACTTTACAAGAGAATGCTCAAGAAAAAGATCATCCTTTCAGAATCTTTTCATGCACATACACAACTGGGTGTCCTTTAAAGTTGAACGTCTTTTTCAATTTTGTTTATACTCACTTGCGAGCTATTATTAATTGTATCCTCTTGATTGGTTAAACATAATATCCACATGAATTAAAACACTGTATATGTGACAAATTCAGGGAAAACAGGAGTGCTTACCAGACCGTATGCTGTACTCCTCTCTCTTTCATCCGTCACATCAGCGACGTAGGCGAAGATGACTGAGAAGGTGACAGAAAAAGCTCCAGACATGGAGATCATGGCGAAGTACCACCTGCGGGGGCCGAGCAAGTGAGAGAGACACTGTTTAGCTCCACTTTCAGGCAGACGGCCGTTTTTTTCAATTGACTGAACATTCAGAACATTGAGTCCTACCAGGGGCTGAGTCTCATCAGAGGGATCGGAGCGCAGGTAAAGAAGACAGTGACCAACAGGAAGGACCGCCTCCCCCACACGTCCGACAACGCGCCGATCAGAGGAGCAGACATGAATGACAGCAGACCCTTGAGATGAAGAGGCGGAGTCAGTGACAACAAAAAAAAACTCTCACATTGTCTGCTACAGAGAAATATATTTCTCTTCTTTTTGGGTTATACTAAACAAGATTCCACATTGAAAGGGTTAGGGTTGAGGAAATGACCCTGATGATGTCATAGTGACAACCCATTGGCGTTGAAAGATGAGGGTGTTAACCAGACACAGTTCAGCTTTATGGAGCCACAACTCTAAATCACAGCAGTTCTATTTTAAGATGTACTGATATCTACAGAATGAATCACTGAAGTGTTGAAGTTCTTACCTTCACACCCTGAATGAGTCCGTTCATCAGGAACGTGTGCTGTGGAAATGTTTCATGTAAAACCTACAAAGAGAAGCACAACACCAACATTTAGAAAACCAACACAGAGTTTATAGTTTCAGCAAAAAGCTCCATTGGGATTAATAAAAAAACTGACCCTGTCTACACTGGAGTGTTTCAGTGATCCCTCTCAGTTTGAATCAGTAGCTGTCTGAACTGACACTGTAACGGCTCATGTTTCACGGCAACCCAACTGCTGCCTGGTGCACACTCCTAATCTCCTGATTTCATTTCAATTATAACTCCAGATTAGAGTTACCTATTAGTAACTATGGTTCTATGAATTCTTAACATCTGCCAGTGACAGTTTATAAACCTGGATTTCTACTATCTGTGGCAGTAAGGAAGAATGAAATAAAACTCTTGACATCACCAAGAGTTGATTTCTGTTTTATCTTAATATATGGGCATGATCCAGACCAGAGTGAACAGTACAAGACAACGTCACAGATTTTCAATAACTGCATGTTCTCTGGAAAAAATTAACTGTTGTTGCAAATAAAAAAAATCAATTAACCTTTCCTAAGTCCCGCCCCTTTTTGCTCTGTGCTCCAATTGCAGCTGAGCAAGCCTGGCTCACCTTCCTCCTTTCTTTTACTTAGATATGATATATGCTAGGCTCATCTATGTTGAAAAGACAACCATTTTTTGAAGATAATTAAACGATAAAAGTGACATATATTTAGTCGCACAAGTTAGCTTATTCTAGCAAAATGCTAGTTAACTAGCCAACTAACCCCTAACGTAAATTAACTAGCTATTTAGCTGGCGTTTTTTCTACATTAGCTGTCAGATCTAACTAGCCAAGGATTGATGTAGATTAGCTCGCTAATTAGTTAGAATTTAGCTTTTTGGTCATTTAAGATGTGCCTGTATGTCGCTTTTATTTTTTAACTATCTAGCACATAGCATATCTCAGTACAGGAAAGGAGAAAGTTGACCGAGGCGTGCTCAACTGTTATTGGAGCACAGAGCAAAAAGGGGCAAGACTTATGAAAGGTCAATTACTATGAAAAAGTATATATAAATGTCTATACAAAATACATAATTTATCAGGCTAATTTAAAAGTGCTTTTTTTTTACTTGATATAGACATAGATACAGTAAGTAAACAAAATAATGTTTGATTTGGAAAATATCTGACAAAACTAAACATTTAGTGTTAACTTTCAGTTCAGTCAGAACTTGTACTCCTACTTTGCTAAGCACAAAAATCTAAATGCAGAGAACAGGACTTAAACTGGACTAATCTAGAATTTTACTCAAATCTCATCATGAAGTGCGTTGCCTTCTCCAAATGGAAGCTGATCCCATCGCTCTGTACTATGAACCCAATCGGCAGCTTGAATGTTGTGACCACCATCTACCCACCACCACACAGTGTTTACTCACAGTTAGCATGGGCGTGGTGAGTAATCCCCAGGCGAAGAACTCCAGGAAGATCACCACCACCGCATGATACACGCTGGGCCTGCCGATACCTTGCTGGAGCTGAAATACAGACACACACAGATTTTACCATCACAATTATATTTTAATTTGCCGTACATTTTAATGTGATGCTACAGTTAAAGGGGCACGCCACCAATCTTACATACGAAGAACAGTTTATCATCATGGTTATAAGTGGTATGGCTCTAGATGAAGATTATTGGCTTGGGCTTGGAAACTATAGATCTATAACACAAAGCATTACTAACTGAGGTTGGGGAAAGAAACATGGTTGCTCCATGCAGCAAAAGTCTAAAGAAAGATGGTATTGAATTGAATTTTGGGAATTCTAGGATCCAGTAGTTTTGGAGGTTGACCCATTCCAGGGACTAAGGCTTTGTTCAGACTGCAGGCAAATCAGATTTGTTCTCAAATCAGATCTTTAAGACCGACTGTCTGCACTGATATTTGCAATTGATCAGATTGGATTTATGTGCCGAGACATCACCATTGTACCTGCATGGGTTGCTATGGTAATGAGGTAGGCATCAGTAACTATGTGTGCTGGTGACATGGCTTTCCAATGAAGAAGCATGAAAAACGGAGATCCATCATCTTGCGCTTCAAACAAGAACCCCTTCCTTCTACCGGACAGCCACTCTGATGCACTTCCATCGCTCTGGATTTGATGTTGTCTATCACGTTGCGATTGACACAAAAAAGACACTTTGAAATACAGCCAGAGTGTCCAGACTGAGACGCATCTGTGGAAATCCGATTAGCATCGCATTTTGAAACACTTCCAAATGTTGATTCGCAAAAATTGCATTTCATTTTTCATTTATTTTCATTTTTGGCTGTCCGGACTTTCTAAAATCAATCTGGATTTAAAACCAGATTTAGCCTGGCAGTCTGAGCAAGGCCTAAATGTCAGGATATCTTGGCCTCTGTTGTCTCTCTTATAGGTACAGCATTAATGCAATACCAAATTGCTGGAGTACCCCTTTAACTTTAAGTTTCGGGCCCATGTCATCCCAGTTGATCGTTTTCCTAATCACCCATCAGGTTTTAGATTGATTTTCTTCCTTCCAGGCAGCCGCTGGTTTCAGTTAAAATCAACTGGCAGAGACACGAAACTGGTCACTTGTTATTTGTGTGTCAACGTTACATTACCATCGCGTGGTGATGCAGTTGAGAGCAGGAACTATCGTCCAAAAATAGTTTGTGGGCATCTGAGATACCAAAAGGTACTTCCACACCAAGTCTGGATTTACATGCAAGATATTCACACAAACCCAAACAAAATGCTTGGGTTTCTGTTGTTTCTTGCTCTCCAAAGATGTATTTTCACACAATAGCAAAACTTGTGTGAGTTGTGTTGTTTCTTCCAAATTTCGCTGTCAGAGTTTAGGGTTTGACCAGTGGAATCCGTGTCTGTTAAATGATGTTACGAGATCAACCTACCTGGTACACATCTTATTTAGTGAATTATCTGAGCCACCACCACAGGCTCAGGCCACCGATACAACAAAAGCCGTCAGATAACGCTGAACGACAGGAACAGAAACGAGTCTCCTTCGCGCTCATACACGCCAGAGATTTTGTGTCCCTGCAAACAAATAAAGAAACACTGAAAATGGCTGACATTCACCATCCTCTTGTCGCCTCACCAACATTGGGTGAACTCATGTCTTTTCTCAAGAACCATGAAAAGCAAAATATCATCATCACTGCTGTAGCTCGGACCATTGCAGACCAGCATGTCAAATGACTCAGACTTGGTGCGCATTGTACCTGGGTGAAATTCCTGTGTGGAAAATTAGTTTCGGACTCAGCATGTAATGTCTTCAACAAGTAGTCCTCTTCGACACTGTGGAAGGGCTACAGTAAATGCGGCATGAATCCAAATCTTTCCTCAAACACAAGAGCATTTTCAAACAAAAAGTCTTCATTTGAACTACAGAGACTCATTTTCTAACACAGTTGAGCATTTTGTATAATTAAAATAGAGCGATTATTAAACTGGAGCACCGCACACGAAGTGATTGTCAGCCGACTGACACAGATACACAGGATTTAGGTGGTGATGTGGACCATTTTCTATCTTTAGCTTGAATAATAACAGGTTCTCCTAACACAGATTTGCACTACTTAGATAATGAGTTAATCTTTGCTGCTCTCCTTTATTATTAAGCTTCATGAGATGAGGATCATAAGGTGAAGATTTCCATTATCTTCAGATAATTTATTTGCTTTTGATACCTGGAATATGGCTGCAACAACACAATACAATGACATTATAATAATATTTGTCAACATAATCCCAATCACATTTTAAGGAACTTTAGCACAATGGGACAAAAAAGGGAACTACAACCAGAATTCCATTATACAACTATGCGTTGTAAATCACAATTAAATAACCTTGTATCCTTGATGTGTCTCCTGTGTGGTGAAGTTCTTACCTTCAGTAAGTGATGATTTAATAAAATATTGATGATATGAGCACATCAAATTAAATCAGATAACAAGTCGTTGTTCAATTTCCATTTTTTACTTTCAAAACAAAAAAATGGAAAATGTGTCATTGTCCTTTTTTTTGGGTAACAGCCCATTTCTTGATTTGATTATGATTGAAAATCTGTTGCCCGCAAAATACACTGACCAGTCACGTTAACCAACTTTCTTCCTCAGTCACTTGATATTTGAAAAACAAAAATTAGTTTGAACGTGGTTGACTTGTGTAGTTGAATTCAAAATGACAAACAACGGAAGTAGTTTGCCTTGTGATCCAGCAGAGGGCACTCCTGTATGAGCTCGACCTATGGCATCCCTGAGCACACAAAGCATCTGAGAAGCACTGCGTCACCTTTGTTCAAAGCAGCTGTCTTACCCTACACCTGCAAAAAATCTGCGTACTGGCTATCATTAGCTTGCCACCCAAGTGAGGCAGCTGAGCGGAGCAGCATCAGTGTACAACCGCATATTAATCCAAAATGTTAAATATACCTTTAAAAGGTCCAGAGTGTAACATTGAAGAGGATCTATTGTCAGAAATGGAATATAATATTCATAGGTATGTTTTCATTAGTGTCTAATTGCCTGAATATAGGAATCATTGTGTCCCTACTGGTTGCCTTCCATGTTGAACCGCCATGTTTCTACAGTAGCCCAGAATGGACAAACCAAACACTGGCTCTAGATAGGATCTTTTGCATTTTCATGAGTATTGCAGCCTCTTCTCATTCCCAGGTCACCAAATACAGACAAACAGAGTGGTGTTCAGTTATTTGCAATCTTTGACTTCACCGCTAGATGGCACTAAATCCTACACACTGGTCCTTTAAACGGTTCATCAATTATCAAACTTGTTGCTGATGAGTTTTTTAATCGTTAATCGATAAATCTGCTAAATTTTACAGGTGTACTTTCTGTATATTAAGAGTAGGCCCAGTTTTAATTTAGTTTAGTTTAACATTAGCCTTATTTATGTTTTTTATAATTTAATTTATCATCTGTCGTCAATGATCTTGATGTTGTTTGTATGGGTGCAACCAACATTATTTTCCTTATTGAATAATCTGTCAATCTTTTTTTTTGTTGATCGATTATTGTTCAATCAATAACATTGTGAAAAAGGCTCATCACAGTTTCCAAGGTGAAGTCTTTATATGTTATGTTTGACCCAGCCACCGGTCCAAGCCCCCAACATATTCAGTCTAAAACGACATCCGACTGAGGAAAGAGAATCTGGAACCAGACAGTGTTTGACATGTTTGCTTAATGCTGCATCAACACAGTGCGCCCCATTCTCCATAAAAGATCATATAAATAGCATGTTTCTGTTTCTCCAACATTTAATACCTAATAGACAATAGATTACAAGCTGCCTTGTCGTTCTCGTGGTTTTAATATAATAAAAAATGTCTGTCACTATTTGTCATGAAGGATGCTAAAATGGAGGCTGACGGAGCCACGGAGGCTGTGGAGTGTTGAATCTGCAGTGTCTGCTTGCCCTCAGTGTATTTCAGGCAGAGAGCTGTTATGTAACAGATAATGGATCCATCCTGACCACATCATCCTCACACTAAGCTGAGCTTTCTGTGGACCACATCAAACTCCATTACAAGACACACTCTCTTCCATCCCACAACAACAGCCATTTTGGACCAGAGGTGCTCTGTTCGGGCTCATTTTGGCTGCAGCCATTCATTCATGTGATCATCTGGAACCTTTGATCAGTTGTGTTTTATTACAGTGACATTCACATATACCCTCAGAGCAATCAGCAATAGAGAAAACTAGCTGTTGGAGCAGTTTTATATGTAAAGTGATATATATATATATTTTTTATTTCATTAATTTTGCTGTGAAATTAACATAAATGTTTGTTTTTTAAAGCACAACATAAATGATAAATGAGGCATACGTCATGTGTTTTAATATCCTGTTATGTCATACACATGCTGGTAGAAATGAAAGCTTATTCTCACTGTACATATGGAGGTGTAGTTGAAATGAATGGATTATTTATATTACACAGCCCGCAGCATTTTTAAACGACATCAAATCGAATAAACAATCATACAGGTTGATAAATTATTCATTAAATATTAATAAAAATGGCGGGTCGGCCACCCACCGCAGCTCCGTCCTTCATGACGATCTTCTTCACCAGCACCACCCGGCCGGTGCCCGCCGGCGGCTCCCCCGGCATCTCTTCACACCTGCCGCGGGTCACGAAGCATCCATGCCGCGTAGATATCCGCGGTTCTCCGGGTGCTTCCAGGATGTCTCCTTATTTAACCCCCGAAGAGGCTACGCCGAGATAAAGGATAAAGGATAATAGCAAATAAACCGTGTTGAGATAACGTCCACAGTGTCTCTCGTTAAATCCGTCCTCAGGTCAGTCCGACAGTCCGCAGCCCGCCTGCTACAGTCGCTGCCACTGTCAAGTTACACACAACCAGGAGAGGGTTTCCGGTGTGGGTTGAGCTTCTTTTCAGATTAAAAGCGTGATTCGGATAAATGCGCAACACTCGAATACTGCCCAGAGACTCGCAGGTTTTACCCAACCTATCTATCCCCAGTGGTGGACTGAGTGCTCAGATCTTTTTATTTAAGTCAATTGAACAATTCTACAGTGTAGAAATATTTTTACCTTCCCGCCACTGCCAATCATTTGAGCTATGGCAGGAACTGCACTCTGTTTTACGTGCTTAATGTAACTTCTTATAGCCAAATTCCATATTCAGCCATCAAAATTTACAAGATCTCATTAGCTTATTATCTATGTCAAACAACTCATTTCTTAGATATACAAAACACCTTTAACAAGCAAATAAAGTAAATTTTAGGCAGGTCCATAATGGATTGTACTATACAAAGGTATATTTAATGGGAACCATAAAGGGGTTGGTAGTAAAAGTTAGATTAAAGGAACCCCCAAACTTTTTTCAATACATGTCATAAAATATGTATTTGACATATTACATCTTTCCCTGGTCTCTTTTAGAAGAATATTTAAGGTCCTTTAAGATCTTGATTAAGGGAGTAGTTATTTTGTCCATTTTTATTTTATTTATTTATTACCATTAAAAATCCTTTGAAGGTTTATTAAAAACACCTTAACCACATAATTGGTAATTAGTATATTTTTAAGGTACTAATTATTTGGTTATATTCTCTGATAAGAGAGACGATTTTTCACATTTGATCTGAAACCCAATGTTAGCTGGAATGCCGAAGGAAAGATGTGTAAAGTAACATAAACTAAATTTGAGTTAAAAGAGATTATTTTTTTCCACTGTACAATACAAAATAATTACAATTTAGTCAGTGTCAGTTAAAATGACTAAAACTACATAAAAAGAATATTCTTTAAACTTAAGTTAGTTTCACTTGAAATGTTCGATGCAATCAGTTTCATCAATTTTAAGAGCTAACTCAACTTATCTGTTTATATGTTTTTAGATGTTGGCTATGTAGTTGGATTCATTGATCTGATAACCTGAAATAACCTTATCACCTTTTCCTCATGACGTAGTTAACATTTATTTTGAAAGTTAATTCTCTCTACTTCCCGTCTCGCCGACTGAACTTGACGTAATCAATGCGGTCCGGTTGAATCCATTACGTGTTTTTAAAGACCTGGACCGGGTCTGGGCCCGACTGACGTGGGTCAGAATGGTACAGAAAACGGACACAGACTGGGTGCGTTTGATTTGTAAAGACAGAAAATGAAAAGAATGCAGAGAAGGTAAAATAACGGGACTGTCCACACAGAGGGGTCTGACAGCATCTCTTAGCCCCGGGCTCCGGACGTCAAACCCGGCAGATGGATCCAGCACCAGACCGGAAATAAGAGACTGCCCTCACAATAAAAGCGCTTAGTAAGAAGAAAACGAGGCGCAAACATACCTTCAGACAGAATTTATTTTATTTTCCTGTCACAAATGAGAACATCTTTTAAACACGTGGTTAATTATCAACAAATACATTTCCCTCACTCTCAGTTGTGTTTACGAATCTGGGTTTTATTTTGAAATTAGAGCTGTGTTCCGGTTGTGTTGACAGTGGCAGACGGAGGGGAATTAACGGGTAGTTCACGTGTCAGTGGCTGTGGTTGTGGTTTTTGCGGTGTGTGTGTGTGTGTGTGTGTGTGTGTGTGTGTGTGTGTGTGTGTGTGTGTGTGTGTGTGTGTGTGTGTGTGTGTGAATAAAACATGATAGAGAAGAGCGGTGACGGCGGGAAAACGTGACCAGCCGACTTACATCATCAATCATCAGAGAATCAGACGCACTGTGGCCATCAGCGGCACGTTTTATTTTAGAACCATTTCAGTTTCCTGTTTGTCATTCTTTCAAAATACATCGACAGTAAGACAATGATGTACATTTTTATTATTGAATGGGAAATAAATTACCTAATACATTTATAGTTCCATACACAGACACTTTAAGACAAATATTAATAATAATAATAATAATAATAATAATAATAATACAGACAAACTGATTTTTATTAGGTCAGGTGAACTGAAAACCACATTTTAGAACTATATTAACCCAATATCTCGGAGATGGGAGGACATTCTGAGTCACTTTCCGTCTTCAAGTTTATCTCTGGCTCCCAACAATTGTCTCCTTCCCCTTCTTATAGCTGTACTGACTGAGTTATAAAAATGTTTTACTGATTAAGTCAGATATTAGTTAGTATTTAGAATTAATTGTATAGAAATGATATAGCAGTCATTTAAACACCCAAGTAAATACTGGTTTAAGCCATGTCACAGCTAGGGTTGGGGTTAAGTTTACACAAATCATGAATGCTTTTTGAAATTAGTATTTATTTGTTAAAAAAAGGTGCGACTGGACTCATCATAAAAAGTGGTGCTGATGTTGAACTTTCATAGCCTTCAGTATATAACACTATTAACCAGTACCACAACATAATTCATTTTGTATGTTTCTGTCTTGTGCTGTTGTATTTAACTCCTCTCATACTGGAACAATATCTATAACTTTCTCTTCACACATTTGTAAGACATTTTCTGTAAGACTATTCTTACTCTATTGTAACATGTTGTTGCATATTTTATGAAAAATGAAATAAAGAGATAAATGCGAAACAAAACAATTATAGGTTGTAGAATATAGTTACTCACCTTTATGGAGGAATAAATATTAATTGACACCCAATAATAACACACTTATTAATCTTTTGGGGAAGAAATGAAGTATTTTCAAGTCAAAAGGGTCAAGTCCAAGTGAAGTTACAAGTCAGGGATGTTTAAGTCCAAATCGAGTTGCAAATCTTTTTTGATTTTGTCAAGTTGAGTGTAAAGTCATGAATTTTGTGACTTGAGTCTGATTCAAGTCCAAGTCATGTGACTCAATCGACACCTCTGCCTTCAGGATTAATGAATGTTTCGTTTCTTCTTGTCATTTATATGGAAGCTTATTTCCGCCAGTAAAATAAATAATAAGATGAAAGCTTAGCCTTGATAAAAACATTTAATAAGTCAAAACTATGAGATAAAAAGTTAATTATAATAATCTAAATTAAATGAAATTAAAATAACTTTTCCTTTTATATCTCACAATTGGAACTTTTTAGTTTTGACTTAACATGAACACGTTTTCATCTTATTTTATAATTCTGCTAATTATTTTATCACATAATTTCGACTTTCTATCTCATAATTCTGACTTTTTATCTCATAATAATGACTTAACATATTATAACCAAGGCTACATTTTCATCTTATCTTTTTATTTTACTGGCAGAAATGGGCTCCCATAATTTTATCCAGCGTCTCACCCTGTCCTGTTAAATGCTGACCTCCTCTGACAGACAGTGTGTTTGGAGGCGTTGCTAGGCAACAGTGTACCTGCAGAGGAAAGTGTGGCTTACTAGTAAGCTGAGACGCAGAGGACAGCTGTTGGACTGCGAGATGACTCATCTGTGGCTTTGAGCAGCTTCAATAAAACAACGATAGAAAAGCAAGAAATCAACATCCTGATAGACACAAACCTCAAAAGGTAGGTGGTTTCATCCTGCTCGTTTTTATACATAACGAGAAAACATTCAGAGAGCCATACCTCCAGAGAGACCACACAAGCCTGTTCATTTGGTATGATAATGACAAAAACATGTTGAGAATGTATTCATCTGGATATATGTCCATTTAAATGTATCATGTTGCCGCAGCGCCACTTAGAGGTGAAATGGCATCACATGCTGATGGTTGATATCATTCAGCTGCATCTGCACAGTGTGTTTAATGTGAAACAGGACACATCTAGATTAATTTGAAGAGCTGTCATCTATTTCTAAATGGTTTCAGATGACTCTCAACATAAAAATACATTTTATGATATTTTGTTTGAACTTTTTATTATAACTTAATTTATCCTCATATTATGTATTTTAATACTGAAAAAAAACAAAAAAAAACTTAATTCTTGCCATCACCATCCAAAAGTGGTGGCACAATATCCTACATTTTAATCACTCACTTTAACTCAAAGTTCAGAAAAAAACAAAGTCAGTCTGTGTGCCAAATCGCCATTATTATCAAAAGAAAGTGAGCTCCCCGAATGGTATAGTTCATATACTGTGTTTAGTGGTGAATAGTGGTAATAGTTTTGCTTCTTTAGCTCACAGTTCTGAATTTATGAGAAAAAGAAATATATATATAAAAAGTCATGTGATGCTCTGTTAATGCCACATATCAGGTTTACCCTTACCATAACAAATCACTTGTTATGTGCTCCACAAATCTGACTGAAATATAATAAATAATTCTTTAGGTGTTTGGATGACTAAAAGACAAACCAACAGAGTGGACCAAAAATAAAACCTCCCCCGTAGAGTAAGTGGTTACTTGTATGACTCAGATTTCTGAACAACTCAGATGGTAAAACTGTGTGTTTGTGTGTGTGTGTGTGTGTGTGTGTGTGTGACAGAGAGAGAGAGAGAGAGAGAGAGATAGAGAGAGAGATAGCAGATGAGAAGATGGCATTAGCCAGCGGTCACTGGCTGGAGAAAGAGATGAGGGGAGAAGCCCCAAGTCCCAGGTGGGTCACAATGTTTTCCTACCATAACTGTGTGTGACTCATTCAAAGCTTAAAGTGGAGTGACGTAGAGATGAAACTGGAAGAGGTATTTTTGTGTGGTGGTTGCTCATTGTTAGATAGACAGACCCTTTTTTATTCGTATTCTCCTTTCACAGACACGGCCACGCCTTAGCTTTGGCAGGAAATGTTGCCTTTCTGTTTGGAGGAGCCTGCAGCATCAACCAAGAAGTGACTGTTTTATTCTCAATTCAAAACCAGATGTGACAAACAGCAGCCTACTTCACATTCACACATATTAAAAACACACCGTGAAACATGGCTGAAACACCGATTCTGGATGGTAATGATCTGCTAATTTTCTTCTTCTGTATTAGGAGGACAACCCTGTTTACTTCAATGACTTCTACATGCTAACAGGTACAAATCAGAGACAAAGGTAGTACAATTAGTACAACTGCAGTTTATCAATCCACCACTTGAGGCTAGCTCCAGAAGTGAGTCAATCTCCATAAGGCCCCATATTAAAATGCCAAACATGTTTACAGCCTGGAACAAAAAACTGTTTTGGTCTTTATAACTAATTTACCCGTTCATGACAACTGCACAGGGTTTGAATTTTTATTTAACTTACCCATTTAAATTACATCATGGCTTAAAGTTATGCATGATTAAGAATGTGGCAGCTTTGAGTGACAGGTGGGGATCTACTGTGGCTGAAAAGAATAAATAGTAATCATTTGTGAACCTATCATGATGTCACCAATTGGTTTGTAGACCATGGCGGCGGGAAGTGGGGGTGCTGGGGGTGCTGCAGCACCCCCTAGTGGCGAGAGGGAGATTAAAAAAAAAAAAATGTATTCAAAATATTTTGCACAATTTATAAAATCCTTATGAATGTTTTGGGAAAGGATTTTGACACACGTAGGCTATTACGTGTATTTTAGATTTTAATAAAATTATTTTGAGGCCTAATCAACACAGGTTCACGGAAGTTCCGTTGTCAACGTCAGGCAGGCTAGTGGTTGCCGAGTAAAGAGGTTTCCCGCTCGTTCCATGCAGCATACATTCATGGCAGCAGCAGACTAGCAAATTTACATAGTCTGATGACAGAAACGACAGAGGGTCTAAGTGTGTCACAGTCCAAGATGTAGCATAATGTTTGATAAAGCTCCAGCCACAAACAAGAGCCATGTTTTCAGAGACAGAAAAACTGATCGAGTTATGTCTGTGCCTACCCATCTCCGTGGCCTCATCCGAGCGCACTTTCTCCGCCTTGCGTCTTTTGAAGACATGGGTACGCAGCACCGTGACCCAGAAAAGACACACACCTTTTGCTGATGCATGCCCACACAGACATTCTGAACTCCCTGGACATTTGTCCCCTCATGAGAGACTTTATCTCCACGACCCCAGAGCACACCTCGACATTTGGACACCTGTAACCAGGGCACCCTGCCTATAGCCTGAAGTAAGAGCATGGTGCCGGCGCGCACTTTCATATCTATTCATGCAGTTTAACGTCACACTATAGTATTTTTGCAACGTGGTGGGCATGGAGATGGAGAGTGTTATTTTGATCATGTGTTCTTTGCGTAATGGATGTGGAGAACTGTTCAATAACGTGCTTAAATAGTCAGAGATTATTTCCTTGTGGTGTGCGTAAAAGGATTTTGGAGCTAATAGAGTCACGTGTGACATAAACGTAGATGGTGCAGTGACTCAGGTTCATGCCAGCTGACCAAATCTATTGCATTGTTATAACGTTATCGTGAAGTTTAATTAATAGCGCATATATTCATCTGAGAACTGATGATGTCTGTGTGTTAGAGACCCTGGCTGTGTGCACTGAAGTGTATATGACAATAAAGTAGTGAATCTCAATCTATTCATTTATTTTTAAAATGTATTTTAAATAGGCCTATAGGCTCATAGGTTTTTTGTCCAAAAAAAACAAACAAACGATTTTCACAGCACCCCCTGTTCAAAATTACTTCCAGCGGCCCTGTTGTGGACTACCGCTTTGAACTGCATATTGGTCGCTGTTGGTGTTTTACAGCTAGCAGTGGTGACGTACTACAAGTTGAGCTGCACTCGATGGCTTGTCAGATAAAGAGTACACTAAAATATGGTTCTGAAACTGTTTTAAGCGAGAAATAGTCACACAGTAACAGAATCTTGATTTATATTTGATCAGCACTGCCTAGTTTGACAGTTTGATCTGAGTTTGGTGCGTTGCATACCACTACCTAAAGCAGACAGTGCTTTATCGTCTATTTTACTTGTTCATTTACCAAATGAACATCATGCTGTATGAAGACTTGAAACCAGAGATTAAGACCATAAACTCATTAGGAAACAGTTTACTGAGCACATAAATCAAGTCAGAATTCTGCTCATTTCTCCACAAGAGGCTTCTTTTTTCCAGCCCATGGAGCTGCCCCCTGCTGGCCATTAGAAAGAATGCAGGTTAAAGACGCTACACAGACCCAGAAGCTTTGTCCACTAATAATATAATGTCAATAAAAATAACCAGAGATTTTCTTGTTATTTGTAGTTTCTCCTGATGATGTGACATGGGAGGAGATTCCTCAGAGCGGAGAAGTTCCGTCAGCCAGAGAAGGACACACTCTTTGGTAAACTACAGCACTGACTGAGTAACTTGGCATGGATGATTAGGAAATTACAGAAAACATACTATTTATTTCCATTGTATCAAACTTCACTGGAAGGTTAATCAATGGAATTCTGCATTATGTGGAGGGCAGCAATATGCATTTGCTGCATCCAGATGGAACGTAACATACAGATATCTTGTGTTAGCTCACATGCTAAATTAATAGCTTACAGTTAGATTGTGACAGTTCCTGTGCTAATTGAGAAGCATATTAATAATTATAGGTAATAATTATAATAGGATTCAACAAAACAAAACAACAACAAAATTATACTATACTTGGACTACTAAAAAATCAAGATCAAAATAAATGAGTCTTAAGATTCTTCAAAGAATTTAAAAAGTTTCTTGTCAGCTATTCATGGGCAGGGCTATACATTTTTTACCTATAGAAGTAGCATAGAGTTGTCTGTTCCTATTTTGGCAGTGGCTGCATGGTTTCATGAAGCATCACTGTTGCTTTTATTGGTTTAGACAACCAAAACAGTGAGCCAAAAGCTTTGTGGAGGTGTTGATTCTCAGTGGGATCAGTAGTACTATCAGTGACAATATGTGCACTTTGTCTTGTGTCATTTTAAGTGTTGTGAAAGGGAAGCTGTTTCTGTTTGGAGGAGCGTCCAGCCCCGAAGCCACTGAGTGTCTCCCAGGAGTCTACAGCTTTGACATAGGTGAGGATTTTACAGCAGGAGGAGGTGAACACATTTAGCTTGCTTTTTTTATTTTAGTGTTACATGAAAGCTTGTACAAGGAACTTTCATTTTGTATTGATTCTGGCAACCCCTGTAGACGAAAGCAGTGGTGTTTCTACTGCCTTGTTTTATGGATTTGTAGGGGAATCCGACTGAATCAAACCTGGTGGCAGCCATACAGACATAGCACATATAGAGGGATCAGTATTAAATTGAGACTGTTGCATAACAAGTTAAAAAGTAGTACATTTGTTGTACATTTAAGGTCGAGTAAAATCAAGTGTAGAGAAGTAGTGTGACGGTACTATTTACCTGTACCTATTTTACAGTGTCTCTGACCTGGGATTGCTTAGAAGTTGGTGGCATGGCCCTCAGAACCCTCAGACACAGCTCTGTTGCTGTGGGAGACAACATCTATGTGTACGGAGGCACTGTTGGAGGGAATCCAACCAACGATCTCATGGTCTTCAACACAGGTCCATACATCATCAACGTCTGGATTACCCCACTAAGCTACAAGCTATCCCCCTGCTTGTGATTTTTAATGTTTTAGACAATTAACTGCAAATCATGAGTACTCCCTGATGATAATTTTCCAAACGTTCCATCAGCTTTTAGATTGAACTACTTTCTTCTTTATTTCTATGAAAATCAACTTGCAAAGACTGATATGTTTGTGTATGCCGTTTATTTTCCTCTCTGTTCTGTTTCAGTGTCTCTCACCTGGACGCCAGTTAAAACTAGTGGATCGCTGCCTCCTGCCCTGTAAGACATTGCTAGTGCTGTATTATATTAAAACCTACAGGAGTTACTATTACTCTGGTCACCCAGTGTGTAATATGAGTTTGGAATAATACCTGGGATTTGTTGCACCTTAGTAACACTGAAAGTAATTTTAGGATTTGTATGTTCACTGTATGAATGTGTGTGTGTAGGTGTGGTCAGAGTTTTGCTCTGGTTGGAGATCAGCTGTTCATGTTTGGAGGTTATGAAGAAGGTGGAATCTTCTGTAAAGACCTCTATGTTCTCAACACAGGTAAACACGGATTCAGATCATCTTGTGCCTGTGCACAATGTAACACTACAGCTGAACTTGTACGTCTAGTCATCACAATTTGGCCCTTGTCAAAATAGTTCAAATCCTCATGCTGTCCATTTTTCCTGCTTCTAACACATCAACTTTGAGGAGAAAATTTTCACTTGCTGCCTAATATATCCCACCCACTGACAGGTACCATGATAACCAGATAATCAGTGTTATTCACTTCACCTGTCAGTGCTCACAGTGTTATTGCTGATGGCTGTAAATGCAGGTAAAGGAATTCATGTGAGTCATTTTATTTGACACAGGGTTTTAGACCTGTTGTTAGACAGGTTGTTTGAACTGGTGAGCTTGTGCCATATTGAATTTTCAATGTCCAGCGTCCACGATTTAGTGTAATGGTGGATTGCAACTTCGCGCTCCCTTTCCAAGCTTGAAGGAGCAACTACAGTAACTGGCCAAAAAACGCCCCTATTTAGAGTCGGTTTTGGTTCGTCCCTTTTGGGCTTCTGTAGGAACATGGTGATTCAACATGTGGGACTCCGTAGAAGGCCACCCGCTTCCTCTGTAGATAAAAACGACTAATTTTAAGGTCACAAAAAACAACAATTCTTGTATTCAGGTGATTATACACTTATGAATATTAACAGATTTACCCCCAGGGATCAATAAAGTATTTCTGATTCTGTGTAGCACTATTGGCAGAAATGGAATACAATATTCATAGGTATGTTTTCATTAGTTTCATTCACGTTTTTCATGTATTTTATGGCCACCGTAGTTTCTTCTACATACTTGGAGGGTGAGGTGAGGGTATTGTAATCACCACCTACACTGCTAGATGTCGGTAAATCCTACATACTGGACGTTTAATTTGCCAGTTGTAAAATTTCATTGTAAAAGTTCATTTTAAATCAGGTTTTGTTCTAAAATTCTAAAGATTATACTTTGAAGTACATATTCTTTGGTCACTAGATTTGTATGTAAAAAATGTACAATAAGGATTTTTAAAAGTAGAAATTAATGAAATATTTTTTATATAATTTATTAAATTATGATAAAAAATTATTTTAGTTGAATTTAGTCACTCCTGGACTTCCATAGATAAGTGTAGTTTTACACAACCTAATGCTACTATGATGTAACTTGTGATCTCTACCGATTACTTATTAGTCTCTGACCTTTGACCTTTCTGTTTCTCAGACAACTTGGTGTGGCAGAAATGGGAGGTGAAGGGAGAATCACCTGCAGCCTGCAGCGGACAAACACTGACTGCACACCATGATAAAGTAAACACACAAACGTACACACACACCATGTTTTTTTTTTTATCACATGTATGGATTATTATTATTAGAAAGCAGTAGTTTTACATTTGAGAAATGCATCCAACTGTCCATTCCATTGGCACACTTCAGCCTCCATAGGTTTTTTGTCACTTTATTTTAAGGTCAAGCTCAATATTTCTTTGCTGTTGTCATTATGCTGAATAAATTTCCCCTATGTTAAATCCTGTGGAGGATATCTACCTGTTTGGTGGCAAAAGCACAAATGATGACGGTACAGTAACGTCTTCCAATGAAATCCATAAACTCAGTATTGGTGAGTGAGACGCTGCACATTAACTAACAAATCACAAAAATTGTGAATTATTCTAAAGAGAGTCAAAGGATTAAGTTGTATTGCTCAAATATTTCACACTGTGTCTCTCCAGCTAAGATGAAGTGGAAGGTTCCTCTGTACGTTGGGATTCCTCCGGCCCGTCGTCACGGACACACAGCTTTCATTCTCCACAGCCACGTATGGTTATATCATTTATGTTAATTATTGTCATATGATATGATATTTAACATACTTTTTCTTGTGTGTTTGTTTGGTTGACAGCTGTTTGTATTTGGAGGGAAGAACGAAGAGCAGGAATTTAATGACCTGAAGGTGATGAAACTCATTAACCCCTCAGAGAGACAACCAGGTAATCTATTCATATTTATCTTGTTTTAAAATAACATTAACACCAGGGCCTAGAGGAGCCAATCTGAAAGTGCTGGACAGAACAAACAAAAGATGATTTATCTACTCTCAGAGCCTTACCAACAGTGAGTGGAGCTAAAATGTATAGTTTGTCCAGAGGGTGGCGCTCAAAGAAAGGTAATTTGGACATGAAATGAAAGGGTTCCTCCTCTGAGGAACGGGAACGTACAATGACGTATCATGATAATCTGGCCTATGGATTTTGAATACAAGAATAGCACAAATGGGGGCAATGGTGCACACTTTCAGTCAGTCTCACCTCGAAGCCATTCACAGTGTTGCTATCATTAAAAGTGATGAAGAAGACATTGAGGCTGAACATGTTCTCTACAGTAATGAAGGAGATTCTGTCAGAGTTTGGTCTGCAGGGAGTCAGCCACAGGTCAGCGGCTGCTGTACACACACACACACACACACACACACACACCTGTGTTTCTGTTTCATCTTCGTGTGTGTGTCTGCAGTTTCAGCCTCATGTCACGCTCTGTTTGAGTCTCATCTCTCAGTACTGACACTCTGGTTTCATTCTGGTTTCGACCGTTAACAGCTTCACTCCCACAAAGGTTCCCAACGTTCGCTACGAGCTGAGCGAGACTGCTCCATCCAACCAGTCCAGGAACACAGCAGCTAATGCACAGGTGATAAACGAGGAAGACAAAACTGAGGGCCAAAAAAGCTGTGCAGGAGGAGTAGAAGGTGGTGCATTGACAGAGCAAGAAGTAGCAGAAGTAGAAGTAAAGGCACTTTCAGACCGTTGGTTACTACCGCTGCATCGTCTCCATGGTAACTGGCTACACCTAATCCTACTTTAACAACCTGTACCATACACTAGAAGGTTCTGCTATTTACCCAGTCTAATATCACCTAATAGAGGTTATAACTTAAATGGCAGGGAATGGTTAGCAATCTGACACAGTTAACAGAGCAAATTAACAAATGCCCTTAATCTGGTTTATTTGAGTTGCTCTGCAAGTGCTCTGGACTGGTTTCAGCCTCTCTCTGCTTGCCGTGGTAGTAACAGTAGTTTTATCAGTAGAAGCAGTAGTAGTAATAGTTGCGACAGTAACGGCAGTGCTAGCAGCAGCAGTGGCAAATGTGGCAATAGAAGAAGTAGCAGAAGGTGTAGCAGTAGCAAGAGTAGTAGCAGTAATTGGAGCAACAGCAGTAGCAGTAGCAGATCAGTAGTCCTGGTCGCTGATACTTGCTTGGAGCATGCTGCCTGCTCACACTGATAATAACTCGGGTATTTAACCTCCTGCAGGTGTTTGTCCACAGAGACTTCAGTGCAGTTCGAGACCAGGCCATGAAAATGATCCAGACAGCGTTCACTCTGCTGGACCAGGAGTTCCAGAAACTGGATCGGTACGTGTTGGGGTCACTTTGAAAAGATGAACGGTGACGGTTGATCAACCTTCTGCTTATCCACCTAACAACCAAACTTCTACTGATTTCCTCATAGCTACGTTTCTTTGTTCCAGAGAGAAGTCCGAGCTGTCAAAAGCTGCTGCTGCTCTGCAAAGAGACAAAGAAGCTCATGAAGGCCACAGACAACAACAGCAACAGGTTCCTCTCATCCCAACTAAATCCAGTCTAATATATCTAATTTCATTCATTCTAACTATATAATCTAATTTAATAGAACTGATTCCACTTCAAACTGTAAAACAATGACTCTATCCTAATATAATCCTGTGTTAAACAATCTAATTTAATATACCAAATGTAATTAATTTGATGCAGTTTAATTTATTCCAACTCTAACTCTAATCTATTCCATCAAATACTTGCTTTTTGTCTTAGTTTTTATACCAAAATTCCTTGTATGTGAAGACCTACTTGGCAATGCATCTGATTAGAATCTAAAAACATTTTATGATGTTAACATGCTAGTGCTAACAAATTAGCACAGCTGAATGCTTTTGGGCACATTAGCACATCTGGACATCTGTTTGTGTTGCTTTGTAGTATTGAGTAACACATTTGATGCGTGTGTCAGGAGCTGCAGGAGATGCTGGATCGACATCGCTCTCAAAACGAGGCGTGGCTCCGAGCGAGAGCCGAGGAGAACGACCGAGAGAGGAGGGAGCTCTGCAGACTCCGAGTCAGTAAACACACACTTCACTCGAGCTTTTTTCCATTTCTTGCTGTACTTTATGTCTGGTTGCTCTACTGCTTCACACACTGTGGTCCTCAGAATGCAGATGTCTGTCTGTCTGTCTGTGTGATGGGTCTCTCCTCAGGAGGACGTGTTGCAGGAGCAGGAGCGATTGAAGGAGGAGCACAGCAGCATCCAGAAACGCAGCGAACATCTTCTGTCCATCATGCAGCAGTTCAAAGGAATGTGATGTGAGATAGATAGATAGATAGATAGATAGATAGATAGATAGATAGATAGATAGATAGATAGATAGATAGATAGATAGATAGATAGATAGATAGATAAGTTTGAGTAACAGATTTTTTCATGTTTGTTCCACTTTGGACCCTCATGTTAAAGCTCCTACAAGGAACTTTCATTTTGTGTTGATTCTGGCGGTCCCTGTGGACAAAAGTGGTAGTGTTTCTACTCTAAGGGGAATCCAACCGGGCAGGAAGAATAATAACTATATAGTAACTGTTTCCTACTGATGGTCTGATCTGTAGTTCATATAGAGGCATTAAAATGAGACTGTTTCACAACCAGTTAAAAGCTCCTTGTAGTATGTTTAAGATCAGGAAGGGGATCTTTAAGGGTCAGATACAAATATGTGTCACTTATATGTTTTATCTGAAAGTTTCCTGCGTGGGAAGATTTCCTGAAAGCAAAAAGGGAAAATGAATACTCTTAATGTATTGAACTTTCCTACAATAAAAATATTTTGCCATAAACTGTGCTAAAGGTTTGTATCCTGGATTGTTTAATGTATGACCGTTCAACAGAAAAGCATCATTTGATTGATTAATTGATTGATTAGTGAACCTCATAATAAATTGAACTAAGATAAAATAGGAAAATCTAATTTAAGGATGGAATAATCACAGAAAATATCCATTGAGATTTTTTGCAGTGTACTGTGGCAAACAGGATAGAGGACTGTTTCCATGGTTACCGCTGATGTGGTACTGAGGATGGCATAGTTTCTGGCACTTTTTACAGTAAATATTTGTAACAAAGTAACTGAATAAAAGATTACTGAATGTTTTTTGACTTGAAAAAGATGTTTTTGAGCTTCCATACTGGTAGTTCTGTTCAGCAGTGTAACATGGGTTATGTAGTCTTAATGTTTAGAATGTGATGGTAAATTTGAATTGATTCTCGTCAAATTGTTTTCATTGTGTTATCTGTTTATAAAAGCAGATTGCAGACTGAGACAAAAACAGGACGTTGACAAGTTGGACGTGTTTTTTTGTCCTTGGTGTCTTTAAGCAAACCGGTGGACCGTGAAGAGCTCCACAGCTGCTGCAGGCTGTGCTGTCTCTTTTATTCGCAGCAGCAGTACTGGAAGCAGAATAACATTTCTACGTGAACTGTAGCTGCAGATACAACATTAAGCCAACATCAGTCGTGTGGGACTGTTTTATGGCTCTGACACTGTCCTTCATGATGTCTCCAGCTTGTGGAACAAAAGCAAAACGCAAGCTCGGGTCGTTCCACATCCCGGAGGTTACAGTGGAGCCAGCGGTAGAGCAGTGTGTTTCAGGTCACTCATGTTCTGTGTTGGTGGTCAGTGGTTTAGAAGCCGCTCCAGCTTTGACGACACTTTCTGCTTGTTGGGCGTGTTGTCCTTCGTATTCAGAGCAGTTTGAAGCCATGTGGATGACACACATTTACCTCATTATTTGAAACTTTGGCCAGATATATATATTTTTTTCTAAATATTTAAAAAAAATTGAGAGTGACAAGAAAGGGGGGAGACAGAGGGGATGACACACAGCAAAGAGCTGCAGCTACAAGCCTGTAGGGGAAGTTATGGTGAATGTGAAACTCAGGAACTCATCTAGCCAGTGATAGGTTTGCCCACTGACTCCATGGAAGGTGACCCGCGCGTCTGTAGATAAAAACGTCTCATTCTAAGGTAACAAAAACACAACACTTCTTATTTTCAGGTGATTATATTTGATAATCTACCCATATTTTGGCTGTTAGTAAACATGACCTCACCTCCAGTTTCTAAAAAAAAAAAAACACACACAAGTGCGTGACTTCATGTCATTCAGAGTGAACACAAATATAGACAGAAGTGTGTGATTTTGATTAATCCAACAGACAGTAAAGGCAGCATCAAAGCTCTGACAGGAGGAATTAAATAGGAAATTGTTGCTTTAATAATTGCTAAGACAGAACTGTATCACAGCTCATTGTATTTAGTGATCAACTGTTACATCTGTCTGTCTGGTTGCCGCTGTCTCTCGCCCTCTCTCTCTGTCTGTCTCCTCCACTGTCGCATTCAACAGCAGGACGGATCACTATTACGCAAGGAAAAACAGCGTAATGCGCCAGTCGGTGTCCTTGTATTTCCTCTCGGTTGCACTATTTGGCAGAACAAGAGAGGGGCGGGGAGAGAGGGTGAGAAGTGTCAAGGTCGCAGCAATACGGCCGGAAGTGAGGCGATATGGAAAAATAAGAGCTTTGTGTTGGACTTTGTGTTATAATCGACTTCTTTGTCACATCTTCCATATTTATTCTCAGGGTTTGAATGTGTTTTATGGCCCTTATTTGCTCAGTGTTTATTTATATTCACTGCAGATTTTACTTTTTTTCAGTCCAAAAAGTTGGTATAAAATAACATTTCACATTCATAAATGAAAACTTAATAGTATTAATTATAAATTAATTAAAAATACAAAATTAAAATGTGTATGAAAATGAACAATGGTGATTTTAAAAACTGAAAACAGGTAAGAAAGGGAGCAAAACTGAAACTTTGGTAACTATGTAGGCTAATTTGAATCCATCAAGCAGAAAAGAACTGGCTGTAACTGTGAGCTATCGTATTTACAGTTGTGAATGCAGAATTTCCACAATAAAATCATACAATTAACCAACAATTAAGCACATGTTGTACAGTTTCTTTATTACTGCTGTAGTTATCTGTATTTGCCACTGCACTGTCTCTCTAATGTGTTAGCTTCACATTCTACAAGCTAACGTTAGCCTTTCTCCCATCCATACAAAACTTCACTTATATAGCTGTTAGCTGTTAGCTTTGTTGACAGGTTGAACTGCTGCTAAAACCACCTCACTTTACATTTACACCTGTTTAGTACTCAGGATATAACTAACATGTAAATAAGACAATTTTGGAGTTGTTGTAAAGTGCATTTTTTTTTTTTTTACCAATTAATGGAAATGAATTTTCTCTTGCTTCCAGTCTTTGTGGTAAGCTAACGTTAATGTTAGGCTAACACGTCCTGGACCTCCGAACTGGACACACAGAAAACAATGGGGGTAAAACATTTTTTAACAATTCATTAATGAATTATTGAAAAGGTTACTGTTCCACATTAGTGGACAACAACCCCAGCAACATGTTTTTATTTTATTTTACATATTTTGTCAAATATAGCCTACATTCATCTTGTCTAATCACGGTCAGTAGCGCATTTATTGTGAAAGGTTTAACCGGACATCCCTCCTTCCATCGTGTCTGCCTTAACGCTCCGAGGTGAGATGGCCGTGGAGTCTCTGCTGGTTCCTGTGAAGTCGAAACGGGCTCTGTGGACAGACAGCAGGAGGCGAGAAACCCCGCCGCAGTCCCCTCCGACCTCCATTTTTTAAAAATAACAACGGTAAGACAGAAACAAACATGCACCTGTCTCTTAGCTTGTTAGTCAGCCGGCAGGTAAACAGCCAAAAAACAACACACACTGAGCGCTCGTTTTGTCGGTGGCGTTCTCCCGCCGACGGTTGGTCTGGCGGGGGAGGGGCGGGGGAAGCAGCAGCAGCAGCAGCAGACAGCCAGAGACAGCCAGAGACCGAACCCAGTCTGCTGCTGTCTTTCTGTCTGGGATATTTTTGCCTTTTCCGCGGAAATGCCGTCGGACAGTCCCACCGTTGTCCGCTTGTCTGAAGCCCCCATACGCCCCCTTTTCACTTGATATCTGGCTGTAAATAATAGTAAAATAAGGCGAGCAACATGGCTGACGCTGGCCCTGCAGAACCTGCTTGTTCGTTTGTCAGTGCAGATGATGACTGTATATTTATTATTTTTTTTGAAACCTAGCCTGTTGGCTACCTGTCATTAGCCTGCACCCTCATTCACACTCACAGCAGAAATGAAAATGAAAGAAAACATCTGTCCAAGTCAGAGACAGAGAGCAGTACAGAGCTCCAGGGTGAGTTCGCACAGCCTTTCACAGACTGCTGCATTTTCTCATTCCAATGCAGTCAGTGAAGTAAAAGCTGTGTGTGTGTGTTTTTTGTTTTTCCTTGCTGAAGTTTTGCGATTTGAATGCTCCAGTCTGCTGATGGCAACGCCCCCTTTGCCAACTTGTAACCAAATCAAAGCAAAGGTCAACCGGAGGCTGATCCTGCAGGTAGAACTGGAGCCCAGCTGCTGATGCTCAGCTCCCACTGAACACAGGAGGAAGGCAGCATCAGAGCAGTCTGAGTGTTAACCCAGAACTGTATCATTTCGACACATCTGCAGCACATCTGTCTTCCCACATCCTGATGAGGACAGTCTGCATCCAAAAGCTTGATTTTCCTCAGGCACACTTCACCCGAATGTCACAATAAAATCATGCTAAGTTAACCCACTAACACTTCGTGGCATCTTTCCATGCAGATAGCTTTGTTTTTGGTGAACGCGGCAGTGAAAAATGAAAGCCATTTGGAATAACTTAACACTGAAGTCTTTTGTATTTAAAGCTGCAGTAGGTCACTTATAGAAAAATAACGTTTTGTCATATTTGCTAAAACTTTCACTATATCATGACAGTAGGACATGAGACAGATAATCTGTGAAAAAATGAATATATTTGACGATTTATTGATTCGGCTCTGTTAAAAAATAAATGATAATAGAAAAATGTAGTTTCTAAATGCCATATTTTTTGCTTCCATTTCGCTAGCTAGAACCGGCTTCAAATTTGACCTCAAACGAGTAATACCTCTGCTGTACAGCTGAGCACTAACTCACAGTGAAGCGATGTAGTGGTGAAGTTGCAGATTGCAGCTAACTGAATACAGCTCGCATCTGTATTTGACAACCTGGGAATGAGAATGGGCTCTGAAGTGTGTAGGATAAATTGCGGCTGCTAAACTCGCATAAAAGGCCCTTTCTACAGCCAGTGTTTGATTTGTCCATTCTGGGCTACTGTAGAAGCATGGTGGTTCAACATGGCGGACTCTGTAGAAGAGGACCCGCTCCCTCTGTAGATATAAATTTCTCTTTCTAATGTAATGAGAACACAACGATTCCTATATTCAGTTGATTATGCACTAATGAAAACATAGCTATGAATATTATATTCCATGTCTGACAATAGATCCTCCTCAATGTTACTCACTGGACCTTTTAAAATCTTGAGAATGCTTTTTACAGAAGTCTACCAAGGTTAAGAAAAGTTTCTCCCTGACTGTAACTCACAGTATAAACACACATGTTCAGAAAACTAGCTTTATTGTTCTTGTTGAATGACGGAGCTGAAGCCTGAATGTTTTTAACAGTTTGGGCAGTGCAGGGGCTTGATGTAATCCAGATGTTTTGGGGGATAATAGAGCGAAACATTCAGTGTTTGGTAGGTCTTTCAGTCTGGAGAGCCTTGCAGTACCAGTGTGTGTGTGTGTGTGTGTGCTCCCTGTCTCTGGTTTCACTATGTTGAAGGTATGTCTCAGACAGAATGATGTTGAGTCGTTCCTGTCCAGCACTGCTCGGCCCCTCATGACAACAGACGACTAATCATGGGTTGCTCGGGGCAACGGGAGGGAAATCACCACCAGCTGCAGCCGAATGCTGCGAAACGTCTCTTGTGTTTCTGCTAGGTTCGTTTCCTTTGCAGGTAACCAGCAGTGAGCCGGAGTCTCTTAAAATGTCAGATCATCAGAATTGACTCCCAAGCATCTGTTGTACTATCTGAAACAGGGCTGGGTTGCAGAAATCAGTTTTTTCCGATTCAAATTGATTTTCATTTGATAGTTCTGATATCAATTCATAAAATCCAAATGGATCTTTTAATGCCTTTACCATGACCGTTAATCAGCCTTCAGTTCTTCACATAACGAGGTCTGGCCACCGTACTTAGTGACTAGTGAAGCTCAGGTCAGAAAGTGGTGTCTACCTGTATTTGTTCGAGGTCGTCGGCTGAGATATAGCTGGTTGGTTGCTCCTTTTCCGTGATTAGGAAGCTTTCTTTGGTTGTGCAGCGAGTTGGGATCGGAAGGCTTTCAGAAACTGGTACATAACTTTCATCCATCAACACACTAAAATGAGCTAAAATGTGTCGCGAGGTGATTTAAAGAGGCCATGAAGGCGCCTGTGGATTACTGCTGTCTATTTACAATGTAGCTGGGACCATCTGACCTGTCACTGTTCAGTAAGCGCTGTCAATTCTTAAAACATTAATATATATATTAATATACATATAAACAAAATATTTCTATAGGGGCATAATTTTTAAAATTTTTCGGGGGGGGGGTTATGCCTTTATTAGATAGGACAGCTTGACAGGAAAGGGGGCAGAGAGTGAAGGGGGTCGCAAATTGGCATTGAACCCGGGCTGCTGCAGTAAGGAGGCTCTACAAGGTGAGCTACCATACGCCCCAACATTAATGTTTTTAATAAGGTACCAGGTTAGAGGGCCCCTTATACAATTTACAGTGTTAAATGGGGCTGTGTCTGTTTGACCGAGGGAGGGTCTGAGCTCCACATGCACGCCTTCACACAAAATCTGGCAACGTGGCTCCTTCCTGCAGGGTTGTGCCTTGTTTATTCGTGCTTTAGAAGTAACCGCCGTGATGCAAGCTTGTGTTGACCTCCTGGATTGTCTTGTTGTGTTTAACCAACAGTCTTAAGACCCATATATTTATTTATTCTCTTTGACTGTGCCACCCGTATGTGTTGCTAGCCATTTCTTTGCATTACCCTGGTGAACTAACAATCAGTAATGAAAGGAGTGAAGCAAAAATATCGTGTCGAGTCGGGTTTGGTTCAGGTATCAGATTTGGCTGTAAATCATTCGGTTTAGTCAGGCCAAGTCTTAAGTTTTTCCCACAAACTTGTCTTGTTCTTATTTTCACTGTTTTTCCTGTGCATCAGTGGCTGTGGTTGGTGAAAGGTCTTGAGCACAGCACACAGTGAAGGGGACAGTGAGCAGTTAGAGGGTCAGACGTGTTACACAACACCCTGCCTGCAGATAAATAATACACTGCAGGCCTTCCTTGTCAGCTCCAATGATCAATAATTAAAGTCTCATGTTCAGGGCATGAAACCTTTTGGAGGCTTCCCGCTGCTCTCCAGTACACAGTCTGTTTTGTTTAGTCATTTTTCACCTTGAGATAGTAGTCTGGTCTGTCACCCGGGTTAGATTGGTTTTAAAATGTATATCTGGTAAATTCAGGGGAAGACTTTGGTGTCAGCTTTATATGTTTGTATTTTTTGTGGCTTGTTCATAAAGTTCATGCAGTTTGTATTGTAAGAAGCGTAGTTGTAAAAAAAACAGGAGGTACTACATGATGTCCCACGTCTATCTATCTATTATTTTATTTATTTTATGATTCCCACTCTTTTTGAGGCAGAGGATAGCTTTCCTTTTAATATACACATTGTTTTGGATAGTTTTTTGTGATATACGTTTGAATTATATCTTCTTTTACACAAGATAGAATTCGTCCAAACACGTCGAGGCTTCACATACAGTCAGGAAATACGTCTCAAGTGCCCACGAGCAACACGTTTAACCCCCGGCTGCTCCTGTGGAGTTGCTGTCGACCGGCTGTTCTGTCATACGCTGAGCTGATGTGTTGAGTGAAGCTTCGGTCCAAAGTGCTGCCGTGGTAAATAAAACATGGAGGGTCATTCCTGCTGATATATAATGCAGCCTGCAGTCAGAGTTCAGGGCACAATGTGGAGATGTCACCCAGAGGCTCCAGAAACCAGCTTCATCAGACACCTTCACTGTAAGAGCAGAGTGGCAGACACTGTGTCGCCCCCTGATGTTCACAACCGTAAACAATGACAGAATAGTTAGACTGAGGAGATTCACTTAGCTCGACCAAAAATGTTCTTCTTCAGGTTGGTCCGTTTTCAGATGAGTCATCTTCCAGTTTGTTGTGTTGTTCACTTTGTGTTTTCCTGTCACAGGTCTGATGTCCTGGTTTTGTTCTGCAGATGAGCAGCCTGAATCCTGAGGACCCAGAAAACTGCTAAACATCTCACCAACACTCCTGAATACTGCAGACTAGGTAAATACTGCGAATCCCCCATTATCTTCTACTGTCTTTGATTTGTCTGGAGGTTTAGATGAAAGCAAGTATAGACACAGAGACTCGGTGACACTGGGTGCAATTTTAAGGTAATCCAATAAATTCCGTTTATGTTATTCATTTGTAAAAACTGTCGGATGGTATCACAGTTTTGAGACATCGATTGGATCATTTTTTGGATCTGATTGGTTACACGTCGCGGTTAATAGCCTCTCAGCACTGAAGGCCTCAGACAGGCAGTTGCTCCGGTGAGCCGAGCTGTGAGTCGAGGGGAAGGGATCATTTCTGAAGTCAGAAAATAACCTTGCAATCTCACGATCTCTTTCTATGATGACAACCATGTCTAGTTTCCCAGTTGAAAATGCCCGAAGTCTCAGCCTCCGACAGCTTTTAAATCAGTGGCTCTTCTGTGCCGTTCATTGTGCTTCAGAGTAACATAGCACATCTGTCTCGTCTATCGTTTCACTGCAACTGTGAATTGAGATTTTAGGGTATGATTACGTTAATAGCAGCAGTGAAAGTGTATGGTTAAATTTGGTCTGCGTATCAAACCGTGCTTATTAAAGAATATTTCGCTTAAGTAATCTTTAATAAAGTTATGTATTTTTGAGAGCAGCCTTCTGAGTATCTTTGCATAGTCAGATAAATGTAAAATTGGCCGCTGTATTGGTAATCCATTAAATTTCCCCCCCTAAAACTGGTATCAGTATTAGCCTCAAAAGTCCATATTGGGGTTGGAAGGTGTATTTTTAAAATCCTTAATGGAGCTAGGCTCTCATGATATCATGATATTTAATATCAAGATGAATGTTTGTGAGCATTTAGTAATGTTTCACAGTCAACATGACATACAGCGATGGTTTACTGTGTCAGCCTTGGCAGCAGTTTTCCACACACTGCTGATGTTGTTGTAATTCCTGCTTATCACCAGTAGATGTCAGTAACTGGCATATGTGGTCTGATTCCAGCCAAGCAGTAGAGTGTGTGGATCCATGGACAGATTGTGGCTGTTTTTTGTGGCTAGTAGTCATTATGTTCTTCTTCGTCAGGAGATAATGTGTTCACTGTTTTCCTCCTCCTGCTGTTTAAGCCCTGGACAGGTTTGTGCCGTAGCTGTGTGGCCGGGCAGCCTGGCTGCCCCCCTGCCTCCAGATGAATGAAGAGCACTCCGGGACCCAGAGACACAGCTGATGCAGGTCAGAGGTCGTCCTCACTGCCATGACACAAAGCTATTAACATTTAACTAGCAGACACTCCATAATGATTACACTTGTTCCAATTGATTCCCATTGGATTCTGTTAATCTTTTATCGCCTTTCTCACAGTATCGCAATATACTGAATCATAACCCCCGTATTTGTATTGTCAGATTCTTGCCAATACACCGCCCTAGTGTCTGGGAGATTTTCACTCTAATTCAATTGCTTCTGAACATATTCAGCACTCATATAAAGTATGCAGTATCTGTAGTAAATAGGCTGCAACATACGAAACCACCTCCATTTTAGTAAGTTGTACAGTGTTTGATGAATGTGCTGTGATTTTCTCCTCAGGGCATGCAGGTGTTTCTGCAAACATGATGAAGAAAAAGAATCCCCATAAGTGAGTTAAGATGCTTTGCAGCTCATTTTTGTTTGCGTTATGACCAAAATAATTGGCCTAAATGTCCAGTAGAAAGGAACATTAATTCATAATGTGAGATAATGTTTCTGTTCCCACATTAGGGAATTCAATAAATGCATCTCAAAGTACAAACAGTAAACACAGTCTCAAAGCAAATAATGTTGACTGTGTTGTTTTAATGTTGCCTGGAAGGAAACATAAGAGCAGTCTGGGTCCGACCACCAAAGTTCTGTCTCAGCCACGACGCAACATCGTTGGCTGCAGGATCCAACACGTCTGGAAGGACGGAGGAGGACACGTGATCTGGAAAGGAACAGTGCTCGACCAGGTAAGCAGAGGGTTGAATAATTACCGACCGCAGTACTTTTACCATCACATGTTTCATTTAATGATATGTGTAGACCTACTTCTAATACTATAGAGTCCATAATGAACATTTAGTGCTCATTCTATCTGCATACTGCTGCCGGCTTCCAGCAAACTAAAATGTGTATTATTGTTGACGCAAATATCTTGATGTGCGATAAACAATTAAGGATGTGTGGAAAGAAGCACCAAAAGCGTGGGAAAACAATGTTTCACGTGTGTGTGTGTGTGTGTTTGTCCACCAGGTGCCAGTAAACCCGTCTCTCTATCTGATAAAGTACGATGGTTTCGACTGCGTTTATGGTCTGGAGCTTCATAAAGACGAGAGGGTCCAGGGGCTGGAAGTGCTCCCTGACAGATTGGGTAAGACCGAACTGAGAACAGGGTCACAGCCACTGAACACAGTGGCGATAGAAGGCTGCACAGACAGATAGTTAATTTTTTCTCAACGAAAAAGTAGATGTATATGTCATATAATTAACACATATACATTTTTAGCATTTAGCGTAATAATGTTTAGTGTAGGAGTGTGTTAATGTTTATTATATAACTATAACTTCTATAACATTTAGCATGTTAGTGTAAAATGCTAATGTTTAATTTACTATAATAGAGTGTTCATTTCAGCAGAACATAACATGCTAACATTATAACATGAGTGTGTTCATGTTTATTATATAACTATAACTTCTATAACATTTAGCATGCTTGTGTAACTAATGTTTAGTTTAGTATAGTAGAGTGTTCATTTTTATAGAACATAACACATTAAGTGTGGTTGTGGACTTTTTAAAAGATTTCTTTTTGGCATTTTTGCCTTTAGTACACAGAAGAGGCACATAGGAAAAAGTGGTAGAGAGAAGGATATGACATACATCAAAGGTCCGCAGGCTTTAGAGTTTTAGCGTTGTTCCTAAAATCTACATGCAACTGCCTGGAAAGTGCATTTTGTCTTGATTATAATTTTTATCCCTGCAGCTAAATCCCGCCTAACAGATGTCAACCTAGCGGACACCATGATAGGTAAAGCAGTGGAGCACATGTTTGAGACGGAGGAGGGTCCGAAGGAGGAGTGGAGGGGGATGGTGCTGGCCCGGGCTCCCATCATGACCACCTGGTTCTACATAACTTATGAGAAAGACCCTGTCCTCTACATGTACCAGCTGCTGGACGACTACAAAGAGGGAGACCTCCGCATCATGCCCGACTCCAGTAAGTGACGTAATCCTATTCAGCGTTTATTTAAACTGGTGAAGATTATAAAGAGGAACCTACCTGAATCACTTGGTACCTTTAACTGTGTGTGTCTTGAGCATTTGGATTATATCTGAATATGTATTAGGACTGTTATTAGAATAGAATAGCAGAAACAGGATCATATGTATTGAAAATTCTGATGTTCCAAGCTTTCTGAGTTAATTGTAATTAAAAGGTAACAAAATGAGTTTAAGTCTATTGCTGATGTAAAGCCTAACAGTGGGACACCTTTCAGTGTAATAATTTTATGTGATTGTGCATACATATATTTGCCATACCATTATACACCATATATCGAACAATTGTATTATTGGTGATTAGGAATAAGCAGTGAGGGCAAGGGAGTACCGCCAGGATCACAGTTGCTCTATATATCCTGACAACACATAGTTTACACGTTTTTATTTAATTCATTTCATTATTATTAATTTCATTTTGTTTATTCATATTTATGATTGTTTAAAACATTTTATTGATTTAAATAATTTAAATATTGTATCTAACTTGTAGTTGATTATTTTTTATATATTTTTTATGTTTATACTTGTGTATATATACTAATAATCTATTATAATCTAATTCACTAATAATTATAATTGTATCTTTTATTAACTTATTATTTTGTTATATTTAGTTAAATCTTTTAATTTTTGTTTTATTTAAATATGTACTTTTTTCAGTTTTACAGTGCTTATGCGTTCAGCATTTACTAAAGCATTGTATATGATAGTGATCATGTCTCTTTGATCGCAAGTATTATCCAGAAATCTTCCTTAAAATCTTTCAAAAACATCTGCCTTTGTTTGACTGTTTTTTTAATAAAAGAATAAAAAGCGGGTAAGATGGAGGACATGTTAATACCATGTAGTGCTAACATCTCTCTCTCTCTCTCTCTGTAGACGACAGCGTCCCAGCGGAGAGGGAACCTGGCGAGGTGGTGGACAGCCTGGTGGGTAAACAGGTTGAGTACGCCAAAGAGGACGGCGGCAAACGAACAGGCATGGTCATCCACCAGGTGGAGGCCAAGCCCTCCGTCTACTTCATCAAGTTTGACGACGACTTTCTTATTTATGTCTACGACCTGGTCAAAACTTCATAAGACTTTGTGGACGTCCTGAGTCCCTCCCACGCGACAGAAACAAAATGCAGCACATGTTGAAACATCTGAAGCATTTGATCGAGCGCTTGTTTTCTCAGACCATCAAAGACAAAAGTAAAGACTCAAAAGAAGAATTCTCACAACGGAAAGAGAGGATAGATACTTCTTGAGAATCGCCTTGTTTTTGTGTTCGGGAGCGTTTAATATGGGGAAAAAAACCAGCTTGGGGACATTGAAGACCCTTATCGAAGACCTTCATAAACCCTTAAATTAAAAAAGAAATGCCATGTTTTTACATTACCCGTATGAGGTCCAAAATATAGTGAATACCCCAAAATAATTCTCTGAAGCCGTCCAAAAATTCTGCTTCACTCTAGAAAGAGACTTAACCTTGAGATCCATTTTCAGTGTTAGATTTCATCCAGTGGGCTGCCTGGGGAGGGACATTTTGGTCATAGTGATGTGGCACTCAATTTGAGGCACAGCTAATTTGATCCTAATGAAACTGTAATTGAAAAGTAGCCAACTCTTCTGTACTTATGCTGGAAGCGTGGAAACATGACATAACTGTCTTCAAAGATTTCTTGTCATGTTTCCTACATCAGCTAACACATCTGGCCACAGAGAAATGAGCAGCCTCCCAGCAAAGACGTGAAATCTGGAGCTAGTTGGTGGAAGGGGCTTCAAAAAGGCTACAAGAAGGAGAATTCTCAGACCAATTGCGGTCACGATGGAGAAGGAGCTTGTCTTTGTTTTCGGCTACACCCTTCCACCAAATTTAATGAAAATGAGGACTGTAGTTTTTCCGGAGACAAATAAATGGCACCAAAAACATAACCTCCTTGGCGGAAATATTTAAGTTTTTACATACAAAAATCTCAATTTACTAAAACATTTTGACTATGCCAAATTATAGGAATTTGATTTAGTTAATCCCATAATTTTGGATTAGTTTGTAATTTTTATGTCATAATATTTATTTATTATTTTTGGCTGAAATGGTCTTCCATATATCTGAGATCCACAAGACAGGAAACAAACAAAACTGGTTCTAGTCTAATTCAAAGTTGGACTTTAGAGACTTTTTAAAGCCCTAGAAACCTAAGGGGTAAAAACACAACAAAAATCTTCAACCAAGTTTGGTGTGGCTTGGTCACAGAAAAGGGGACACTTATTATATCCCTTTTGTTTCAAATGAAAGTTAACTGAAGTGGGATTTCTGTTCCGGTTGTTGTACAGAACAAAACATTACAGGTTTCTTCATCATATAGTGTGCTACTTACACAAGCTTCACTTTATCGACTTCAACTGAATATTCATGGAGAGGGTCAACCAATCCTCATCTACAGACGTCTCCAGTTAAAAACTGTGATTTAAAAAAAAAAGACGGGGGCAGTTTTTTGCTTTTATCATTGCCAAAAGCCCTTCCTGTTGTGAAGTTGTTTGATGTTAAAGATGATCGGACAGCTTTTTCTTGTGATTTCAATAAGGCCTTTGGATTTGCTCTTGTGTTGTCTTTTCTAAGTCACCAGTGAAGGAGTGACAGAGAAGTGAAACTGAAACTTGGCCAAAGCCCTTCCTGTCCTTGGCTGTTTGTTTTACTGTTAAATACCTTGTTACAGAAGGAAAAAAAAAACCCTGCGATTTCTTGGGTTTTCCTTCCTCCGTTTGGACTATGAACACAGTGATGGATTCTAAATGTCACACACCGTTGATTTAAGGACTGGAAAACTTGGTTTAATGCACCTTAAATCCCAGGGAAGGAGATAAGAAGAATATTCCCCCTGTGTTGGACTTAAATTGTCACCAGAATCCACAAGAATCTACTAGAGTGATGCAGTGAAGTTCTCATCCGTTATCAAGATGATGAGCATTGTTAAGGGTTCCCTTGGTCGATAAGATTATTACTGAAACAAGAGCATCCCAGTTTGTATTTACACACAAAGAAAAAGATTACAGACTCCTTGTGGTGTAGATCCAATGCTCTCCTGGCCGACTGAAGAAGAGTTTTTGTGCGTAGCCTGTGAGATGATTTGGTCTGTTCCACAGCGTGTATGCAGTAAGAGAGGACACAGTCAGTTGTGTTAAGTATATGAAGAGATTAACAACCAGTGATGGTTTAAATTTCCTTTTTCACAAATGTACATTTGATTTTGTTTGGATTTATTGGAGACTGAAGGTTTTCCATTAACACGGTTCTGTACTTGAGTAGTAGTATTTCAGCAAAATTGGAATACACTGTAGGGTCAGAATCAATCTGTTTTTACTGGCCAGTGACTGATATCCCAGTAAAATTGGTAAGAGTCCTGGAAGAGCATTTATTAAAGCAAATAATAAATGAGAGCTTGTTGGTTCCTCAATGTATAATTTTGGACCAGTTTATTACAACAGAACTACTAAATAAATCTGAATTATTAATGCATTTGATGACATCAAGTATGTTTGCGTACGTAACTTTTGAAACCATCCCAATATTTTAAACAAAAATGTTGATTCTCCATTTATAAATTAGACTTAGGTTGTGTATGTCAAGTATAGGTTTTTTGGGTTGGACCTTTAAGCACTTAATGCAACCGCTACCAGTAAACATATAACAGTTTTTTTTTTCTCCAAAAACCAGTGAACATAGGAATGAAAACAGAAAAGAAACCAATAAAGGTTGATGCATTACACCTTTGACTAATCACTTGGCTTGCTTGATTCAATGTACAGAACGGAGTAATGTATGTAAAACCTTCAGGCTGTGTACTTCCTGTGATGTAGTTAGTTGCCGAGGCAGATTACAGCTCTTATTATAACCGCACTAAAAAAACAAGACAGACTCTCCCAGAGGTCTGTAGGTTTCTGCACTTGTATATTGTTTTTTTTTTATTAAAGAGAAGTATGATTGTGATCATCTCAACAGGCACTATCTTAATTAGTTAACGAGATAACGCATCGTTAATAAGACTTTATTCGCAGCAAGGTTTTGTCCCATTCAGTCAGTACATTTTACTGTTATATTGATAACAGGTTATTGTTGTTAATGTTGGAATGACATGGGCCTTCTATCATTCTTCTGCCTTGTATTGTTTGTTTTTGTATGTTTTAAAATGTATGTTAATAATTTTTATTGTTAATGGAAAACCTGACATGCGTGCTTTGTTTTTTTTTAGCATGATTGACTTACATATTCACTTACAGGCGTTTGAAACTGATGTGAGCAGGTAGGAGGAGGGAGCTGATATCAACATATCATAACATATGTTCAACTGTAAAATATCCTGCTTCCTTGAATGTCAGCCTTAAAAATCCAACATCAGTTGGGCTTCTCTCCCGAAGTTTCAAAATCTGTTGAGCGGCCTTGCCCATATTGAGTATTAAGAAATTAGGCACTGTAATGTGGAAATTATACTATTTTACAGAAAAACAAATCAGACACACTTTATTATTCCAAGCAGATTAATTATATATATATGTCTTAATTCATGACTGGAGGGGATCTTTAATTCAACCACCCTACGTTCAAAACAGACTTTAACTTAACGTTAAAGGAATAGTTTTGCTGTTTCTCTTGTAGTGTCTGTGCCTTACAGGGGAACTCTATTACAGGTTTACAGCTGTTGGGGAGTTCTTTAGTGAGTGTCAGTGGGGGCTGAAGACTTAAGTTTGAAAATGCAAAAACTCTGGCAGTGTAGATAGAAGTGAGCTTACCAGAGCTCTGTAGCTCCTCATTTGTGCTGCAGGCTACATTAGCAAATGTGTGGGATTTTTTTTAACTGTCCATCGTGAGTCAGACAGTGTGATGAGAGTGCATATTCTTTGGGCAGAGCCAGGATAGCTGGCCTAGAAGCTGGAACTGATGAATGTATTTTGCATTTTGTGCTTGATCAATGATAAATTAAAAGATTGTGCTAAATACACAATATGAAAATTGAAAACTTCAGTATGAACCTCCTCCAGGGAGATTAATGTCAACATCAAGTCAAGTTTTCTTTCCTCAGGCAGAATGTAAAACAATAGTAACTTCAACACTGACTTGCACACAAGTTCTACAGAACTGAACATTTCCAGGATGTGGTGCGTTTCAGAGTAAGGTCAAAAGGGTTAAAAATGAGAAAGTGCATTTCTTGTGTTACATTAAGCATTTGTCATTTCCTTTCCTATTTTTAGTATGAGTCAGCATAAACACTTCTTGTGTAACACTTATCTACAGACAGAACAACTTAAAGTAACCCAACATTACCCCTTTCCCTTTAACTATTGACTGGTGCCAAACTCCATCATAAAAACCTGGCTGAGCCACTTTGAACATTTTTGTGAAAATCTGTGTGACATCCTTTAAACGTGCTCACTGAGTGCAGTGAATGGCCATGTTTAAGAGTATGCAGGGATGGGAACTAAGTTTTTCACATAGCTACTTCCTTCACTCTGTGGAGCTTCTCATTTCTAATAGGCGACCATTGATTTTGAAACGAGAACTGTCATTAGCAGAAACAACCAATCAGACCCTAGAAAGATATGAAGACGCTTTGGGTTGGAAGCTTGAAGACAGCTGAGTGTTGAGTCTCATTCCCAGAGTCCCAAAATGTCATTATTTGACGCCCTGTGAATGAGACTCAACAATCAGCTATCTTCAAGCCTTCAACCTCTTGGCTCTGATTGGTTGTTTTCATTCAGGCCTGGTGAAATAAATGATAATAAAGAGCACTAGGAGGAGCCAGAGGAACCGGATTATTTCACAGATTATCTGTCTCATGTACTACTGTCAGGATATAGTGAAAGTTTCAGCAAATATGACAAAAATACTTTTTAAATAAAAAAGGTTCTACTGCAGCTTTAAGTACAAGTTGGAAATTTAGTGGTGGTGACAGTGAAGTCATACAACAGCGGTGTAGTTCTTTGATAGCCTAACATTAGCTTTGTACTTATGGCAATTGTATTTACACTTCAAAAATCATAAAAGTGGTGTTCATTTGTGAAGGTTATATGGATGAACATCATTAACCTTTGCTAAATCCAAAATAATCCCATTGGATTTTGTCAAAGGAACCAGGGCGATGTTAACTTCTGGGTTTGCCTACAAAAATATATCATCCCTGCAGCACTCTATGATAGGCTAAAAGACTGAAAAATAGTGTTCAGAGCTGGGTTTAGCAAACGGTCAATTGATCCAAAACAATATTTTTATATATATTTATTAGAAACCCTATTCTGTGGCGTTCATGTCAAAGTATGACTGTATAGTTACAGTATGAGTTTAATGCCGCCTCAACACCAAAACGACAACAAAAAGACCAGTGAAATGTGAAACAATAAATAATTTTAGGTAAAAGTTATTTAAAATGCAGTAAACAGCAAGCGGTCACCTGAACTTCTCAAGAGACAGAGCGGAAACCACAATCACAAACTCCCTGTGTGAGAAACAGCAGCCTTTGCAAAATGTACAGACGCTTGCAGCTGTGACTTTGGCTTCCATTTACACAATAACACGCAAACATTTTAAATGTGCTTATCTCCTTTTGCTTCTGCTTTCTTTTTCCGATAGAAAAGCTTCAACAACACAGATCAGATCGGAAGAGACAGAAAATCTCTGGAGGTGATCGTCTGTTAACCAGTTTATCAGTGTCCTCTCTGGTAAACAAAGGAACCCTCTGTCCTATTCCAGAGTCAGATGAGAAGATGGATATCAGTTTCACCTCGTCTTTTTTACATTTCTACTCTTTTCACTAATCAAGATAACGTACCCCAAAGGGCTTCGGACATAATGGAAGGTTATAATTTTGTATTTTTCACTTATCACAGAGCTAGGCTAACGGTTTCCCCTGCTTCCAGTCTTTGTGCTAAGCTAGGCTAAACACATTCTAAATGCACAAGTTCAAAATTGATATCCTTCTTCTCAAAAAGACTCCTTGGCCCTGGTTTATTCATCATAAAATCAATACATGCTAATAGACTTTTAGCTGATGCTCTGGAGCAGCTTACAGGGTGAGCAGGCAGCGGTCCGGTGCCTTGCCCAAGGACACTTTGACAGTACTGTTGGCTTGTAGCAGGGGTCAGACTGGTAGCCTTCTGGTTACTATGTGGTACGTTGATCACTTGGCACCTGGATGTGTCAGTTATCCAGCAGAAAACCATTTCACAAAAACTCAGGCATCAAAACTCATTCAAACATCTGTTTTTAACAGCAGGAGAGAACAAAAAAATAAAAAAATGGCTGCAGAAAATTACAGAAAAAAACCCCTCCATCGATTATCATTGAACTTATTTAAAAAGAAATGAGCTTGTTGGTTTGAAAAATAAAAATAGCATGATGTAAAAAATTACTCTGCAGCCCCAGCTCACAGTTTAATCCACGTAGTCATCGGCTTTAAGAGGCTTGATCGCTATGAAAATATCTCTCACTATATAAACAGGCATAGTTAATCTTTCTGTACAGGTATTTCTCCACACAGCACGGCGCGTGTTGTCCGTGTATGCTGGCACTGAGGCAGGTGTGTATGTCACAGACGGAGCTCCTGGCCTTCAGTCGTCCATGAATGTGAGCCGGCCCGGTCCCTCGTTCCTCATCCAGCGGCGGTACCTCTTCATCCTCGGGTCAGTCGCCATCTTTACCTTCATCTCCTCCTCCTGCTCCTTTCTGTACACCTGAAAGACAAACAGCAGAGGCGTTAACGCACTCAAATTACAGAGGGTGGAATTACCCTTACTGTGCACTGTGAATATACTGTATATTAGCAATCACTGGTTGTTGGTGTGATGATGGCCGGCTGGAAAATGTATCATATGACTAGAGCTGCCCCCTAATAGTCAACTTAACTGTTAGTTGATTGAGTGTCTTGCCTTGTCCCTGGGATTAAAGTATAAGAGGATTGTTGCAACACAGACCTTTCCTCTTGTAACACAGGTAGTCACTTACTTGTGCACTGTTGCATATGCTAACTCTACTAGCTGCTACCACTAGCTACTTAGTGGATCTATTAGCTGTCTCTACCCTACAAGCGTTGGAGCGCAACAAGCTCTAACAGATTTAATAAAGAAAATAAACGCACCAAATGTCAAGTAAGGAAAAGAAAAACACCTGTTTTCTTCTTTAAACAGAAAATACAACTGTACACCTTTTAAATTAAAGTTTCTCTCTTATACCAAACTGAGACCTTAAGCGGTCTTACATTCAAACTCGACAGAAACTAAATAAAACTCACCAAACCGTTTATTTACATTGTTCCAACAATCACCAGCTCTGGTGTCTAACAGATTAAGATGTGAAAATATTTTGGCTCTACGCACTGTCCCTGCCTCTCTGATGCTCTGTCACTGAGGAGCTCTCATTTTCTGGAGGCAGAACATTAAATTAGCTAAATAAAATGACAAAAATCTTATCTAAAAAAATAATCTCTGAAGTTAAAGGGAAAAGATGGAAAGACAAACCTCGTAGTTTTCTTTGATCCAGAGCTGTTTCTCCACGTAGGACTGTTTGGTGTTTTCATCCAGACTGTCAAACTGAGACTGAGACATCTTCATGTACCTCCTGAGAATTAAAACAGAGTCTGCTGTGAGGACACTGACGGGATGCTGAGGTGAGAAACATATAAAAGTGTCATCCAGGTAGTAGCACACAAATACTGTGTCTAAATAACACTTGTCACGAGAACTGACCGGATGATGTAGAGCTTCTCCTCGTCTCCGTAGTCCTCCCTGCAGATGGTGAAGCGGTAAACCCAGGAGACGTACCAGGCCACGTAGGTGGTCAGGTAGTAGGGGAAGAGCACGATCTGGCACAGCAGGATGTCCGACAGGTTGGGCTTCTGGTAGCCCCCTTTGATGTCAATCTTGGTTTTGATGATGTCGCGGATCACCTCCTCCTCCTGCTCCCGGATCTCCTCTTTGGAGCGGCGGTTCTTGCCCTTCTCCTTGGTGCGGTTGAGGAGGCCCTGCTGCTTGGCGATCTCCGTGGCCTGGATTCGGTACTTTGGCACCGTCACCAGGTAGTTGATGGCCTCGTTGTAGCTGCTGTGCCAGCTGTAGTACTGCAGGAGAGACAGGGAGATAAAGCCGAGTTCTACTTTCAGCATCTATGAGCAGGGCAGTGTATTGGCAAGATTCTGGCGATACAATACGCATAACGATACAGGGGTTACGATTCATTATATTGTGATACAGTAAACAAGGTCATACATTGCGAGCAGTGAGATCTGCATTTGTATGCATCACAGTCCCTGTAACGTCCAACATCATTGCCCTCAGTTTACAACTGCTATCTAGTGGTTGGAGGTTTAAATATGAAAACCGATGTTTTTGAGAAACTATACAATCATAAAACAAATCATCGCAATACATCTTCTTACAGCCTCTCTGTGAGTGGTTCTGCATGATATATATTCTGACTGAGGTTTGCTCAGCTGCTATTGGAGCACAGAGCAAAAAGGGGCGGGACTTGGAGGAAGGGTTAATTGGTTATGGGTTGTTAGGTGCCCACAACTAACACTAAGGTGTAAGTCCAGACTGCGACTGTACCTCATATGTGATAAATAATGACAGACAGGTTGACACAGAGGAAGGAAATGGAGATTTGGCAGAAGATGATTGTCTTTCCTTTTATTTAATCTTTTGTAATTAATGTGCGTCACATATAATGCTGGATATCAATAGATTTTTTTCAATAATAGTACAAATAGTGCCCCTGCTCTGATCCAAGTCATTTAACAGTGAGCATCTGCCAGTACTGAGTCCCGATGCGATACTGTTTTCCAAAAGAATACAGTTGCACAAATGCATAAATTAGGCTCCCACACAGTCCATCTGTGGTCCGGCAAGACTCGCTGCAAATCTGGAGAAGCTTTTAGAACCTGTTGGAGGAATCGTACCTGGAAGATGGAGATGGCACAGATGGTGACCAGGATGACGACTCTGACGTCCACTTTGGGGGTGAGCTGTCGGCGGTAGTAGGCGTAGTAGTGCTGGTAGTACTCCTCAGGATGGTCTAGCATGTAGTCGTAGTCCCGCCGAGTGTCCTCATCCTGCACACACAGAAAGATTTTACTTGAAGGTTTCTGTTATGAAGACCTGCAGGTGGAGCTCAGCCAAACCTGATTTCAACATTAAAAACCCAAATCATTTCATAGCTGCTCACAAAACACACTTATCCCTCACATACAGTTTGACTCAGTTTTCAGGTGAAATTATTATTGTGGAACAACTTGTTGTAGAATCATTTGTAAGCTATTGTGCCTATGTGGCAGAAATTAAACCAAACCATCAGTCCTGTGATTATACTACCTCAGAGTGCAACCACATTTTCTTCTGTGTTAAAAAAGAATCATGAGTAGCACCTATACACTGCAACTTGTAGTAGTGCAGAAGAATTGATCCATTATGAGTTTAGGGATCAATATATGTTAATATAATATATGTGAACTGTATTAATTACTTTTTCACAAGAAATTGGTCAGTCACTTTAAAATTATTTAGATAGATAGATTTTATTAATCCCCGGAAAGACACAAAGTAGATGACACTATGAAAAATGAAAATTGAAAGTCATCGTGACTCGTGGAGTCTGTCATGTGTCTACAGTAGCCCAGAATGGACAAACCAACCACTGGCTCCACAATAGGGCCTCTAGAGGTTTTTTATATGTTTCGCGGCCACTGTAGTTTCTCTTACACACTTGGAACGGGAGGGAGAAGCGAAGGGGTTGCAATCAGCAACAACCCGACTAGATCCAACACACTGGTCCTTTAAAGTAGTGGCATAAAAAAAGATAACTTGTGCGTTATAAGGATGCAAATATGCAACACCGTGGCTTCATGGATAGTATAGAATATGACACAAAGACAGCATGAATCCCTTTAGGAAAACTATAGAACTATTTGACAGGGTTCACAGCTGGAAATTTAGGGACTAGTTTTGACTCCAGTCATTTAAACACCTGGAAATTGATGAAAATGACCAAATATCATGAAAATAATCCTGGAAAATGTGCATTGTATTTTACCCTGCTCATTCAGATCACCTACAGACAGTTAACCTAGGTACACATTTAGTTTGAAATGTTTACCAGATGCTGAGTGGAATGGACTATTCGATGTTATAGTTAGAGAATAACTGGGTACAGTGTAGTCAGTCCATGGAGACCACAGCTCTGCTCCACTGAGACTGCAGCAGTGTCCCGTAAAGGCTGACCCGCTACCTGTAAGGACCCTGAGACACTTCATTATGAACCTTGTGACCATGGTGACCACCTGGGCGCCCTGGTGGTCACCATGTGAAGGAAAATATCCAACATTGGAACACAGTCACAGTGCTCTTACAGTAGCACAGGGACATTGATTCATATTATTAAAAGGTGAACACTGTGAACTTAAAGCTATAGAGAGATAGAAGAAGAGACACATGAGCAGTAATGTGGATCAGTATGAGGCCATAAGGCAACAACAGTTCCTGATATTATGTGAACAGACCATAAACACACCAGATGTCACAAGGCAACGTTTGATGAGGACATGAGGACATGAGGACATGATTGGACTCAGTGTGCGTTATAGGAACACACTCCTGTAGACGGACAGTATCTGGATGAGACTTCAGTCTCTGACAGACACTTGGACCCACCTTTAACGTCTCGTACGCGGTCGCAACGAGCAGAAACTTCTTCTGGGCGGACTCGTTGGTCTCTCCCTCTAAACCGGGATCTCCCGGTCTGAACCTGTCCGGGTGGTACCGGCGCGCCAGCTGCCGGTAAGCCCGGGCGATGTCCGCTTTGGCGGCCTCCCGGGTGACACCGAGCACGTCGTAGCAGACCTCGGTGCCGCAGTACAGGCCCTCCACCAGCGCGGTGACCGTCGGCAGGGAGGACACGGAGAGCAGGAGCACCGCGAGCCGCCACCAACACCTCACCGTCCGCGGACACCCAGCGAATCCTCCGCCGCCGCCGCAGCACCGCTCCGTGGGCGCAGCCATCTCTGTCCGCCGCTACTGCCAACTCCGGAGCCCAGGCTGCCCCGTCGCACGCTGCTTACATCATCAGGACGCGCCGGGATGACGATGCATCAAAGATCGTCTGTGCCGGTGGCAGAGGCGATGTTCAACCAACACGTGACCTTATGTTCAAAAAGGTCCAACTGCAGCACCTCAACACCTCAATGTCTCTGTCCTCAATGTCTCTGTCCTCAATGTCTCTGTCCTCAATGCCTCTGTCCTCAATGCCTCTGTCCTCAATGTCTCTGTCCTCAATGCCTCTGTCCTCAATGCCTCTGTCCTCAGTACCTCAATGTCTCTGTCCTCAATGTCTCTGTCCTCAATACCTCAATGCCTCTGTCCTCAATGTCTCTGTCCTCAATGCCTCTGTCCTCAGTACCTCAATGTCTCTGTCCTCAATGTCTCTGTCCTCAGTACCTCAATGTCTCTGTCCTCAATGTCTCTGTCCTCAATACCTCTGTCCTCAATACCTCTGTCCTCAATGCCTCTGTCCTCAATGTCTCTGTCCTCAGTACCTCAGTATCTCTGTCCTCAATACCTCTGTCCTCAATGCCTCTGTCCTCAATACCTCTGTCCTCAGTACCTCTGTCCTCAATGCCTCTGTTCTCAGTATCTCTGTCCTCAATACCTCTGTCCTCAATGCCTCTGTCCTCAATGCCTCTGTCCTCAGTACCTCAATGTCTCTGTCCTCAGTACCTCTGTCCTCAATGCCTCTGTCCTCAGTACCTCTGTCCTCAATACCTCTGTCCTCAATGTCTCTGTCCTCAGTACCTCTGTCCTCAATGCCTCTGTCCTCAATACCTCTGTCCTCAATACCTCTGTCCTCAGTACCTCTGTCCTCAGTACCTCTGTCCTCAATACCTCTGTCCTCAATACCTCAATGCCTCTGTCCTCAGTACCTCTGTCCTCAAGCCTCTGTCCTCAATACCTCTGTCCTCAATACCTCAATGCCTCTGTCCTCAGTACCTCTGTCCTCAAGTACCTCTGTCCTCAATGCCTCTGTCCTCAATGCCTCTGTCCTCAGTACCTCTGTCCTCAATGCCTCTGTCCTCAATGCCTCTGTCCTCAGTACCTCTGTCCTCTGTATGAATAGAAAGATAGGCACTGTGTTTTCTTTATGAGCTGTTTTTATCTACAGTTGCAGCCGTACCCTTGTTAGAACAAACTAGGATTTAAAGGCTAGGAGAAGATTAATATCATCATGCATCTTGACTATGTAGCTAGACCTTCAGTTAAAGCTCACCAATTGGCCTACATTGTGTCTGGTTTGTTTAATCCATACACAAAGTGAGTAAGGAGATAGAGACATCCTGGAGTCTGGTTGCCTGGCAACCTTTCAGAAAAGTCAAGATTACTTTGAGAAGATAACTTTGGTCGGTGGTTTCAATGCTTCAAATTTGACTTGCTTCAAATCGATAGAATATGATTTCATACTTCTGTTTAAAAATAAGGAATAAAAATCAAATAAAAAACTGACTAATCACCCCACAGTAACACTGGGCCTGTGTTATGAACACTGAGTAACCCCTCCTCCTTCCATACACGATCTTTGTGTTCGGGACAGAATGATGACGTGCCACACTGTGGGAGACAAGATTCAATTTTATTTTAAAGCAGCAACAAGGAACTTTCCTGTTGTATTGATTCTGGCGACCCCTGTGGACAAAAGCGGTAGTGTTCCTACCGCCTCGTTTCATTGATTTCAAGTGGAATCTGACCAGTGGCAAAGAATAACTATATAGACACCGGCAGTCTTCTTACTGATGGTCTTGTTTGTTTATGTGGGTCATATAGAGGATCAGTATTAAACTGAGGCTGTTTCATAACCAGTTAAAAACTCCTTGCAGTACATCGGACAAACTATACATTCATAATAGACAGTAACAATACAAAAGAGCAGGTAAAACAACCTCTCCTCTCTGTGCAGCCAGGTCTGCCGTGCTCACTCAGTCTGTACTTAGTCAATGTTCTCCTCATTTTTAGATCAGACACTGTAGTCAAATAGGTTGACACAGTGCTCTCAGGCCTGGCTCCAGACAACAGCGGGCCCTGGGCAAGATTTTCTTTGATGGCCCTCCTTACTTCACCTGGAATCAAAAATGATTAAATAAACCAATGAACTACATAGTTTAACTACACTGTATATAACTACAATTATTTGTTTTGCCAGGACAACAAGACAATCCTTTGATATTGTTCTACCATAATGTGGCAAGAACATTCCTGCAGTCTATAAAGTGGGCATAACAAAACACACATTTGGAATAAATAGACAACCAGGTGTAAATGCAATCAATAAATGGAGATTGTTTCTTATAGAATGGAATGGCTGCATGTTTCACACAAAGTATTAAGTGCACTGTAACAGTATAATACTTCACCATTCACTATGGACAACTACAAGCATTCTCTCACTGGGCGTTGACTGCAAACCACCACCAGAGGGCGACATAAGTCCTTTGGAATTGATCTTGAATCCACTTGTGCCAATGAAATCCATCCACTGACATGATCTATCCATTGAGGAATGGGGGCCTTCAACTGGATCAGAGCCACTGATTGGCTTCATGTCTTGTCTCATATAAGTCTGTCTGCTTATGAATATTTATATATATATACATAGGTGTATATTGTCAGTTCTGTCCAGTATGTTTTTTTTTTTTTCATTATGATTTGGTTGGGTTTAATTTTTTGAGTACCTGCCCTGGGGCTGAGGTGGTAGAGGTGTAATGACCTTTGTTGTTGACGGTTTACCCAGCCTCAGGAAATGTGGACTCATTACCCAACTCCAGGCAGCATAAGGCTTTATAGAAAGAGCTTTGTTTTAATATGAAATCCCAGAAATGTAGGGCTGGGTTTTGAATATTTAATAGTATTGGATATTGTCTTAATTCAGCTTTAAAGGTGACGTTGAATTTAAAGGTGCAGTGGAGCAGTGCAGTTCAGACTCAGTGCTGCCAACTCTCACACTGACTGTGAGGTGCAATTGACAGTTTACACACACTCTCACGCCACATATCAATTTTCTCACACCTAAAAACACACAACATGACCATTCACATACACACGTCTAAATCTTGCAATAGAGCAATGTGCAATAAATATACTTCAGCACATTAATTCTTACATTTTTTTCTTCTCTTTTTAAGCTGCCGCATAATCAATGTTAAAAGTGTAGTGAAATGTCTCTTTCATGTTTTAAAATGTTTCATGTTGATTTTGAAGACTTCCCCTTTAGGAATCTCTCTGTCACAGGTCACGTGCCTGCCGGTGTAAACAGGAAGCAGGACAAAAATAAAAATAATGAGGCAGGGAAACATCACTGCTCTTCACAGAATCATCCTGGATAATACTGTTTTTATTAAAACGCTTTTAAAAGCATTGTATTTTCAATGCATATTTGTGGTGAACTTATGGTGGGCTACCTGACAGAATGGCCACAGGCTGATCCTCTTCGTACTAAAAGGGCAGCTGAGCTGACTGCATGTATAATTCAGTACAATGTATTTTTTTATGGAGCCCCCTAAGGGACATGAAAAAAAAATTTAAAAATGAAAAGTTTCTAGTGCATTAGATACAGATCCAGTGTTGTGGCGAATCAACACATGGCTCATTTGAATATTAAAATTAGCCATGTGTTGATAGGTCACAACACGAAAATGTAACCAATGAAATTACTTATTTTGACACACATTTTAAGCCAATAAGTATTAAACTAACAAGGTAATGTGTCAAAAGGCGGACTGTTTTTGTTATTTTCTCAAAAGGAGGACAAGTGAGTGTCCGGCTGCAGGACAGGGCATTTAAATGCGGACTGTAACAAAAAAGGTTACAGATTAATTTACATTTATTTTTTAGTTACAGACAAATTAGTTTAATACTCATTTGAATATTAAAATTAGCCATGTGTTGATTGCCACAACAGGATCATATCTAGTGCTCACTAGATAGTATCTAGTGCAAACGTTTCATCCCCCCCCGCATGTCCCTTTAGGGGCTCCGTAATTTTTCCATCAGTTTGAGGCTCCGAAAAGGATACTGACGGATCAAGGAAGTTTGTGAATGTGGTAATTTTGAAAATATTAGAAAAATTATTTTAGCCGTGTCGTGGTTCCTTGGCCCCACAACATGATACGATTCATGATATGAATATGTGAAGGAATCAGAATGCATGAAACAGTTTCAGAATGTGAACCATTTTTATTGTGCAAACTACAACGTAGTAAATACCGAACTTAAAAAAAGATATTCCAACAACTTTAACATTGTCTCCTTTTTAAAACAAAATAAAATAGTTAATATTATAAACTGACATAAAATACTCAAAGTATTTAAAGAGATTTTTCTCAAATGTTCCTTTGCACAATTAAGAAACAAATAGTCACAAATTGCTGTGGGCCATGGCATTTTGCTCTGTTACTTTGTAGTCAGGTATCTGAACTGACTTTGTACTCTTACACTCTCCATACATTTCTACACAAATATCTGTGCTTCCTACGACTTACATTTTGAAAACAGGCATGTTGCTTTAGTTTGAATGCAATTGAGCTGAATTGATTATTACAGTCACAGTTACAGTTACAGTTACAGCCATTATGCACACATGCATTAAGCGCTATGCGCAGGCCACCGAATGCAGAGGGAGCACAACGAAAACAGCATAATGATCATTAATCATAACAATTATAATGTTATATACAGGCTTGGGGAGTAACAGATTACTTGTAACTTTTATAATCGGGATACATATAAAGGTAAACCTAATCCATTACAGTCACTAAAAAAAGATGTTCTCAATTACAATTGCATTTAGTAAAAATGGGGATTATTTAACCAGATTACAATTTTACTGTAATTTACAATTTACTGTGACCAGAGGACAGTTTTTATAATTTTCTTTCCGTTTCATCTGCTTTTCAAAGTTCACATTTTTCTGTTGTCTTATAGAATACACTTGCATCAATACTTCTTATTGACAACAGAACAGAAAGTAATTAAATGACGTTACTTTAATCCTGCCATACTTGGATTAGGTTACTGACTACATTTTTGAACTTTGTACGCTGGTGTTTCTTCAACCACAGCACAGTCTATGTGTTTATTTTAGTTTTGCATTTAAGATGTGCTATATTAGCACTGCACATTGAAACAGGAAGCTACAGAGGTGATGAAAGAATCTGTGAACATTCTGAGGTAGATGAGTAGAGAATACATTTTATACTGTCCCTTATATAATATTTACGCCAAATATTGTTTCAAATTGTCCAATACTTATTTAGTTTAGATTTGAGAAAGGAGCTTTAATGGAACACCTTTTTGATAATGTTTTTGCATTCTGAATATCTTTTTAAAGCATGGGATAGGAGGAGAAAAGTAACATGTGATATGTGATAAATTCCTCAGACTGCATTTGGATTGCGGACTACTGGTTTATGACTGGATCAATGTGGATGGTTTATTTTTATTTTTTTTATTTTTTGTGTTGTTTGGAGTTGTGTATTGTGTTTTGTGCTTAAGGGGGGCTGTGTTGGTTTATGAAATTGTTGTATTTCTATTGTGGGATATCTTTTTGAATTTCATTAGTGTAAGGTTTATGGTTTGGCTGTTGTTTATGTATTTTGTTGTTAGCATGCTGAAATGTTTGTTTTGTTGTTAGTTAATGTGTCTGAATCATCCCATGATGGATTGGTCTTGAAAATGAAATAAATCTTCATTTAATTAAATAATAATTAATACAATTAATAAACATTATAACGACAATAGTCTAAAATTATGTGAAATGCATAGTTTTTAGTCAAATAAGATACAAATTTCTTGGAGAAGAAAGTCCACACCTCCCAAAAGAAGGAGTCTCAAACAAGTTTCAGTTAACTTTGCACAGAAACAGCTGGTAAAAATGTCCTTTTAAAACCAAGCAAGTACTTAAGATAACCAGTACTTCTCCTTTTTTACAGTCGGATGGAGGCAGAAGTGTTGATCAGACTTCATCAGATTGATGTTTTCATAGTTAAATGACACCAACATCTTCATCATTTCCCACCTGTAAAAAAACCCCAACAGAACACAATCAAACCCACACACTGAAACGCTCCCAACTGTCCAATCCCACTTCTCTGACCTTCAGTGCGTCCAAAGGTGTTACATTACATTTGTAAGACTCTTCTGCCCAAAAGTGATCTAGAATTTATGAATTCAATAAGTATTACAGTAAGTAATTTACGTCATGAAGAATTGGAAGAGCAACTCCCCTAAAAGAAAAGGTAAAAGCATGTTTAAAAACTATATCACAGTAGTGATTCTATATTTAAAAAGTGAAAGTGAGATGTGAGTGCTAGTGATGGGTGTCAAGATGCAGTCTAAAAAGGTGTTTTTTTCAAATGAACAGCCGTAACACAGGGCATTTATCCTTTGCTGGATGGACCATTAAAAAAATTGGGGCATAAATTAGTATTCTCGCTTCTCTGGGCACTACTGACTTTATGTCTGTAGATGTGACATACACCAACTAGCCATATCATTATGAGCACCTGGGCACCCTGTTCTGCAGCCCCATACCAACAAACTGTGATGACACCTTTCTATCAGAACCAGCATTAGCTGTTTCAGCAGTTTGAGCTACAGTAGCTCGTCTGTTGGATCGAACCACACGGGCCATCCTTCAATCCCCACATGTATCAATGAACCTTAGCCGTCCATGATCTTATCTCTTGTTCTTTTCCTTCCTTGGACCACTTTAATAGGTACTGACCCCTGCAGACCGGGAACACCCCACAAGAACTGCAGGTTTGGAGATGCTCTGACCCAGTCGTCTAGCCATCACAATGTGGCCCTTGTCAAAGTCACTCAAAACCTCATACTGCCCATTTTTCCTGCTTCTAAGAAAATGTTCACTTGCTGCCTAATATATCCCACCCACTGACAGGTGCCATGGTAACGAGATATGTGTGTATAATAATCAGTACAAATAAGACATAAAATGCAAGGGACCTAACCCTTTGAGTTAAAGTGAGTGACGTTTAAAATATTGTGCTGTCACACTTATTTAAGTGAATTAATGATCACTATTTAATCGCCGTAATGGTCTTTTCTGATGGGGATCAATAATTTTATCTTAAACTGTGAAAACACCTTAATGCATTAATCATACATCAATAATAGCCTATGATGAATGATCCCTGATGATGAAGATACAAAAAAATAGAACATTTTTAACATTTTTGCAGACTCTCTAAACTAATTTTCACAAGACAAAGTGACTTCATCTCAACTCTGATGGTGAAGGAGACGGGACGTTTTTTAGCTGCTGCTGTGTAGAAGATGAGAGAAATTATGTAAAGTGAGCAGGACGAGAGGAGGTGGACTTGAATCTTGGTTCTCAAACGCAGTTAAAGTTGAATCATTTTATGTGACGATGAACCCATATTGTCATCACTATGCCATCACACATTCTTTTTTTTGTAATATTCTATGAATTCAATTATCTTTTTTATGTTTGCACCACAAACTTTCCTTTGTTAAACAATGTTGTTTTATATTATGATGAATACATTTCCTCAATTCCTTGAAATGAGAAAATAAATAAATGTAGGTTATAAAGTATCTTCATTAATAATGCAAAAGTTATTTTTTAATATATGTCGAAATGTATTCTTACCTGTAAACTGAAGCATTGCCATCCGACAAAAATACATCAGAGACCATGTGGACCCAACCATTGTGATTCTGTCTCTCCTTCTATCTCTTGCTCATAAGTGTCTGAGTTTCAAAAGAAGTGCTTCAGCAGAGAGATGCTGCATCTACTTCCTGTGGTTACTATAATGTTGCTTCCTCATAGTGACTTCAGTCGGTTTTAGATTTTCTCTCTGAATTTCTTGTAGAAGTCCAAACAGCCAAAAAGTCTCTTCCAATTTCCATTTTTAAAGTTTTGTATTGTAGTTCTCTCTCATATGAATGGAATGTGCTTCTGCATTCATTCAGCCAATCTAACGCTGTAACAAACAACCTATAATAACTCACATTGAGTCTCTGGAGTGTTCGGCCCAACGGTGCATTTTTGAGTTAAGATGAGGGAAACAGTCACTAAGGGTTGCAAAAGCTTCATGGAGGGTCGCATGGCCTCCTTGATTTTAGGGTGTGCTAAAAAACTTAAAAAATATACATAGTAGGCCTATATCTCAGGATTTGGTCCACTTCTGTGAAGAAAAGTAAAAGTAAAGCAAATTGTATAATAGAACAATGATCAAGTGTCAGGGACAAGAAAACACTGAAACTGTCAAAAAAGAAGCCTATTAAGTCTGTATGATTGTTAACAATGATTTAAAAAAAAAAAAATGGCTCGGATGGAGAATTGTATAAAAAGTTCCCTAAACAGGAAATAAATTCCTCCAAATCGCTGGTTTAACACAAATTTCTTGCAGTCACTGAGTTCACTGTTTGGGTTCATTGTACAGTTTCAATCCGATTTCATTCCTATACCTCATACCAGTAAAACTTCCTTTCTCTGGTTTCCTGAAAGCTCAGCCTATGAATTTCTCTGGACACAAAGTATTTTACATTTGTCTTCTCCCCTTCAATTGTTTTATTTCAGTATTTAAGGATACATACAATAAGATTGTCTGACACCGTGACACAGGAAGTACATTAACTTCATCATTGAACTCACCAAAGTGGCTGTTAGTGATCAATAACAGAAAAGACAAAACTCTGATGTTCACACATATAAACAAATATTTATTCAACACAAACTGTAATAAACAGAAGTCACGCAAACAATTTATGTCATACAGTATGTATTTACTTGACAATGCTGACCTTTGAACTGAAAGTCCAAAATGGAGGAAGCTATCTCACCAGCTCTGTGCCACAGTTACATATCTCTACATATTAGAAATGATTTCTATTGTGTTGCTTTCTTAGGGTTCAAAACACGTAAAGGATATTTTATAGTTAACTTTATTGTTGAGCCCTTTGAATAATCTTGATGTGCACTTCAGAAAAACAAAAATGAAATAACGTAAACGTCACACCACACCTAAGTTTCTCCTCAGCACCATATCCCATGGATGTACTACAGGTTACTTGTGGCATTTTTGACTATTATTCGTGCGTTGGAGCAATTTCGGTTTTATTGTGTACATAATGAAAAACACAAACACTGATAATTTTATGTTATTTTGCACATCGACAATTGGTGGTGGTAAAGTACAAAAAAGTTTCAATGCGCCCTCAAAGCAGTGAAGAAGAAGACAGCTCGCTATTAAACACCATAGAAATATTTACATAGACGCTGCATTGGCCGCATCGACCTGTTGCTGGGATACATCAGCGTCACCACCATACTAGACAAAGGAAAGAATAGGATGTAAACAAATACAAGTAAATCAGGGAGCTGCAGTTTTTTTGGATTAAAAGCAATATAATGTTTACATTTCTCTACCGATTTTTTTGAGTCATTTATATTTTCAGATGTTTATGATGAACATGGAGTAGATTTTTTGTCTCTAGTTAGAATCTGTCACTTTAAATGGCTAAATTAATTTGTTTATCAATATTTTTCATAAAAATAAACAGCTAGTTAGGAAGGTGACATCCCCTTTCTCAATCTAACTTACAATGCTCTGTGTGGTCAACTGTTTTCCAGCATTACCAGCCATCAATGGGCACAATATCAGACCTATTTGAATCACTGACAAAATGTACATTTACAAGTTACACAGGAGTAGGAGAAGTAATGCAATGCAATAAGCTCCATGATGACCAGGTATAGGCTTGCTCTGATCATTGGTCTGATAATGCAAAATACAGCCAAGCTAACATACAAAGCACTCTGAAATGAATGTTTTGTCTGTTAATTTTGGGAACCTTGTGTTATAATTTGGAATTTTCTTGATGAGCTCAAAGACTTGCTTTTTATTGTCAGAGGTGTTGCGAAATAGATGATAACGATTGCTGCACGATTCAACAATGTTTTTAAGAGGAGCACGTGCGTCAATGAATTCCTCCAGACTTCCTTCCAGGTCCTCTCCGTGGGTCAGCAGTACGATTGTGCTTTCTCTGATCTTCCAGCCAAGCTTGTCCTCCAGCTTTTCTAATATTCCTACCTCAGCATCTGTAAACCGGCTGAGCTGTAGTACGAGTAACACCACACAGTGCCCTGGCTGACAGTACATCTTACACTCCTCCACATGTGCCTGGGAGTGTTCAAGTTGGTCGTTAAAGAAGTCTGGAGTGTCGACCAATCTCACTGGAGCCCCAAATGGCTTCATCGTTATTTTGACCTCACACTGGGTGGTGACCGGCATAGAGCTTGGCTCAGACTTAAAAAGTTGTCCTGAATGCAGATCGCAGTCTCCAGCAGTCAGGATGGTGTTTGCAGATGCACTCTTTCCAGTCCCAGTTAGTCCTAGTAGAATGATGTTAAATATGTTTGGTACTCCATTGGCAATGTTACCTTGAGGATACAATTAGAGCACATTTTTAAAAAAATTTTTGACTGAATAAATTTATCAAAATACCAAACATAAAATCTGACAGTAAAGTTTTTGAAGGGAACGCTGGCAATCTTTCATCATATATCTTGAAAGAAAGGAATACTGTGTGGCCTTGTCTATTGACCTGGCAAAGGCTTTTGACTCTGAAAGCAGTCTGTTAAGCAGAATGTGATGGTCCACAGAGACATTTGCCTCAGATAGGAAAGTCTGACATGATTCAGCAGCTACCTCTTTAGTCGTGTACAATCTGAGAGAGATGAGGGTCTCATGTCAGACCAACTATCCCTGTCCATGGATGGCCCTCAGGGGTCTATTCTAGGTCCAACCCTCTTCACAATATACATAAATAATGTTACTCATGCTACTGGCCATTCTCAAATCCACCTATATGCTGACGACACCATCTTGTATACATCTAGCCCCTCCCTGAACACCACCCTGTCTTCCCTGCAACTCCTGAACTAACCTCAAATCACTTGCTCAACAAACTGGATGTAATTTACAATACTGCCATCTGCTTTGTCACAGGTGCCCCTTTCAGTTCTCGTCACTGTAACTTGTACTCTCTAGTAAACTGGGCAACATTCCACACCAGTCTTTCAGATGCACTAGTATCAGTTCATTTATAAAACTATCATTAGCCAAACCCCTCCACATCTCCGTTCTCTACTCAGCATTCCCAACAGTAACCATACGTTCTAACAAATTCATTACTTTGGACCCCCTGAAAGTCTGTACCTCCTTTGGCTGTCTGCCGCTCCCACTGAACTTGCTTTTATATCTATTTTTGATATGTATTGTGTACATAATGTACACCAATCAGCTAAACATTATGATCCTTGACAGGTATTGTGAATAACTCTGATTATCTGATTACCATGGTACCTGTCAATGGGAGTGAAGGCTGGCCCGTGTGGTCCAATCCAACAGACGAGCTACTTTACCTGGTTAATTAAATGTAAAATAATAATAAAAAAGAAATAACACCAGGGATAAGCAAAGTGCAGCTCCGGAGCTTCAGCTCCCTGTGGCTTTGACTTTTTTTTTTATTTATTATTGTTGTAGGCCTAAATTGATTCTTTCTTTTTCCGGTTATAAAAACATGTAGCCAATATTTTAACATTTGGTAAAAACACCATATTATACACCGTCCAACCCCTGGCTATGCCTGTAAATTTTGTCCATGAACAGAAGCAGTGACAAGGCAAAACCAACCCAATGCCCACTGAGAACAGCTGGACCAGATTTAGCCAGTTTAAGACACTTGGTATTTTTTTTCCTGCGGATGTCTTCGCAAGATAAAAAATAATGAAATGCAAAAATAAAATAAAACCAGACTTACCTGCTCTCCCATGGTGGCACAGAGGATCACCACCACACCTGAAATAGTTGTCATAATTAGTGTATCACACGATGACAGCTATAGGGAAGTCCCATCCTGCTTTGGGGCTGGTCAAAATAAAAACCATTAAAAGTGATTGTTTTTGCTACTGACAACTCATACTGTCATTATAATTGTCTGACAATACGCCCCTATAGAAAAATGAAACGTTTTCTGTTCTTTCCAGTTGATCAACTGTGTGATATATGAGGCCTGTTACAATACTAATTATAAACTACAGGGACATTTCAGCTCTTCAGAAAGTCTGGTGAAAAAAGCCCTGAAAAACACAAGCTAGCCATAAATAGGGTGGGACTTGCTGTCTATATGTTATGTTAATGGTCAGAAATGTTACATAGTAAAGAAGTTTCTACCTTTGCTTCTCTAGGATCTTCTCTAAGGCTGTCTTCCTTTTAGTCACAACATCTTGACTGTAGTTTTTGTAGTCATACAGGAAAGGGTCACGGTCAGAACACCACTTCCTACATTCACTGGCCATACTTTCATCGGGTGCCAACCAGATGTTGAAGATTTCCTTCAGATGGCCGAGTGAGTGGAAGCTTTCCATGTCTGGTAACGTAACAACCAAGTGTTCTGTGATTTTTTCTCCAAACGTATGCTCAAGTTTGCTGATCTGAGCCACAACATCTACCTCTTGGGTGTTTTCTGGATCTATTGTCAGTATGAACAGATCGGGGCCAGGATGAGACAGTGCCATTAAGTCAATAATGTGCTGGTCCGGGAGGAGACTTTCTTCATCAAAGAAATCAGGAGTGTTTATGATTTTGAATGAGCTGGTCTCTCCCACGACGAGGATGTTTGACTCTGTGTTGAAAGCATTACTACCAAGGATCATGTTTCCAATGATGTTCCTTAACTCAGCTCTCTTTCCAAGCAGAGCGACTGTTAACTGCTCAGGTGCTATATGAATCAGAATCAGAATCAGGTTTCTTGTTAAGTAGGTTTTTACATAGAAGGAATTTATCTTGTTGTTTTGATGCATAATAATAAAAATAGTGAAATATAGCTAAAAATATACAATAAAATATGAATAATATGACTGTTATTTAAATAAAAATTATGTATAATTTTTTTAAGGCAAGTTTTAACCAGGACAAAGTTGACAGTACAAGGCAGAAAAAATATCTGTAGGAAGAATAAAATGCAGTAGTATCCTACGAAAATAACAGGTTCCTCTGGCTCGTCCTCGTGCTCCTAATGACATTTGCAAAAATCCACACCAGGGCCTGAATGAAAATAACCAATCAGAGCCAAGAAAGATAAAAACAATGGGTTTGAGATTTGAAGATAGTGGATTGCTGAGTTTCATTCCCATGTGGTATTTGACAACCTGGGAATTCAGGCCCACTAGATTCCTTCAAATGTCATTAAGAGCAGTAGGAGGAGCCAGAAGAACCTGAACCTTTCACAAATTATCGGCCTCATGTTCTACTGTCAGGATAAAATGAAAGTTCCAGCAAATCTTTATGTATTAGTGTTGGCAAGTTTGGGCATAGTTTTTTTAATAAGTTGTTATTAGTGTAAAATCTAGTTATTTTTATTTATATAGCCCAAGCTCATAAATCACAATTTGCCCAAAATGGGCTTCAAAATATACCACACAGTATACCCAGTATACACTCTCAATGCTTTGACCCTCGATTTGAGTAAAGAAAAACTTTGTTGAAAAAAAGAAGGAAAAAAGGAAAAAATGAGCACTTACGAGGTTTATCAGACATTCTAGCTGCTTAGTAGAGAACAGACAGCAGGTAGGTTTCACTGGAGTCTCCGGATCAGCTTTGAAGTCTGTCTGACTGACTCACACTGATATACACACACTGTTGCATGTGATCCACCCTGTGGGCGGAGTGCTGAGAACTGCCTCACACAAAAACGATAGTGTTCAGTTTGTACTACACTAAGTCAAAGACACAGAGAGATGGGGAACCGCTGCTCAATTCCTGAAGGTGAAGTTGGAACCTTTTCAGCATATTGCAGTCAACACTTGTACTAATTATGTCAATGTTTTGTTTTAACATTTTTTCACAGGTCCTTCATTGAGAATTGTGATGATTGGGAAGACTGGAGTTGGGAAGAGTGCGGCCGGTAACACCATCGTCGGTAAAAAGGTATTTACGTCTTTAGCGAGTGCGCACTCTGTGACAGTGACCTGCGAGAAAGAACAAGTCAACTGTCGCAGAATGATCGACGTGGTTGATACGCCCGGGATTTTGGATACGACTAGAAGTGCAGAGAGCATAAGGACAGAGATAGCAAAATGCATCCAGGTGTCCTCTCCCGGCCCTCACGCCTTCCTGCTGGTAATCCAGATCGGCAGGTTCACCAAAGAAGAAGAAAACTGCGTCGAAGCCCTGGAGAAAATCTTTGGACCCGAGGCTTCTAAGTACATGATCGTACTGTTCACACGTGGAGATGAGCTGAAGGGCAGAAGCATTCGGGAGTATGTGCAAACAGGCCATCCAAAACTTCGAGAGGTGATCAACAGGTGCGGTAACCGGTACCACGTCTTTAACAACAAGATTAGGTGTGACAGAACTCAAGTGGCTGAGCTGATCAATAAGATTGATGACATGGTGGCAGCAAATGGAGGGCAGCACTTCAGTGAAGCAATGTATAAAGAGGCAGAGCAGACTCTGCAGCAGATGAAGGACAGGGTAACAGCAGAGCAGCAGGTTTACAACTTCTCCTTCATGTCTGACCTGCTGCAGAGGGTCATTCTGTTTCAGGCCATACTGGCTGCTGCCGGACTAAACTACGCCAACAACCCAGACTACTCCACTGCCTCCGACTCCAACCTGAGGCCTGATGTCTGATGGAAACTGCCTTCAGATCCTCTGAAGCAGAACAGTTATGTAGAAAATGAACTGTTTGTACAAGCAGCCATGTTTAATGCAAAAACTGTTTTTCCAGTAAAAGCACCAAACAGTTTGAGGTTTGTGTCCAGATTTGCTGCTTTTTCTGTGTTTCATACATTTGTAACTGAATATCTTCTGTCTTTATAATATTTAGGTCAAATCACAAGATGGTCCTTGCCCTGACACTTGATAAACGAAACAACAGTTTCAGAAACAACAAAGACTATGAGTAAATCAGTAGTAAGGTGAAGAACAAAACTTTTGATGTCTGTACTCCAGTTTCGATTTTAAACAGTGTAGCACATCCAACAAGATTTTTTTTATGTAAATCTTTTTTAATGTAAATTCACAAAAGGGAGATATACTGTATATGAATGAGATGTGACTATTTGACCACATTTGCACTTGTACACATTAATATAATCTCTATTCATTGTATTTTGAAATAGGGAGCATCCACACTTTTTTCATTCTGCATTGTCCAACAGCTATTTTATGTCCATGACACTAATTATTAAACTGTATGAAGGTGTCCAAAAGTGCAGAACTGGAATTGTTATCAAAACAATATCTGTAAATAGAAATACAGTTAAAGAAAATGTAAACAAAAATCACTAAATAAAAATCAACTACAGTAAAAATCATGCAGTAAGTTCTAGCTCTTTTTAATGAACCTGATTGCAGTCAGTCTTGAGCATACATGTGCACTTGGCACAGTTAGTGTGACGGTGGAGCATTACAATGGAAATGGTATGAGAAAATTGCTCAACCTCTGCCACTTCCTCTTTGGTACGGGAATAGTACACGTTACATGTCAACTCATCACCTTCAAAACACCAACTCTTTTTCAAGTTTTGTCGATGCATCTCCGTCACGGTCCTCGTCAAGCAGAAGTAAGGATTTGTCGTTAATTAAATTCTACACATTCTATAACAAAACCAACTGTTTCACATGATTATGCTGTGAAGATCATCATCACATGCTATGCTATAAGTTCTAGCTTTTTATTTTCATGACCCTGGCAACACAGCACAGATCGCAGTCAGTCTCTGTGGTTGTGCCTACCTGTGCACTTTGCACAGGGTACATGTGACAGTGGAGGATAATAAGGTAACTTTCTCATTGGTTTGAGAATAGTACAGGCTACATTCCAGGGATAAACTTAGTCCATCACCTTAACCCTACCCCTTACATCAAACAAACAAACCTGACTCATAACCTCAAACACCTGACATTTCTTCATATTTTCCTACGAGCACTTGAAGAACCTGTCAGACAGCAACCTTACTGTAACAGAGACAGATGTTCAAGCCAAGAGGAAGAACTTTCTAGAAGAAGTTGCCACTGGAAGGCTTAATCAAAGCCACAGAATAAACCATCAGAAACAAACACTTGGTGGAAACATAGGCAGAAGGGTCTCTTTTACAGCTCCTTCTTCTAACCTTAACATCCATGAAGTGGAACTCTGAGGGCAGAGGGAGAGCTGTCCAAGGCCTTAGACCAGTTCTTTGGGAGTGTCATAAATTCTACAACATACACCTAACAATACACTATAACACTGATCCTTTAAATATGCTGGAAGAGAAGGTTCTAGAACAAAGTGGAAATCCCAACCTACTCTCATGGACCAGAGACAAAATGAGAACAGGGGAACTACCCTGGAGGAAAGGAACATAATAGCTTGACATGACAGGATATTTAAGTGGTTGAAAACCACTGAACCACTCAGGGTTACTTCTACCCTGTGAAGCCTTGTCATTGCTTATATTCCACATTTTAAAAAACAACTGTATTAAGACAATTTCACAGCATCATCCTTGAACTTTAAGCATATGATTATGATGTGAAGATTGTATAATCATCACATGCAATCAGTTAGAGAAGAAATCTAAGAAATCTAAAGGAATAGGCAGGCCACAATCCTTCACTGTTCTTTCTTCGGTGTGTCTGTGTTAGGCACCAAGGTTCAGGGAGCCACAAGCTTCAGTTCTACAACAGTAGATCACTTAACAGGGTACATTGCCATGGTAACTAAGGCTGAACAGGTATGTTTGAGATAAGAGATCAACTCTATAAAAGCCACAAGAATACATGTACGCAACACATTCTGCTGAAAGAATTCACAAATGCAATTCTAGTTAAATCTACTGTAATGATTGGGCAGTGATATTGTAAGCCTAATAATTTACACCTACATTAATATCCTGTGTTTTGCACCTGCAATTTTGTTGTGATTTGTTTTCTGTTTGTGATTGGTCATATGCAAATGCTGCACTATTTATGTGAATGCGCTCAAGCAGGGTCGACCCATACTGAGTTGATAACCACCTTTGTGTGACCACATAGCAAGACAGCAGAATTTAGGGTTAGTGAAGCCTAAAGATGATAACTAAAGATCCTGGGAATGCTGAACTTGCTTTGTATTACAGGCCTCTGAAGGTTTGTTGTAACTGGTCATGGGGGCATCAGGGGCTATCAGGTAACATTAGCATGAAGTGACTGACATGTTCAGGTAAAATCATACAAAATAAATAAATTCATGTTTAAAGTCCCAGTGGTCCCTACCAGTGGTTTGTTCAAGCAGATGTACACAAACTTTGACTGGTATTGTATATTTGTTTATGTTCAGGTCAACTGATATTTACAAGATTAGAAGTTTATTAATTTGGGTATTTCTCAACTGTTAACTGTTTATATTGGTTATCAAGGACCCCATAATTTATTTTTGAGTATAATTCAATTTAATTCCCTCAACAGGTTAATTTAAATTTGTGCAAAAATATTTTATATTCCAAAACAGTTCAAGTGTCAAACAGGATTTTAGTTTATAACTAAAATGTATACTTGTTATGCCATTGATAATTATAGGAATAAAACAATTGTTGAATATTTATCTGCAATAATGTATTTTTTATACCTTCATTATATGCATTTTTTTTTATTTTACATGAAAACTCCTTGCTCATCCCCTTGGCCCATTCGTTGGTGTCACTGAAGTTTGAAAACTGTGTCTAAGCTACCACTCTGGAAGGGTGATCATGTTGAAATATCAGCTAGAGATATAGACTTTATCAAAATGCCAAACTAAAATTTGCCACATTGGTTGTACCAGTTACTGAAAATTCTGACCATTGAATCATGGACTAAAGGTGTTTGTTGGGTATGGGAACTATACATATTATAGTTATTATTATCATCAGCATTATTTATCATCATTCCCCATCGTTGTGGCTGTTGTCATCATCATCATCATCATCATTAGTCATTTATACTAATGGAGTGAAGCCTGCGAGCTAGTTCAGGCAGTCAACTCGAGCTGCGCTGATATACACACATGACATGCCCCACTCCATAATCACTAACCAAGCGCACCCTTTCAAACTGGCAGTCTATTTAAACTGCACAGTTTCCCAGCTCTCCCTCTGCTCCGTCAATGCCGCTGTTGCCCTGCATCTGTATTGCTGCCTGCTGCTCTGTAAGCCCCACCACCACCCCATCAGGCACCTGTAGGCTCTGGCTGGGGGTTTAAGGTATTTGCTCATCACTCCCCAATATCTCTATGTAAACATATCAGTGAGGAATGATGAGGTCGGAGCCTATTGCCAAAATCTAAATATGCTATACTGCTGTAATAAACATTTCAAACGTGAGTTGGCTGACTGAAGTATAGTTGTTTCCATTGTTGTTGCGGCCCATCTTTGTCTCTGTCTCTGTCCTTCTCTCTTTATAGAATTGCAGTTCCCACCAAGGAAAAAAGTTATTTTAAGAGACAGAAACCTGGGACAGACCCTGGCTCTAGGTGGGTGGCCAAAGAGAGGAGCTCAGTGTATCATGGGAAGTCCCCCAGCAGTCTAGGCCCATAGCAGCATAACTAAGGGATGTTCAGGACTCACCTGATCCAGCCCTAACTATAAGCTTTATCAAAGAGGAATGTCTTAAGCCTACTCTTGAATGTGGAGAGGGTGTCTGCCTCCTGAACCACAACTGGAAGCTGGTTCCACAGGTGTAGGTGCTATGATAAATCACAGCGGTACACTCAACATGCATAACAATAACCACAGTGAGTAGCAAATAGAGATAAAAAGCAAGTACTGCAATAGAAAAAAATACTAATAATTATGTTATTGAAAACTGGGTCTTTTTGAAAAGGTCAGGGAGACAATCAAGTTAAGAAAGGTATCCAAACAAAGTGAAGAGCTTTGAAAGCAGATTCCAGAAGAAGGCAAACTACATGGACTACTAAGATCGGTTGGAGACAGCAGAAGAACAGGAAACTGGTTAGAGCAAAACAATGAGGGGGCACTAGAAAGGTTGTCATGGACATCATTGCTGGATTTAATGGTATCCTGAAAGGCCATGAATCAGACTTCAAATTTATTATATGAGAACAACATTCTTTCCTGATGATATCTCTATTGACACAATATGACACTGTCAAACTACCCTAGCTGCTTTTCTATTTTGCCTCCAAAGCAGAATCAGGTGAAGATGCATCTGCCACTGAGTCTGAACACAAAGATGGTGATTCTAGCTTTGAGGACCAGGATAAAGTTATTGAGGTTTTTGACAGCCAGTCACTGCCTCAGGTGTCCTATTACTCAGATGAAGACCAGGACCAGATCAGTCTGTGTCACCCAGTTGCCACAGATCACAACAAATCACTACAAATCAGTCATCCCAGATTCCCCAGTGGTCTCTCTCTATCCATTTTCTTTTACCAGGGATAGGAGGAGGCAGTTGTTCTTGAAGACTATGTAGAGGAAATAACCAATATGATATCTCAGACCCTGACAAATTGATTTATCAACCTGAAACACCTGGCCATGCACCTCAAACAAAATAATATCTATAAACCATGGATATTGGTTCAATGCCATGACTGAAGCATTTTCTGTCCCAAAAACTCTAGGTCAGAGACTGGGTTGTATGGCTGATATTTGTGTCAGTAGAAACTGAATCTGAATTGCCCAACTTGAATAACTGCATTAAAAACCTGAATTTGAATTGCATAATTTGAATTTGTATTGTTAAACTTGAATAACTGTATTGCAAAGCTGAATCTGAATAGCATAATTTGAATTTGAATTTATTAGTTTGAAACTGAATTTGAGCCTCACTAAAAATTCAACTTTTTATGTTCTTTCAAATTCAGATCTCGAAATTCAAATTCAGCTCTCTAAATTCAAATGTTATAATCTCAACTCAATTTCAAACCACTAGATTACACTTTTAAGGTCACAGACGGGTCAAGGTGTTCAGTAAGAGCAATCGAGTGCAGATGCACAGAGCTCCTTTTTGGCTAAGCGGCGCGTTTGTTTTGACCATTTCCTGGACCTGTAGACATTGGCTAGAGAAAAACATGCTTAAAGGAGACATATTATTCCCCTTTTCAGGTTCATAATTGTATTTTTTAATTTTTTAATTTTTGGTTTCGTGTGTGAACCACTTTGTGTCGGACTGTTTTCACAACCTCGGTCAGTACAATACTGGACTGGCTGAAAGACTGTTCCTGAAAGAGGGATTGTACCAACTGTCTGTGGAGAGACGGCAGAGGAAGTAACTGGAAGTATTTTTAAGAGTTTATGCTGTTTTTATTGTTCGTGTAATGCTAGCACATGCTAACCGTTGTTAGCTACAGGAGCCTCAGTGATGCTAACGTAGTTATTGTTTGTTAAATGTTTGTTAAATGTTTGTTAAATGTTTGCAAGATGAACATGAAACTTATAAGGTGAGGTTCATTTATTAAGCCAGCTGGTGCAGATGTCTCCATATTCTCCCCTGCTGCTATTTTTATAGAGATTCACACAAAGTTTATACCGAGAATCACCAAGTGTGTGTGTGTGTGTGTGTGTGTGTGTGTGTGCTGCTGTATGTAAATGTACTGGAGGTAAAGATAGAGCTACCGTGAGAGAGAAATAGTCAAACTGTGATCAAGCCTCCTTAGAAGCTAATGTTAACAAAATACAGGGAGTGAGTTATGGTGATTATTGTTCATGATGCTTCTTATGTAACTTTATACTGACGTGCTGACGTTATCTCAGCTAGCGTTGGCTTTGTTATTCTTCTGCTTCGTTCAGGTGTAATGACCTGAGGACAACCAGTGGAACCTGAGAAACACAACTCTCTATTGATTTCTTTTTAATTGTTACATTTAAATTCAAATCAATATTATAATATTGATATATTCAGTTGCAATTTTGATAGTTATTATATTTTTTGTTTATATAGTTTGTAAATCTATAAATAATTTAGTGATTATATTTTGCTTTATAATAGGATTATAGACCATGATCATCTTCCTGTTGGAAACCACTGGGTAGTGCCACAGAATGGGTAGTAAGAGATTCCACAGGGGTGACTGATGGAGCCTATGGTATTTTGATGAGACCAATGGATGGTTTGCTTTTCACAGATGGCTTTTTTACTAGGCCCACGTTTATGGCCCTTTGAGAGAGTTACTGTATGGGTGTCAGTGTTGTAGCTGAGCAAGCAGCTCTACTACAAGAAGCTCTCTGGTTTGGGATTAGGGTTAGGGTGACTTTATCACTATCCTTTATGTACTATTCCAATACCAAAGAGGAAGCCGCAAGGCAAGAAATGTTCTCTTTCCGGAGAATCTTGAAAGTTTTTCCTCTTGGCTTAAACATATGTCTCTGTTACAGTAAGGTCTCTGTTTGACAGGTTCTTCAACTGCTTGTCAGAAAAAAAAGAAGGGATATCAGGTGTTTGTCCTAAGGGGTAGGGTTACGATGACGACAGATTTTATCACTGACATATAGCGTGTACTATTCCTGCAACAATGAGGAAGTGGCACAAGTCCAGCAATTTCCTCATAAATTTTCCATTGTTATCCTTCACCGTCACATGTGCTCTAACAAGTATGCACTTGTGCACTTGGGTTATGAAAATAAAGAGCTAGAATGTATCATGCATGTGATGATGATCTTCACAGCATAATCATGTGAAACAGTTGGTTTTATTTAAAACATTTTAGAACATAAACAATGGCTTGTATTTCCCATCGTCCAAAATCAATACTTTTTCCTAACAAGGACAGTGACGAAGATGCATTGACACAGCTCACAAAATAGTAAGAGTTGTCAGGTGATTGTTTATTTAGTAAGTTTGTACTTCAAACAGTCAATTGTCACTGTGTGGGTACCTGTGTTGTAGCTGAGCTAACAGCTCTACTACGAGAGCCTCTCTGGTTTCACAAAGAAATGGAAATCTGCATTTTTTTGCGCAGTTTATACCCTAGAAATAAAAAAAGGATTATATTACTTGATAAAGAAAATATAAATAAAAAAATTAAAAGATAAATATATTTTTGTTTTTCACTTCAGTTTTACATTTAATTGAAATGTTGTCTTTAACTACTGTAAATAAATTTAAATGTCATGATATTTATCCTCAAGAGGTATGTTTTGCTTGTACTACTTTGACATATTTAAAACTTGAGTGAAATGTTTCTTGTGTCTGTATGTCGATCAGCCATAACATTCTGAACACTGAGGTCAAGTGAACAACACTGATTATTTGTTTATCATGGCACCTGTCAGTGGGTGGGATATATTAGACAGCAAGTGAACATTTTGTCCTCAAAGTTGATGTGTTAATTTGAGGCGACTTTGACAAGGGCCACATTGTGATGGTTAGATGACTGGGTCAGAGCACCTCCAAAACTGCAGCTCTTGTGGGGTGTTCCCAGTCTGCAGTGGTCAGTACCTATCAAAGTGGTCCAAGGAAGGAAAAGCGGTGAACCGAAGACAGGGTCATGGATTGGACCAGGGTTCCCAGGTGGTCATAATGCTATGGCTGATCAGTGTATATTACACAATGTTTCTCTGATGTCTTTTCATCTGATGATGAATGTTAACCCCTAAGTAAAGCTGCTTTGTCTTTACAGAATTGAATTCATAAAAGCCCTTTTCAAATTAAGCAAATCGCATGGTTTTTAATGTGGCTCTTTTTTTTGTTAATGTTTTACACCATCTACAACCATATTTCTATATACAGAAATATTTTTGATAATGATTCCAGTTCTGCACTCTTGAACATCTTTATAGGTTTTAATAATAAGTCCCATGGACACATAATAGCTGTTGGACAGTTTAGAATAAAAAACAATGTGAATGTGTGAATACTCTCTTTTAAAACCTACAAACAATGAATAGAGATTTTATGAATATATACAAGTGCAAAATATTGTATGTGGTCAAATATTCACAATCATCCACATACAGTATATCTCCCTTTTGGGAAATTAAATTAAGAAAAAATGTTATGTGTGTAATGGATGTGAAAGGACTGTCTTGTGGTTTTACCTAAAGTTAAAAAACCAGAAGACATTCAGTTACAAATTTATGAAACACAGAAAACTTCCTGACTAATCAATGACTACCATGGCCAATTAACAGATTTTTTTTTTTTTTTTTTACCACAAATACAGTTTCTACAATGTATTGCATTAAACATGGCTGCTTGTACAAATAGTTAATTTTCTACATTTTAAACGACCTGAGCTGTTATAAATCTAGAACAGATCTGAAGGAAGTTTCCATCTGACATCAGGCTTCATGTTGGAGTCGGAGGTAGTAATTGAGTGGTCCGGGTTGTTGGCATCTTCCTGTGCAGCAGCAGCCAGTATGGCCTGAAACAGAATGATCCTCTGCAGCAGTTCAGGCATGAAGGAGAAGTTGTAAACCTGCTGCTCTGCTGTGTCTCTGTTCATCTGCTGCAGAGTCTGCTCTGCCTCTTTATACATTTCTTCACTGAAGTACTTTCTTCCATTCGCAGCCACCATGTCATCGATCTTCTCAATCAGCTCAACCACTTGAGTTCTGTTCCTTCTTTTCTTGTTGTTGAAGACGTGGTACCGGTTACCGCACCTGTTGATCACCTCTTGAAGTTTTGGGTGGCCTGTTTGCACATACTCCCGAATGCTTCTTCCCTTCAGCTCATCTCCACGCGTGAACAGAACGATCACATATTTAAACACCTCGGGTCCAAAGATTTTCTCCAGGGCTTGGACGCAGTTTTCTTCTTCTTTGGTGAACCTGCCGATCTGGATGACCAGCAGGAAGGCGTGAGGGCCAGGAGAGGACAACTGGATGCATTTTGCAGTTTCTTTCTTTATGCTCTCTGCACTTCTAGTCGTATCTAAAATCCCAGGTGTATCAACCACGTTGATCTTTCTGCGACACTTGACCCGTTCTGTCTCACAGGTCTCTGTCACAGAGTGCTCTCTCGCTGCAGAATAGAAAACCTTTCTACCCACGATGGTGTTACCGGTGGCACTTTTCCCAACTCCAGTTTTCCCAATCATCACAATCCTCAGTGGAGGACCTGCAAACATAAATATATTCTGTAATATTAAAGTATCTCAAAACATTGACATAATTAGTACAAGTGTTGACTGCAATATGCTGAAAAGGTTCCAACTTCACCTTCAGGAATGGAGGAGCGGTTCCCCATCTCTCTGTCTCTTTGACTTAGTGTAGTACAAACTGAACACTATTGTTTTTGTGTGAGGCAGTTCTCAGCACTCCGCCCACAGGGTGGATCACATGCAACAGTGTGTGTATATCAGTGTGAGTCAGTCAGACAGACTTCAAAGCTGATCCAGAGACTCCAGTGAAACCTACCTGCTGTCTGTTCTCTACTAAGCAGTTAAAATGCAATCTAAAAGGCTGCCATCGAACGGACATCTAGAGTGTAAGTGATGCATCTTTCCTCTGTTTTATAAAACACTTTCAGCCATTTTTTGGAGGGTTACATGTAACAAAAGTCCCCAACAAGACTCAAATCTGGGATACTGCAATTACATGGTCAGTAATCATGATGGAGTATTACAGCCAGGTATTAGAAAAACAAAATAAGAAAATGAAGATTTTTTTAAATTTGCATTTCGAGACAGACAGACAGACAGACAGACAGACAGACAGACAGACAACATTTGTAAGAAAATGCTTACAGTAATTGAGAAAATGTATTCTGTAATCTATAATGTTGTCTTCCTTCATGAAACAAACTCATATTAACAACCATGTACTCCACACTAAATTGTTAGTATATAAATTTAGAGCCAAGCTCAAGCATAATTACATTAGATGGATCACATTTAGACTTTTTTCTGGAACTGAAAAGAAAATAATCTTCTTTCTCTTATTTTTTTGTTATGCCTGGCCCTAATACTCTCTCTACTCATTTGTTGTAAGAATGTAACAAATCTTTCATTTTAAAAAGTGGTTCTGACTAACTGACAAATGCAACACAAACCTACTTAAAACCTTTTTTTGTGTAATCATAGAGAACAATCTGTTTTGACCTGGCACATTGACAGTATATATAATGGACAGAGCTTCTGGGTGTAAAATGAAGCCAAATTAGAAGTGTCTAAAACCTGCATTCTGTGTAAAGGCGAGGGGGAGCACCTTAGGCTACAAAAAAACCCAACAAAATTTTGTAACAATTTAGAGTAAAATAGATGATATTGATGACGCAGTGTATGCTTTTGACCTCTCAGTGAGTCCATCCAGCTCAACGCATCAAACTCAGATCAAACGGTCAAACTAGGCAGTGCTGTTTAAATATGAATCAAGATGCTGTTACTGCGATTCATTTCAAAAACATATTTTAGTGTACTGTGTAGCTGTAATACGAGATCGTATGTAGCCAAGCGAGCTGCCATTGTTTCCTGCTACAGACGAGTTAAAACTGTACAATCAATGAACTTGCAGAACTTTAACTCCGCTGGCTCTAAAACGGTACTCCACAAACCAATGTGTGACGTCACACTATGTTAATTCTTGACCTGGATTTTTTGGGGTGTTTGGGTTACTTTACCCAAATCGAGGGTCAAAGCAATGGGTGTTGTATACTGATTGTAAAGCCCATAGAGCCTCTCTGACTTTATATTTGTTCCTCCACACTGACTGGAAGCAGTTCTGTGGCGGGTAGAATTTCTACTTAAACCATGCCCATACTATTTAAAGTAATCCAAATTGTGCATCAAAAGGAACTTTTTGTTTATACAGATATTCTTTTTACTTGTACTGTAAACTTTACCCTAAAAACCCTGGTTAATACTTGCCTGCATAAATCAGTACAGATTTTTTTATCTAAATAACATACAACATTTAAATGTCATATTGTACATACATTTTAATATATTATTTAAGATTTTCTATGCACTATGGTTATTGTTATGCATCAAAACAACAAGATAAATTCCTTGTATGTGAAAACCTACTTAACAATAAACCTGATTCTGATTCATACAGCACATCCTGAACAGTTAACAGTCGCTCTGCTTGGAAAGAGAGCTGAGTTAAGGAACATCATTGGAAACATGATCCTTGGTAGTAATGCTTTCGACACAGAGTCACACATCCTTGTCGTGGGAGAGACCAGCTCATTCAAAATAATCAACACTCCTGATTTCTTTGATGAAGAAAGTCTGCACACGGACCAGCACATTATTGACTTAATGGCACTGTCTCATCCCGGCCCCGATCTGTTCATACTGACAATAGATCCAGAAAACACCCAAGAGGTAGATGTTGTGGCTCAGATCAGCAAACTCCAGCATACGTTTGGAGAAAGAATCACAGAACACTTGGTTGTCACATTACCAGACATGGAAAGCTTCCATTCACTCGGTCATCTGAAGGAAATCTTCGACATCTGGTTGGCACCTGATGAAAATCTGGCCAGTGAATGTAGGAACTTATGTTCTGACTGTGATCCATTCCTATATGACTACAGACACTACAGTCAAGATGTTGTGACAAGAAGAAAGACAGCCTTAGAGACGATCCAGAAGCAAAGGTAGAAACTTCTTTACTGTGTAACATTTCTGACCATTAACATAACATATAGACAACAAGTCCCACCCCATTTATGGCTAACTTGTGTTTCTCAGTGCTTTTTTCTCATAGAGGGTTTCTTTCATCAGACTTTCTGAAGAGCTAAAATGTCCCTGTGGTTAATATTGTAACTCATATTTCACACAGTGTATTCATTTCTCTATAGGGTCATATTATCAGACTGTTGTCAGTAGCAAAAACAATCACTTTTAACGGATGTATTTCGATGGTTCACAACTGCACATAAGGATTGAGTATCAGCTGTCTTGCGATTGCAGGCTGCAGCGCTCTCATTCAAAACTGGACCAGTTTCAAAACTTGTTGTCCCCATTAGTCACGTTAACACAAAAACATGAGAAAATAAGGTTCAGGTTTAGATTGCTCTCCATATTACACTGAGTGGTGGTCAATCTACTCCTGCGTTACACACTACCTAGCTATATATATATATATATATATATATTCTACAGTCCTTTCTCCCTTCACATTTTTAAATATGCTAGGAGTGGGGTTTTAAGACGAATTGGAAGGTTGACATACAGCAGATGCTTGCACCTAATGCACATGCTCATCAGATTTCCAGAAAGCCTGATTTCAGAAAGCCACAGAAACATGGATGAACACAAACCAGCCCCAAAGCAGGATGGGACTTCTCCATAGCTATCATCTTGTGATACACTAATTATGACAACTATTTCAGATGTGGTGGCGATCCCCCGTGTGACGTTGGCAGCGCAGGTTGGTTTTCATTTTCAAATATATTTGGTTATATGTTATGTTATCATGCTGAAGCAGCAAACCATTTGCAAGAATAGAAAGGAAAGAAATACCAAGTGTGTTAAACTGGCTAAATATGGTCCAGCTGTTCTCAGTGGGCATTGGGTTGGTTGTGCCTTGTCACTGATTTTGTTCATGGACAAAATCTTCTGGCACAGCCAGGGCTTGGAGGGCGTACAATATGGTATGTATGCTGGAGCAGCCCTTGAACATCACATTGGTATGCTTCAAGAGAAGCAACAAAACATATATAATTTATTAGAGTATATAAAGATAGCAACTGTGATGGATCAAATGCTCATGTCTTTGTTTTGTAGTGTCGCTTTGCCAATAAAACATAATTGAGATCTCCAATCATCCGATATCAGTTCAGCCTCTGATTATAGGATCCCTCCTGGACGCCTCCCTGTGGAGACATTCAGAGACACAACCAAATGTATGGACAGCCTTGGGGCAAACCCAGAACACCCTGGAGGAATTACATATCTTATCTGGCTATCTGCATTGTAGTTGGCTAGTGATGTAGTGACTCTTTTTTTGTCAATTGTACCATTTGGGATCACAGTTTTAAATCTGGTACCGTCCATTTAGCTCATTAATTCCTATTGAATATGTATGGGGAAACAGGATGAACCAGTATGAACTATCCTTGACCTGGTTATATTTAACAGGATTTATTAATATTATTAGTATTATTATTTTAAAGTTTTTTATTTTTTACTTTTAAGTGAAACGTTTTGAAAGCTACTCCTTGTGCAAAGATTGAAATAATTCCCAATAAAATTAATCTTAAGCTTGAACCTTGAGTGTTAAACATTACATTAAATATACACTCTGAAAGGAATCAGGATGTGTATCTTAATAAATGACCGAATGCATGTATGCTGGAGGAGCCCTTTAAGAGAAGCAATCCAAACATATATTAGACAGTCCCTCCAGAAAAACGCGATTATGCGATCGCATAATTCAATGCATAATCAGCCAAAGTCTGCATATTCATGCGGGGCCGAATTTTTTCAAATACGCCTCACTTTCACCGCATAAATTGCTGATTTCTGTGCAATATACGCGGGGCTTGCATGATTTCATAATCCCCGCATTTTCGTTGCAAAAAAAGTCACATATATCAAATGTTGCGTTTACTTCACACAAGAGCAGCCATTTTCCCCTGTTGCCATGGGAACGTTATGAAGTGACGTAATTACGCGACGTGAGCGTCATCGAAAAGCTGCAAACCCCGCGAAGAAGCCATGATGAAGCCCGCAAATCAGTCTTTTGCCAACAAAAATAATTATTAATTCTTTTAACAGAAGATGTCTGTTTTGTACAGCTACCTCTGTAAAACAGGAAGCACACATTTAATTTTTTTATATTTTATTTATTCATTTTTACAGAAGTGGTAGCATATTCCTTTTGTAAAGCTACAGAACTTGTTTGACTCATCAGTGTTTTGTAAGTTTGAGCCATGTGTTTATTAAGGTCTGAAATAAAACAAGATGAGAACTTAAATATTCCCAGCACTTTCTGTGATGTAGTATGTTTGCTTATCATAGGAAGTAATAGGAAATGACTCTTTACATTAAGGTAGTAGCCTTGTGAGAACAGGGTGTTGGGGGAATCACTTTTTTCCCCTGTTTTTCATCAAACCGCAGTTTTTGCAAGTTCCCGAAATTTTGGCAAGTTCCCGAAATTTCATTGCATAAATATGCCGCATATTTCATCGCATTGTTTAAGAAAAAGTGCCGCATAATCAAGGATTTTTGCCCGCAACAATCACAAAAAAATGCTGCATTTTTCTGGAGGGACTGATTAGAGTATAATAACTACAGCAACAAATTAAATGCTCATGTCTGTTTTGTAGTGTAATTTTGCTCATAAAACATAATTCAGAGGCAAAACAACGCTGAGATATTCAAGATTATGATAGACATTTTGAAGGGAAAACTGGCCCTTCAGAAAGTTTATATATTTGGGATCTTTTGATTAATTCATTTTGTCTGTAACTGTATCTTCAAGGTACCAGCGCTCATGGAGTGCCAGACAACATATTTAACATCGTTCTGCTAGGACTAACTGGGACTGGAAAGAGTGCATCTGCCAACACCATCCTGGCTGTTGGAAACACCCGGCGGGGTTCAAGACAACTTTTTAGGTCTGAGCCAAGCTCTATGCCGGTCACCACCCAGTGTGAGTTCAGAATAATGGAGAAGCCGTTCGGGGTGCTGGTGAGATTGGTCGACACTCCAGACTTCTTTCACGACCAACTTGAAAACTCCAAAGCACAGGTAGAGGAGTGTAAGAAGTACTGTCAGCCAGGACACTGTGTGGTGTTACTTGTGATACAGCTGGGCCGGTTCACAGATGCTGAGGAAGGAATATTAGAAAAGCTGGAGGACAAGCTTGGCTGGAAGATCAGAGAGAGCACAATCGTTCTACTGACCCATGGAGAGGGCCTGAAAAAAAGAAGTCTTCTACGATTTATTCATGAGAGTGCTCCCCTCAAGAACATTGTTGAATTGTGTGGCTTCCGTTATCATCTATTTAACAACTCTTTGAAGGACACAAAGCAAGTCATTAATCTCATCAAGAAAATTCCAAATTACAACAAAATGTTCCCAAAGTTAACAAAAAACTATTAATTCCAGAGTGCTTTCTTAGCCTGGCTATATGTACTGATTAGAATTTTCCATTTTCAGTACCAATGATCGGAGCCAGCCTATGCCTGGTGGTGCTGGTGCTTACTACTGCTGCTGCTACTGGTGTGTAACTTGTAAATTTCTAGTCACTATAAAGTCTATCTATAGTGACTCTAAAAGATTATGCACCTGTTTGGAAAATGGTATGGATGTGTTATAAATCTCTCAGAGGAGGGAGGGTGAGATTGGTTTGTGTTTGTTTAAGTCATGTTTTTTGTTAAAATTGTTATTTCCACTTTAGTTTTTGTTAATAGCATTGAATTCTTTCTTTATTTAAACATTTAATAAATCGTTTTGTTAGTACTTATAATTCTATTTTCCCGTCTTTCTTCTACCCTGGGTTAATTATTAATTGTTGCTCCTATTACCTCTCTGTTTACATCTGAGGTCGTAACAGGGTGACACACAGCTGGTGAGATAGCTTCCTCCATTTTGGACTTTCAGTTCAAAGGTCAGCATTGTCAAGTAAATACATACTGTATTAATGAAATTGTTTGCATTTGTGTGAACAGTGGAAGACGAAGACACTTTGATGTTATGAAAACCAATATATACAAATGTGATTATAAAATAAATATTTGCTTATATGTCTGTACATCAGATGTTAGTCTTTTCTGTTATGTATCACTAACAGCCACTTTGGTAGGTTTAATGATGAAGTTAAGGGTGTCAGGATTTGCTGCTTTTTCTGTGTTTCATACATTTGTAACTAAATATCTTCTGTCTTAATAATCTTTAGGTCAAATCACAAGATGGTCCTTGCCCTGACACTTGATACAGACACAGAAACAACAAAGACTATGAGTAAATCAGTAGTAAGGAGCAGAATAAACTCTCTGTCTCTACTTGTCTTCCAGTTTTGATTTTCAACAGTGTAGCATACCCAACAAGATGTAAATTCACAAAAGGGAGATATACTGTATGTGAATGAGATGTGACTATTTGACCACATTTGCACTTGTACACATTAATATAATCTCTAATCATTGTATTTTGAAATAGGGAGCATCCACATGTTTTTGATTCTGCATTGTCCAACAGCTATTTTATGTCCATGACACTAATTATTAAACTGTATGAAGGTGTCTGTAAATAGAAATACAGTTAAAGAAAATGTAAACAAAAATCACTAAATAAAAGTCAGCCACAGTAAAAATCATGCAGTAAGTTCTAGCTCTTTATTTTTTAATGAACCTGAATGCAGTCAGTCTTGTGCATACATGTTCACTGACGGTGGAGCATAACAATGGAAATGGTATGAGAAAATTGCTCAACTTCTGCCACTTGCCATTAGTACGGGCATAGTACACGCTACATGTCAACTCATCACCTTCATACCCCTAACCGCAAAACACCTGACATTTCTTTGTATTTTCCTACGAGCACTTGAAGAACCTGTCAGACAGCGACCTTACTGTAACAGAGACAGATGTTCGAGCCAAGAGGAAGATGTTTCCAGGAGAAGTTGCCACTGGTACTGGAACTCGGAATAATAACTCATTCTGGGAGACCCTGCGGTGTTAGATCATTTAACTCACCCTGAGGCAGATTAGGTTTAAACCGCACTCTTGCTGCAATGGAAGCTCATTTTTATGAATTGGAAAAAACTTTGACTAACAGTTGAACAGGTATCGAGGATCTTGAGGAGAAGGATGTGGCCTGTCTTGCTCATGTTTTTGTAAAATGGGCCCACAAAGCATCCCAGTGCTCCCGGTCCAACTATAGTTTCTTGTCTCATTTGCTAATTTGTCAAACTTTGTTGCCTTAGCTCAGTTGATTTTCTCTCAGAAGTTCACAGCTTCGCGGCATTGGCATATAAGGATAAGTTTAATTAAAGAACCAGTGTGTGGCTGTGAACAAGTCGGATGAGCCCCCTCCTTTAAGTGAGCAATGGGCACCGGCTTCCATCTAAGAGTTGATTTCTTTCTTGTTTTCTTTAAGAAATGAATACAAGACAGATTAAAAGGATGAGCTTAGTGTTTGTTAAATATGGATCCAGAAACATCTTGCTTTGGTAATAATATTAAGACACAAGCATGGTAAAACCTTGGTATGTTGAGTCGGTCGCCAGCATCCACAACATAGTTCATGAATAAAATGTTCAATACACGTGTAATAGTGTTTGATGTTTATTTTTAAAGGTTTTTATACCAAACAATGTAAAAAAAATTTTATTATAAAAGGTGGAACTAGTGTTTGATGAAAAAGTTGTCCTCCCTATGTAAATGTTAATCTGCATAAAAGGTCATTTTCATTCCTTTGTTTTTGGACCTGAATAAATGTAAGTTCCAGTATGTGTTCTATGTCTGCATTGCTTTAAACACGACTGTTCCCTTATTTCAGCAGTGAGCTGGATGGCCAAACCCCCCACAAACAGTGGAAAAAGAATAACATCGAGTTTTACTTAAGCATAACCTCTAAACTGGACTGAAGCACAAAAGCAGACAAGATGGACTACTGAACACTGGATTTAACCTGCTGCAACCCTTCCATAACCTGAAGGAGGACTGCATGCCAATTACTGACAGGAAGGGAAAACTGAGACAAGGGTGACGCCTGGTGGACAATAAAGAATAATATGTAGGTCAACCACATTCTTTCTGAGAAAGAATGACAGTAAGCTCACCTCCACAAAATGCCAAATTAGGACTCTGACAAACACACTGATCATTTCATGCTATCCTGCAGATCGACAATTGGTGGCGGTAAAGCACAAAAAGAGTTTCAATGCGCCCACAAAAGCAGTGAAGAAGAAGACTGCTCGCTGGTAAATGTGGATGCGCGTTTTAAATTATTTTGCTTGCCTTGCTGCCAACTACAGTCGTTGCCAAACTTTCCTCTTAGATGGTCATAATAAGACACATGAAACTGTTAACAAGACACATCCAGAGATTCTACACAAAGCTAACAAACGATAGCCAATCATTGATTGATCAGTCTCATAAAATACACAAGTATTAATTTAGAAATCAGATTAATAATTAAATGAATAACTATAAACAAAATCACTATTAATAGTTAAAGTGGAAGGATGTGGAATTCTGCATAGAAGAGGTTGGTATCATCCACTCTTGTGTGAAATTAAATAGGCTAGCATGTGTAAACACAAGTATTTATTAAAGGAATAATTAATGCAAATCTAGCTATCTATCTAGTTGTGTGTGTGTGTGCGTGTGTGTGTTAGTGTGTGCGCACCCGCATGAGGGGTTGCGCTCCAGAAAAGGTGTGTGTCCTTTGTCCTCTGACCAGATGTTTCAGCTGAGTATGAAACAGGTGTTGGTGAGACACGAAGAGCATGGAGGAGCGGGAGGGTTTGAGTTCCCTCTCGTCGTGTGTGCTGAGGTTGAGGCAGAAGGGAGTTAGTGGCATGCAACGACTGTCTGTGTGAAGCATAACATTAAACTAACATAACCTTAGCACTGTCTCAAAGACTACGGTTACTACAGTAACAACACAATAACATAACCTGAATAAAACACATCAGTACAGCAACATTACAGTAATTAAACAGTCCTTGCTTAGCCGTTAACCCTGTTAAGTTATCTGAAACTATCTATGCCCAGTACGTTAACGACAGTCTGTGAAAGGAGGGAGGAAGAACAGTTGCCAGTGAGCTGCGTAGATCAGCTGGTGGTCCTGTGACCCCAGTCAGATGGCAGACTTTCTGTTTAAAGCTGCAGATGCCTGTTGAATCCTGTTAGCGGTACCCTGACCGGGGATCGCAGGGAAAGGCAGGCTCTTGTGCTGTGCTTTAATCCTAGCATTCTGTAACTAATGTCTTTTTGTTAACTTTGTGAACATTTTGTAGTAATTTGGAATTTTCTTGATGAGATTAATGACTTGCTTTGGGTCCTCAGAAGAGTTGTTAAATAGATGATAACGACTGCCACACGATTCAACAATGTTCTTGAGGGGAGCACTCTTTTCAATAAATAGTGGCAGACTTTTTGTTTTCAAGTCCTCTCCGTGGGTCAGTAGAACGATTGTGCTCTCTCTGATCTTCCAGCCAAGCTTGTCCTCCAGCTTTTCTAATATTCCTTCCTCAGCATCTGTGAACCGGCCCAGCTGTATCACAAGTAACACCACACAGTGTCCTGGCTGACAGTACTTCTTACACTCCTCTACCTGTGCTTTGGAGTTTTCAAGTTGGTCGTGAAAGAAGTCTGGAGTGTCTGCCAATCTCACCAGCACCCCGAACGGCTTCTCCATTATTCTGAACTCACACTGGGTGGTGACCGGCACAGAGCTTGGCTCAGACCTAAAAAGTTGTCTTGAACCCCGTCGGGTGTTTCCAACAGCCAGGATGGTGTTGGCAGATGCACTCTTTCCAGTCCCAGTTAGTCCTAGCAGAACGATGTTAAATATGTTGTCTGGCACTCCATGAGCACTGGTACCTTGAAGATACAGTTACAGACAAAATGAATTAATCAAAAGATCCCAAATATATAAACTTTCTGAAGGGCCAGTTTTCCCTTCAAAATGTCTATCATAATCTTGAATATCTCAGCGTTGTTTTGCCTCTGAATTATGTTTTATTGGCAAAGCGACACTACAAAACACAGACATGAGCATTTGATCCATCACAGTTGCTATCTTTATATACTCTAATAAATTATATATGTTTTATTGCTTCTCTTGAAGCATACCAATGTGATGTTCAAGGGCTGCTCCAGCATACATACCATATTGTACGCCCTCCAAGCCCTGGCTGTGCCAGAAGATTTTGTCCATGAACAAAATCAGTGACAAGGCACAACCAACCCAATGCCCACTGAGAACAGCTGGACCATATTTAGCCAGTTTAACACACTTGGTATTTCTTTCCTGCTGATGTTTCTATTCTTGCAAATGGTTTGCTGCTTCAGCATGATAACATAACGTAACATATAACCAAATATATTTGAAAATGAAAACCAACCTGCGCTGCCAACGTCACACAGGGGATCGCCACCACATCTGAAATAGTTGTCATAATTAGTGTATCACAAGATGATAGCTATAGAGAAGTCCCATCCTGCTTTGGGGCTGGTTTGTGTTCATCCATGTTTCTGTGGCTTTCTGAAATCAGGCTTTCTGGAAATCTGAAGCATATGCATCATGTGTAAGCATGTGCTTTATTTTAAAACCTTCTTAAATCATCTCTCCCAGCATATTTAAAAAATGACACGTGAGGGAGCAAGGACTGTAGGAGTTATGGCCTTATGGCTATGTAGTGTGTAACCCGGGGTAAGGGTACACAGGGGTACACTGACCCCCACTCAGTGTAGCATGGAGAGCAATCTAAAGCTGGTAGTCAGAGCAAATGAGCCGCTATTCTCAGAATCTTTCTCTCAACCTGTACCTACCGTATAAATATAACTAATGGAGACAACATTTTGAAACTGGTCCAGTATTGAATGAGAGCACCACAACTGTCTGACAATACGACCCTATAGAGAAATTAAATGTTTTCGGTACTTTTTAGTTGATCCACTGTGTGATATGCTAATTATAAACTACAAGGACATTTCAGCTCTTCAGAAAGTCTGGTGAAAAAAGCACTGAAAAACACAAGCTAGCCATAAATAGGGTGGGACTTGTTGTCTATATGTTATGTTAATGGTCAGAAATGTTACATAGTAAAGAAGTTTCTACTTTTGCTTCTCTAGGATCTTCTCTAAGGCTGTCTTCCTTTTAGTCACAACATCTTGACTGTAGTTTTTGTAGTCATACAGGAAAGGGTCACGGCCAGAACACCACTTCCTACATTCACTGGCCATACTTTCATCAGGTGCCAACCAGATGTTGAAGATTTCCTTCAGATGACTGGGTGAATGGAAGCTTTCCATGTCTGGTAATGTGACAACCAAGTGTTCTGTGATTCTTTCTCCAAACGTATGCTGGAGTTTGCTGATCTGAGCCACAACATCTACCTCTTGGGTGTTTTCTGGATCTATTGTCAGTATGAACAGATCAGGGCCAGGATGAGACAGTGCCATTAAGTCAATAATGTGCTGGTCCGGGAGGAGACTTTCTTCATCAAAGAAATCAGGAGTGTTGATTATTTTGAATGAGCTGTTCTCTCCCACTACAAGGATGTTTGACTCTGTGTCGAATGCATTACTGCCAAGGATCATGTTTCCAATGATGTTCCTTAACTCAGCTCTCTTTCCAAGCAGAGCGACTGTTAACTGTTCAGGATGTGCTGTATGAATCAGAATCAGAATCAGGTTTATTGATAAGTAGGTTTTCACGCAGGAATTTACCTTGTTGTTTTAATGCATAACAATAACCACAGTAAGTAGAAAATATAGATAAAAAGCAAGTACAGAAAAAACAGAAAAAAATATAATGAAATATTAAAAAATATGTACAATTTTACAGTTATTTAAATAAAAGCTGTACTGATTTATGGGGGCAAGTATTAAGCAGGGAAAGGTTCACAGTACAAATAAAAAGAATTTGTGTATAAACAAAAAGTTCCTTTTGATGCACAATCCGGATTACTTTTGGAAAGTTTGGACATGGTATGAGCTGTTTAGTTCACCCGCCACAAAACGGGTTCCAGTCAGTGTGGAGGAAAAATAAAGCTTTACAATTAATAGCTCTCAACATTTTTGCTTTATTCTCGAAATGCATAATCCAAACAAATCTTCCTTCTCTTCATTTTTTCTTATGCCTGGCCATGTAAATGGAATATCCTTGAGTGTTCTAAAAAACAGAGGAAAGATGCATCACTTACACTGCAGATGTCCGTTCGATGGCAGCCTGTTAGATTGCATTTTAACTGCTTAGTAGAGAACAGACAGCAGGTAGGTTTCACTGGAGTCTCTGGATCAGCTTTGAAGTCTGTCTGACTGACTCACACTGATATACACACACTGTTGCATGTGATCCACCCTGTGGGCGGAGTGCTGAGAACTGCCTCACACAAAAACAATAGTGTTCAGTTTGTACTACACTAAGTCAAAGACACAGAGAGATGGGGAACCACTCCTCCATTCCTGAAGGTGAAGTTGGAACCTTTTCAGCATATTGCAATCAACACTTGTACTATTTATGTCAAGGTTTTTAAATACTTTTATATTACAGAATATATTTATGTTTGCAGGTCCTCCAATGAGGATTGTGGTGATTGGGAAAACGGGAGTTGGGAAAAGTGCCACCAGTAACACCATTGTGGGAAGAAAGGTTTTCTGCAGCGAGAGAGCACTCTGTGACAGAGACCTGTGAGACAGAACGGGTCAAGTGTCGCAGATAGATCGATGCCTTCCTGCTGGTCATCCAGATCGGCAGGTTCAACAAAGAAGACGAAAACTGCGTCCAAGCCCTGGAGAAAATCTTTGGACCCGAGGTGATTAAATATATGATCGTTCTGTTCACGCGTGGAGATGAGCTGAAGGGAAGAAGCATTCGGGAGTATGTGCAAACAGGCCACCCGAAACTTCAAGAGGTGATCAACAGGTGCGGTAACCGGTACCACGTCTTCAACAACAAGAAAAGAAGGAACAGAACTCAAGTGGTTGAGCTGATCGAGAAGATCGATGACATGGTGGCTGCGAATGGAAGAAAGTACTTCAGTGAAGAAATGTATGAAGAGGCAGAGCAGACTCTGCAGCAGATGAACAGAGACACAGCAGAGCAGCAGGTTTACAACTTCTCCTTCATGCCTGAACTGCTGCAGAGGGTCATTCTGTTTCAGTCCATACTGGCCGCTGCCGGACTAAACTACGCCAACAACTCGGACCACTCCATCACTGCCTCCGAGTCCATCATGAAGCCTGATGTCTGATGGAAACTGCCTTCAGATCTGTTCTAGATTTCTGCTCCTCTAATACAGAACAGCTTATGTTTAAAATGTAGAAAATGAACTGTTTGCACAAGCAGCCATGTTTAATGCAAATAAATCATAGACACTGTGACTGTATTTGTGATTAAAAAACAACAACAGAAAAACTCTCAGTTAACTCTTTATCCAGTAAAAGCACCTACCAGTATTATGTTTGTCAGTGTCAGGATTTGCTTTTTCTGTTTCATACAATTCATTCAGACAACAAGGACTATGATTAATCAAATCAAAATCCAACTTGTGATGTCTCTACATGTCTTTAAGTTTGGATTTTCCAACAATGTAGCACATGCAACAAGATTTTTTTTGTCAATGTAATTTCACAAAAGGGAGATACTGTATGTGAATGACTAAATGTTTGATAATGTACAATATTTTGCACTTGTACATATTAATATTGTTATTTATTGTTTGTTGGTTTGAAATCAGTGTCACCAGTGTTTTTCCTGCTCGCTATGGAGTATCCACACTTTTTATTCAACAGCTATTTTGTGTCACTGAGACTGATTGTTAAAATGTATAAAGGTTCAAGATTGCAGAACTGGAATCATTATCAAAACTATTTCTGTATATATAGTTCTGTCTACTCTGTTCTATCAGGAGCTGCTGTAACAAGCATCATCCCAGTGTGGGATCAATAAAGTATCTTATCTTATAACAAATGTCAAAATAAATGATCAAACAAAAAAATCTGCCACAGTAATAATGGGGATTTATTTTCGACAAACATCATTTCATATAGATTTGCAGATGTGATCCACATTTCACACAGGTTCAGATATGGTCAAAACATAAAACTTAAAAACCAAATGAAAAGGGAAAATAGTTGTAGTAAAAGGCAAACATAAAAGTTCAAAATAAATATGACATTTCAATTTATTTTAATGATAAGATTTCAATTAGATGTAAATTGAATCTTAAAAAATTTGTTTATTACTTTTTTCCATTTTTTTTTAATTCTGAAGTAGGGCACAAAATGCGCAAAACAATGTCGATTTTAATTTCTTTGTAAAGTGAAACCAGAGAGGCTCTCGCAGCAGAGCTGTTAGCGCAGCTACAACAAGCAACACAGCACAGATCAGTCTCTGTGGTTGTGCATACCTGTGCACTTGGCACAGGGTACATGTGTCAGTGGAGGATAATAATGTAACTTCCTCATTGGTATGGGAATAGTACAGGCTACATGCCAGGGATAAACTTAGTCAATCACCTTAACCCTACCCCTTACAACAAACACTTGACTCCTAACCCCAAACACCTAACATTTCTTCATATTTTCCTACGAGCACTTGAAGAACCTGTCAGACAGCGACCTTACTGTAACAGAGACAGATGTTCAAGCCAAGAGGAAGAACTTTCCAGAAGAAGTTGCCACTGGTAGGCTTAATCAAAGCCACAAAATAAACCATCAGAAACAAACACTTGGTGGAAACATAGGCAGAAATGTGAAGGTCTCTTTTACAGCTCCCTCTTCTAACCTTAACATCCATGAAGTGGAACTCTGAGGGCGGAGGGAGAGCTGTCCAAGGCCTTAGACCAGTTCTTTGGGAGTGTCATAAATTCTACAACCTTTTTTTTTTAAGAAGAAGAGTCAAATAACTACAGTTACAAGCACACATTGACAAAATAAACAACTGACAACTCTACCTATTATATATTTAAGTTGTGTCAATTCATCAGTTGGTGTCTCACAACACAGACTGCATAGGGCCCTGCATTAATTAAATCAAAAATTATAAATAAAATGGTGCATTAATTAAATTAAATGAATCACACAATTAGATTTTTTTTTTGTTACATTTTCTTTAACAATTTATACAGATATAGTTTAGATGACTATTCCAGTTCTGCACTCTTGAATACATTTTAATAATTAGTTTCATGGACACAAAATAGCTGTTGCACAATGCAGAATGAAAACAGTGTGAATATTCCCCATTTCAAACCTACAAACAATGAATAGAGATTATACTGATATGTAGAAGTGCAAAATATTGTATGTTGTCAAATATTTGTTATTTCACATACAGTAAATCTCCATTTTGTTACTACTGATTTAATCATAGTCTTTGTTGTCTTTGAAAGTGATCAATCGTTTCATTTATTAAATGTAAAAATAATCTGAAAGGACCCTTTTGTGGTTTGACCTAGATTCAGTAATAAATGTATGAAACACAGAAAAAGCAGCAAATCCTGACACTGACAAACCACATCACAAATACACAAACACATTTAACACAAATACAGTTACAGTTTCCACAATATATTTGAATTAAACATGGCTGCTTGTACAAACAGTTCATTTTCTAAATTTCAAACTACCTGAGCTGCTGCTCTGCTGCAGAGGATGAAAAATCTAGAACAGATCTGAAGGCATTTTCTATCAGAAATCAGGCTTCATGTTGGACTCTGAGGCAGTGATGGAGTGGTCTGAGTTATTGGCGTCTTCCTGTGCAGCAGCAGCCAGTATGGCCTGAAACAGAATGACCCTCTGCAGCAGTTCAGGCATGAAGGAGAAGTTGTAAACCTGCTGCTCTGCTGTGTCTCTGTTCATCTGCTGCAGAGTCTGCTCTGCCTCTTTATACATTTCTTCACTGAAGTACTTTCTTCCATTTGCTGCCAACATGTCATCGATCTTCTCGATCAGCTTAACCACTTGAGTTCTGTTCCTTCTTTTCTTGTTGTTGAAGACGTGGTACCGGTTACCGCACCTGTTGATCACCTCTTGAAGTTTTGGGTGGCCTGTTTGCACATACTCCCGAATGCTTCTTCCCTTCAGCTCATCTCCACGCGTGAACAGAACGATCACATATTTAAACACCTCGGGTCCAAAGATTTTCTCCAGGGCTTGGACGCAGTTTTCTTCTTCTTTGGTGAACCTGCCGATCTGGATGACCAGCAGGAAGGCGTGAGGGCCAGGAGAGGACAACTGGATGCATTTTGCAATCTCTGTCCTTATGCTCTCTGCACTTTTAGTCGTATCCAAAATCCCAGGTGTATCAACCACATTGATCTTTCTGCGACACTTGACCCGTTCTGTCTCGCAGGTCTCTGTCACAGAGTGCTCTCTCGCTGCAGAATAGAAAACCTTTCTACCCACGATGGTGTTACCGGTGGCACTTTTCCCAACTCCAGTTTTCCCAATCATCACAATCCTCAGTGGAGGACCTGCAAACATAAATATATTCTGTAATATTAAATTATTTCAAAAACATTGACATAATTAGTACAAGTGTTGACTGCAATATGCTGAAAAGGTTCCAACTTCACCTTCAGGAATGGAGGAGCGGTTCCCCATCTCTCTGTGTCTTTGACTTAGTGTAGTACAAACTGAGCACTATTGTTTTTGTGTGAGGCAGTTCTCAGCACTCCGCCCACAGGGTGGATCACATGCAACAGTGTGTGTATATCAGTGTGAGTCAGTCAGACAGACTTCAAAGCTGATCCAGAGACTCCAGTGAAACCTACCTGCTGTCTAGCAGCTAAAATATCTTCTGACAGACATTGTGAGTGAGGCTTATTTTTTATTTTTCACACACTTCCAGGAATTTTTGGTTGCTGACATTTAGCAAAAGTCCCCAACTAGACACTTGTTTTTTTTTTTGCAGTTTGAGAATAAACTTAATTTTTTAAGATTAAATTCGAACTTTAAGGAATAAATTAAAACAGGTGGCATCAGAGAATATAATTCTACAAAAAGCCATATGTAGATGAACCGGTGAAATTATGCCAAGACTAACTGTAAATTAACACACTTTCCTCAAGCAGTACAGAAAACATGGTGTGCAAAATGCAGTAAAGAAGGGTGTGTTATTAAATTATCCTTGAATTCACACTAGAACCACTATATTGCCCCCAAAGTGAAAATCTTGCCGAACACAGACAACCACATTTGTAAGCAAATGCTTACAGTAATTGAGAAAATGTCATCTATCACTGACGATAATTTCAGATTTGTTTTTTATGACAGAACCTTCGTTAGTGAAACACACAGCACTTACTCCATCCTAATGGGTAATATTTTAGAGTAATAAGTAGTCATGTACTTTAAAAGTAAAATTGAGGATGAACAGAGCCTGAGTAGAGAGTGAGATTTTGAAATGTTAAACAGAACAGGAACAGCATATTGATAGTGCCACTGCAGAGCTTCACTCGTGACTGTACAATTCAGGGATTTATGTAACCTTGATTACTTGTGCCCATCCATATTTTAGCAAAAAGTTATCCACCTGATACGGCAGAAAAATATTTTTCAAGTTAAACCTGGCAGTGTGTTACCTTAACTCAAATTCCATCCATATATGGAAGACTATATTAAATAATTCAAAGTATGGATCTCACTGCTTATGCAGATTAATGTTATCATATCCTCATCATAAATCATAGATAGCCGCACATTACCAATTTGCAATTATGAGATTTCCTAACTACACCTAACCTACTTAAAGACTGGTGATGGACAAACTTCAAAATCATAATGAAATGCAAATGAACACCTGATATTACATTGAAATGAGACTGACTAAATCATATGGAATGGAGATCATCATATGAGTAATATATGATGATAGTTAAATGAAGGTTGCTACATGTTGGTTACCAGCTATAGCATACAGCTTTTAGGGGAGCTTTAGGAGACCCCCCAAAATTTGAAAAAGTTTGCACCCTTGTTACCATTGTATTTTCATATAATAACATTACATTTATTAATTTGCTAACCTTGCCCAAGGGATACCTGGCTAACTTCGCTGGTTCACTGGACTCAATTTACCTTCTGCTCCTCTATACTGTGAGAGCTTCCTTTGGGACCCCCTGATCTGTCATGGTTTTTACCAGGTCCAAGGGAACTGGTGTTGTTCTAGATTATGATCCTTTAAAAGTGTTATAAGTGAGTCACATGGGGTTTACATGATCTATTTAACAATTAAATTGTTAATGTTAAAATCCTCCTCCTCACCTACAAAGCTCTTCATGATCAGGCCCCTTCATATCTTAAAGAGCTTATAGTACACACTACACTCCTATAGTCTCTAAAAGTAGAACAGGAGCCAGAGCCTTCAGTTACCAAGCTCCTCTCCTGTGGAACCAGCTTCCAGTTGTGGTTCGGGAGGCAGACACCCTCACCACATTCAAGAGTAGGCTTAAGACATTCCTCTTTGATAAAGCTTATAGTTAGGGCTGGATCAGGTGAGTCCTGAACCATCCCTTAGTTATGCTGCTATAGGCCTAGACTATCGGGGGATTTCCCATGATGCACTGAGCTCCTTTCTTCCTCTCTCTCCCTTTCTGCACTCATTCATGTTCCATTATTGCATGTTACTAACTTCACTTCTTGCTGAAGTCTTTCAGGAATGAGGTGTTAAAGCGCCCTCTAGGTGGGTGTTGTGGGTTAATTCCTGTTAGTAGTTTGAGGGTTATAGGAGCATGGTCTGAAAGGATAATACTGTGAATATCAGATTCTACAGCTTTGGGCATAAGTGAGTTATTAATCAGAAAATAGTCAATGTAGGAGTATGTTTTACAGTAGGATGAGTGGTAGGAATATTGTCTGGGTTGTGTAGCAAATTTTCATCCGACAACATTCTGACATGTATTGTATAATTACAGACGAGGAATGGGAGGGTGAGGTAGAGGAGTGATCAAGGTCTGGGTTTAATACAGAGTTAAAATCACCTCCAAAGGATCATTTGGGAATTGGGGAAAGTTGGCTAGTTCTGAAAATAGTGAAAGAAAGCATGAGAGTCAGTATATAGTCGCTGATGATAATGAAGCGTCCTCCTGGATCTGTTATAGTTGATTTATGAGTATATGGTGTGTTTTTGCTAATAAAAATGGAGATCCCACGTTTTCTGGAATTATAGGGTAAGTGTATGTCTGGTCTATCCATCTGGCCCTAAATTTCAGAGACTCTGCCTCTGTGAGATGGGTTTCTTGTAATAGACAGATGTCTGATTTCAGTTTTTATAGATTATTTAATACTTCTTTTTTTCCCTTTTTGCAGGGAAGCTGATTCCTCTTATATTGTTAAGAATGAATGCTATACAATGTGTGTGCTTACTTCCCTACGTCCCTGAGGTGAAAACAAGCATCCAAATAGGACATCCATGAAACTCGTGGTGGTGGTGGGGGGGGATTAAGACATTTCCATGGCTTAATTTCACAGACCCAGAAACTCTCTTTTTATATACTGTAAAGGAGTAGAACTCAATAATTGGTGAATATGTTGATGAAAAACATCTGCTCCTAGCAACTACTACCACATCATCTGAGCGAACAGTTTTATAGGTCTTACAATAGCCATGTAAAGGGAAAGTGCTGTTTGGCACAGTTGCAGTACTGCAATTAACAGTAAGGCTGATTGGCCAAGCTGTATCCAGTTCCCTGTTGAGTTTTCTTGTAAACAAACAAGACATGTTTACATTCAGCGTTTCTCGCCAAATAGCTGTGCCCCCCTGCTGTGTGGAGTACTCAGTCTTCAGCCTGAGCCTGCACCTCCATAGGGTCCCTGTGCTGTGGAAGACGTCCTGCCTCGTTCCTGTGCCAAAGACGCCGCATCCCAGCGGTCCTCAGGACTACAGACCGGTGGCGCTGATGTCCCACATCATGAAGACCCTGGAGAGGCTCGTCCTGGTGCAGCTAAGGCCTATGGTCAGGCCCTTCACTGATCCACTACAGTTCGCCAACCAGCCCCGCCTGGGAGTTGAGGACGGCATCATCTACCTGCTGAACAAAGTCTACACTCACCTGGACAAGCCAACGAGCACTGTGAGAGTCATGTTCTTTGACTTCAATATATTTCAACCTACCTAGTTTACATTTGTTCTGCACTAATGTTTCTAATGTTCTGCACTTTAAGTTTGAAGTTGTAAGTTATGTTATATTTAAGGTATATTTTATATTGGAAATTTTTATATTGAAAATGTTTATATTTTTTTGATTATTATGTTCTTACTGTTCTACTTGTGTGTTACCTCAGGGAGTCGGGCAAAGTAAGATTTTCATTGTGCGTACTAGCCTTGTGTTTATACTGCACAGGGGCAGACTGGGACAATAATTCAGGCCGGGAATTTGATACCATCCCAGGCCACCACCACCCGATTAACGCAAAACAGCAAGAGTGAGTTAGGTTGGGCGCCTACTGATGTAAGAGTGTAAAATAATAAAGCAAACATGCGCCCACACACAACTTTTTCTGTTTCTTTCCCCTACAAAATCAATGTTTCTGTTGTGCTGCAATAACCTGTCCTCAAATCACTGTTAAATGTGCAGGCTGCAGTGTAGTAGTAGAGGAAATAAAACAGGTTACACCATCGTCCACCTAGAAACTTGAGACCAATCCTATTTTTAATGTAACAGGTATCAGACTATCCAATCAAATCCAACTTTATTTGTTAAGGACTTTAAAAACAACCAAAGTTGACCAAAGTGCTGTACAGGAGAATAAATAGGACATCATAAATGTAAACAGTGATGGTGATGATGAAGACCACTGTGAGGAACATAGACAGTGATGGTGACAACACTGGAAAGTTCCCGTGGCAGATAACACGGACGAAGTCCGACGGTGATGAGCTCGATGTCCGGGCTGCAGACGCTCTTTCACACAAACGTACCCAGCGTTACACCACCTGTTGTTTATGAGCACGGACAGTCCCCCTCCTTTCTTCTTGCCGGTCGCGGTGGTGTCCCTGTCGGCTCGAACCGTCTGGAAGCCGGGCATGGTGACGTTGGAGTCCGGTATCTGCTCGTGTAGCCACGTTTGTAGGGTTTAAAGCTCCTCTTCTTCATCCTCCGTTTAACCCCCGCTCTGCAGCCTCGCTGTCTCCTCCTCAGCTCCTCCAGTATGGAGGCTCTCTCTCCAGTCAGGATGCTAGGGGGCCTCAGGGCGATCATCTGGTCGGGGGTGTAAACAATGTTAACTAGTTATATCATACCACAAGTGAGAAGTACACTAGGGATGTGAATCCCCACCACTGAGGCCGATTCGATACACATCTCGATACGTTGCCAGCGATACGATACATTAATGATACAGTTGAGCCCCCTGCCGATACGATGCGATACGATTCACCTCTGTTTACGATGCGATGCAATTCATTAATGATTTGACAACGATTTGACTTTCTACAATGTGATTGGGTTCGATACGATTCAACAAAATACAAAGAATTTACAAGCCCACATCTGGTTTCTAATGTATTTGATACTTGATTGTTTTCTATATAGCAAACCAATAAATCCAACTTAAAAAGAAGATGCAATTCAATATGGTACAGACAGAGGATTGTTTTTTCCCTAATAAACACTAAATCAAACAAAAA